GTTTTTGAGATGATACGTTTCTCTCTCTCTCTGTACAAATAACAAGCACTTCTCGCCTTTATATTTCTTTCTCTGTCCAGCATTATACGTCAACAGAGGAGCTGGACAATAGGGTTTCGTATAGGAAATGGACCATTGTTGTTTTTACAAAGGACTCTCTGTTTGAACACTTCTTCACTCTGCGGCTGGTGCTTGAGAGGGCTTGACGCATGCTATATATTTCCTGAGGAGGGAGTGACCGATCATATTATGTATATTTGACGACGTCTGTGACAACTAAATATCTATCTAGTTTTCGCAGTGTCAGATAAACACTTTCAGGAAAAGTCAAGTCCGTCTGAATGTCATAATTTCGGTTGGATGTTTGTATTGTATGAAAATATCAGTCCAGTTGTTGGTTGGATGAACAGGATGATGAATTTTGAAAATTGAGATGTATGTATTTCAACTCCTGTTTTTAAAAGTGTCAAGCAAAAAAATAAAATGTAAATCTGAACGGAAACTAAAGGATAAATATATAATTCTGATGGACAGCCCGAAATAAGAGTATCATCAAAAGTGGCTTGAAAAGTTATTCATCGGGACATGACCATACATACACCGAAAATTGAGAAGAGAGGACTTATAATATGATTTGCAACGTGTGAAGAGAAGCTGATTAGCGTTCCTTTGTACGAAGCAATTGGTCCTTTATGTTTTTCCCCTTTATTCAGCCCAATTCTCACAAACCAACTAACTGGATTAGATTATGGGCACGCTTACACAATGCGCAACAATGCAGACCCACCATCCATCTCCACAAAGGCGAGGACTTGCTCTTCACTCACACTGTACCCTTTGCAAAACAATTCACAACCGATACGAACAAAAGGTTCATTTCCGGAGCTTAATCAGAGGAACGATCTGACCGTTCGTGCCGTATGGATGGATGGATGGATGGCATCAGATTCATTCAAAAGGTACTGCAACGTCCTGTATAAAAGCCAAGTTAATTATAGCAACCCGACCTGCACGCACGCACGTGATGAACAATTCGGTTTTAAAAAGTGAGGATGCGTTTGTAATAAAGCAAGAATTCAATTTTTGTTCCGAGTGTGAAATAAAAAAGAAAATCGTTTTACAAACAGAAAACGAAGAAAACACAGAAAGTTGGAAAGAAGGAGTCTTTTTTTACTTTCGAATCCAAATAGATAAGCAGATTGTGTTTCATACGAGAGAAAGTATAAAGTCAAGCTGGGTGCCTTCTTCTTCGTCTTGTTGTGTAGGAGGAAGTGTCAGAAAGAGAGCTCGAGACCTCGAGAACTATGCTATCGGAAAATGGCATCCTGGAGAGAATAGAAAATAGCGAATCTCACTTTTATTACTCCATTATTTTGGCATGCTTTACGACGGACTAAAACACATCTTCCCTCACATCTGAAATAATAGGCTTTTACTAACAGCCCAAGGATCACTAAAGCATTTTGTGGCCATAAAAGAAGTAATAGCTTTACACCTTTGAAATTGAATTCGCAATTCTAAGATTTACGAATCTTTGAATTTTTTTCAAATTTTGATTTTGTATATATGCATATTTACTTTCACTTCTCAAAATCTGTACAGGACTCTGTTTGAATTTCTTGCATTCCATTCACTCCCTTTGAGCGGAGATAGTTGGGGGCAGTTAGTGGTAATGAATGGCGGATATAGAGGTAATATTTTGTGCCATAATGTGCCCACGTTGAAACCAAGATAAGGCTCAAGTGCGCAACTTTCCTCCTTTATAGGCTCCCTGCCAAGAAGGGAGAACACTGGAGTGGGTGTCATAATGGAGATGCTGATGGTGGTAATAACACGGAGAGAAATAATAGAGTCGAAATTCATACAGAGATTTATAATGCCTTTTATTTTCCTGGGATGAAAACCAGTCCCTTCTCCCATTTCCGGCCATGTCAACTTTAGATAAGGCCGCCGCATACTCTGCTCAATTCCCTCCACAAGACACTCCCAGCACCAGCGACGACGACGGCGACGACGACGACGATGCAAACAAATATCACGACTTGGACAACGACATTATATTCTTGCCAACTTTACGACCACGAATTTTATGAACTATCCGACACAAGTTGCACATTGCATACCACATTTCACTCTCTCTCGCATTGTTGTTCTTGTTCCTTGGAGGAGAAATTCAGCCGGAGACTAGTGGCTATTAACGTTGTCTATAAAAGCTGAATAGTATGTAATGTGCAAGTAGTTGAATTGAAGAAAGGGCAGCAAAAATGGTGATGAAGAATACACACAACTTTATGCCATGCTACATACATTGTGCTATCCGTTTGTCCTGGTGTTACTTATTTTCGTAATAGAATGTGTGGTTGAGATGATGGTTCTTTGGGCCATAACTTGTTTACTGTTTACTTACACATAAACCACGAAAATTCAATTCGAGACGTTTTTTCTTCTTGTGTGCAATTTTCTTCCCATCGCATTATTTCTGAGAGAAGAAAGCGGTGGAGAAAGTTTTCTGAATTTTTGCTCAAAACCTATACCCAATTTACAAGAATAAAAAGAGCTTCTTTGACAAGGAGACAAAAAATGTCTATTTTTTTTACCTTAGTCGACCCTGCCTTAATTTAATGTCATGTTCTCACTGGCTTTCTTTACTTTTCTTTTTTGAAAGAAACGGAAATTATGAAGAATGCCTGTGTTTCTAAAAGTCTCAAGTTTCATAAATCATTCCCATACAGACGTGAAGTGAAACACTCTTCTTCTTCACAAAACAATCTCTTTCCTTTGTCATTTTTTATTTGGAGAAAAAAATGGGAAACATAATTGAAAATTTGGAAACAAAATGTAATATCCCTCATATATAATCTCATCATAATTTATAGTTTTATAGTCTGGACATAAAAAGAGGATAAATAAATAAATAAAGTCAAGTGGTGGAGTAAGTAAGTAAAGTATAAGCTTTTGCATCACATCACAGGGTTCTTTTGCTTATATGGTTTTTGGTGGTTTGGTGGAGTGTGGAGATTCGATTGTGGTTTTGTAGTGGGGGCATACACAAAAGTGACAATGGGGATATCAAGATCTTATCTTCCTCTCTCTCTCCACCAACGCCGCTGTTTGTGGAGAGTGTAGATTTGGTGGAAACGGCATTAAAATTTGTTGCATAATACACAATAGTCGACGACTGGGCGTAGAAATATCAGTCTGATGATCAGTCCCTTTTATTTCACCGAAAGTGGAGAGGAAATTAACAAAAATGATTTGTACAGACGAACCAAAAAACACCCGGCTCTTGATAAAGCTGAGAGAAGACAATAGGAATAAATTGGGATAAAAGTTGTCCGTTTTGTTTCACATTGTGCATGTATACATAGTTGTTTATTGAGTATTATTACACATGGAATCAAAAGTTGCAGGAAGATAATAAATTATTGGGATCTGATTGAATGACAGGAGAATAATGTAGCAATGGCATCTTTGCTATCATATTGTGAAGCGTATTGGTCGTTGGTTGTTGGTTAATAGTGAGGTATGCATTTCCATCCGAGCCCTGATAAAACAATGGTCTTTGATTGGGATGAATAATGCTGTGGGGTTGGACACAAAGGGGAAAGAATGGAGGCGACAATGGATAAAAAGATAGCTGGCCCACCTCCGGGCAGGGAAGTCCACATTGTTAACATATGTATGTACGTAGATAGGTAGATGTACATGTGTACATGCAGATAATAAAAATATATTGAGGTACTTATTACTTGCTTGGTATGCATGCATTAAATCAACAATTAGTGTTTTATTACGATTAAAAGACACTGATACCTCGTGATGGCAGCGGCAGCAGGTGTACAAACAATAGTCGTTGTAGTACTGGTAAACTAAATTAGTAAGAAGTTTTTTTTCTAAAATGTATGCATCCATAATTTGATGAGCTAACATTTTCTAGTCTCATAAATTAATTTCGTCAATAATTAGATGATCCAATGCCAAATTCTTCCCGGTAATTCATACTGAAAGGTTGTGATGCTTATTTGTACAATAAAGTACACCTATCTCATTGTTATTGGACTTTGTTTAATTCCATGAATAAAAAGTAATTACGCAGGTAATGGTATTAGTACTTATTTATTTGGCGTCTACCATATACACTGACGCACAAAACTTTGTTTTATTATCGGTCAAATTAATAATTCCCATCACAAAGGAAATGCTCATTTGCATCTGGTCTCTATCCTATCGTATCCAATTTCAGCATTACTAATTTTAAACAAAGTCAACGTTTCGTTAACCAAAAAGGTCACGATGTAGACAACTAAAGTGCTTTTGTCTAGACTTATTTGCAAATTTTGTCGGGTAAAACAATTGAATGCGAATAATAATAATTATTAAATATGCACTTGTGTATAATCGTTCATGTCATATTCATATCATCGTCATGTGGGAATTATAAGTTTTGTTCTGTCAATCCACTCACGCCCTTTGATCACATATGTACTTATATTCCTGCAAAATGCACCCATACCGGAGAAACAAAAGCGTATGATAAGTGATAAGTGGCGATAATGTGGGGAGGCTTAAAACTAATTGTTTTTATCAACCCGAAACAGAACAAAAGTTTCATGTTCGCCAATCAGCTCGTTCTCCTCTGTTCATAAATGATTAATGTTTTAATATGCAAGAAATTAAAGGCGGAATAAACAACGTCCATTGTTTTCCACTGGTTGTGCAAATTATGCTGATTACAGGTATGTATACAGTGGAGGACATCGTCCACACGTCCACAAAAACGCATATGTAATGTAACTCCTCCACTCATGGTGGACCAATGAATTTGACAGGTTTAAACCTTGCCCAGAGATGTATAATTATGCTTGGAACAATGGAAATTAAAACAGCATGGCAATTTCAGCATGTAAATGAATGAGATCTGTATTTTATTTTATTTTCATGTACATCAAGAAGAAGCAGAAGGAAAAATGTATGTATTAAGTTACAAAAAATTATTGAAATGAATGTTGAAATCATATTTATCTCAGAAAATAAAAAGTTCTACACATTTCTAACCTACCAATGCTACATTCCTTGATTGTTAGTAATTCACCACTATCATGCATGCCCAAATTGCCAGCCAAATCACTAAAAATAGCTACACAACTGACACGACGGGAGAAGGTGACCGTCTCACTCCGCCCCCAGTGTCCTTCATCACGACAAAAACGGGAGATTTTTTCGGTAAGTCGGATGCCGATGAGGACAGAAAAAGTCCTGAGAAGTCGGCATGATGATGTACTGGATGATGATGCCCCACATCTGCAATGCCCCCCATGACATGACCCCCACCACCTCCTCCACCACTGTGCTGCTGTTGTGCTGGTGGTTGGAGGAATGGGTACGCTGCGAGATAAGGGTTCGGATAAAGTCCAGGGTAAAAAGGATATCCCCCATTTTGCAGTCCGTACGGTGGCGTGAATCCCAAGTGTGTCGGGGGTGTCGGAGTGATGGGGGAATTGTCAGGGGATGAGGGTGACGGACTTCGAGATGATTTACGTTTTGGAGAGATGGACAACTTTCTCCCGTGATGGTGAGGATGATGATGGTGACTGTTGCTGAATTGAATGGGAGACTGGCTCTGATTGAAGAAAAGGGGTGACAATCCCTTATTATTGTTATTGCTGTTGGTATGATTGTTGTTGTTCACGGGGGAAATTGAAGAGGGTCGTTTGCCATCCACTTCATCAGGGCTCAAGGTCGACGAGGAGTATCCCATGAGGCCGGCACGACTGGCTCTGAAAAGGACATCGAGGGCCGACGTGGCTACGGATGAGGGGGGCATAATTGATGGGAGGAAGCGAGAAAGGTCGTTGTGAGAGAAAGTTGACATTTCACCTCCTCCGAGCGAGTGGTGAGAAGAAGGTGACCCTTGACCTCCAGAATTGTGATTTGGACCACCAGCACCTCCACCACTGTTGGGATGATGTGAGAATGGGAAAGGTGCGTTTACAGCCATGTTTGCCACTGTGGCAGCACGGAAAGAGTCAATCGCTCGCATGACGGAGTTTGGAGAAAGTCCAAAGGCGAATTTGCCAGGGTGATGGTGGTGGTGATGACCGTGACCACCCCCACCAGTCATGTGATTAGGGTCGGATTTGCTAGGGGATTTGTTGGATGTGTGAGCCATGGCGGGTTTGGGCTTTCTCCGGGGACGATATTTGTAATCGGGGTGCTCTTTCATGTGCAATGCTCTACATTAATGATGGTAAAAGCACAAAATATGTAATTAATTATGTATATTTAATTAGGTAGATGAGGAATCAAACTATTTTTCTTGATTTTAATGTAACATTTCTCATTAATTCTTACCTTAGTCTCTTGGCTTCGTCAATGAAGGGTCTCTTCTCCCCTTCCAACAATAATTTCCACTCTGCCCCCAATCTCTTGCTAATTTCAGAATTGTGCATTTTGGGATTATCTTGTGCCATTTTTCTTCTTTGACCTACAATTACATACAAACATGAAATATGGTTTTATGTGCTTTGTAATTTTTTCATGAATTATGCACTAATTACTAATTAATTATTAATTCAGTAAATAAAAACTCACCCCTCGACCACACCATGAAAGCGTTCATAGGACGCTTTATATGGTCCGTTCCTGAAGATGAGGATGACGACGACGGCATCTTGGACAAGAGAACTGACATCGACATGGACACACCGTTTCGACAACGTCTTATCACTCACTGACTGTTTCACAATAACTAAGCCCCATAATTTAGCTCAACCTTATCCACTTCACAATATCCGGTGTAGAATTATGTACGTACATATATTAAACTGCTGTAACAAGTACCAAAAGGTGGTGGAGTTGAGGAATGAAGAGTCAAAAAGTAATCAGAAATCAAATATTTGAACACTGCCTGATTTGATAATATGTTAGTGATTGTTATAAACGGTTTTATTTGTCCTTCTTGACCCGACCTTGCTCCGTTGTTTGATTTATCCAATGCAATCCACGTATTTTTTTAGTGGAGTCAGTAGTATTTTGTGCAGGACTTTAGTTGGTGGGAATTTGAGACGTCGCACAATAAACTTTTGTCCAAGAACTTTACGTTATCATTTGAAGACAATGCAATAAAAGAACAACAAGATAACTTGTTATCGTCGGTTAGTTTAATATAACAAGCAGAGGTTCTATATACCTTAAGAGTCTTATTATCTTGAAATAGTGACAACAAGAAGATTTCAGCTTTTCTTCAGACTGTCAGTTATTGCTCGGTCTCACAAAATGACATTGTCCGACTCACTCACTCTGTTTGTACTTCTTATTTGATCTTATTTTACTCCACACTTTATTAATTTAACAATTCAGACTGGAGACATAAATGAATAGCGTTGTACTTATTGTATTGTGGTATTTGTCTTCTCAGATAAAGAAAAACTTATAGTTTAGCCTTGATCTAGCCCGACTCAGGGTAAGAGTCCGCTTCTAAATTTTTGTCAGATGACCCAAAGTATTCGCAATCGTCAAAAATAATGCAAAATTTCAGCTTTTTTCGACTAATTTCAAAAACCAGTATGGGTCACCCTTCTCTCTTAAGTATAGCCTAATATTTTTAACTCAGATGTGCCCTTGCACTTTGATACCAAATTTTAGCTTTCTTCAACGAATTTCAAAAAGCAGGGTGGGCCACTTTCTCCTACTTTTATATTTTATGAAGGTGTCTAATATGTTTAATAAAACGAAGTTGACAATGAAAATAAATTCAAGTCGATAGAATAAGTTTAACAAGAGTTATCGTAATACAGACAGACAAAAAGGATGGTTCCATGAGCCCTGACTCGGGCTAAAAAGGAGCAACAAAGGGTAGATTGCCTACCGACGAGACGACACCGTCAACTTGAGACAGATGTGTTTTTATTTTCTTAAATTTATGTATTTGTGTTTTTCAATTCTTCTGTATACACATTTGGGTTCTGGAATGATCCAGATTTTGAAAACAGGAAAATGTTGAGAATTTAGTTAAACTGTTTCAACTTTTATATTCAGTTGGATAAAACGTTGAGGGGCCTTGTTCCTGGTAAGACTGAACCTGCGGAAGGAATGAAGGAACCTTTATGAGACAAACTCTCGCTCCCTGTTGGGTACCGTTTTATTGTGAGATTGGGAATGTACTGTATCGCACATGTTACTGACGGACTGGTGAGGAGAATGCTGCGAAAAGGCTGAAGAACATCTACTCTTATATAAAGAGTAGTCCTACCAAAGGGGAAAATAAGAATATCAACCCTCTCTGCTATTTATATATGAGGGGTGACTAATAATACTCGGGTTGACCATGAAATTGGTGGTGTGACCACTCCCTTTTTCTTGTGGGAGGTCTACTCATATAGTAGTGAGCAGTAAAGAGGAAAAAATTTGTTCACGGTAGAAGCATGGAGATCGAAAAAAAAACATTTTCGGAAAAAGATATCTACAATTAAAAATTTGAAAACAGAAACTTTGACGTTAACAAGATTCAAAACTTGATATAGACGATTTGAAATCGAGGTGGACCCAGTGTGTTGACCTCAGAGAGGTCCATATTGAAAAATCGCACAAAAACTACCCCAGAATTTTAACGATATCAAGGTTAACCCGGTTAGTTCTGGTCCTTCCCTCGTATATCTGTACATATTTGTGCAACATGCAGTAAATATCATGGTTGTTGTGTCATGAATACACTCCACAAGTCATTCACAATTCTTACGCTTTGCTTGATATCACTGTACGCACCAGAACCTAATCGCATTTCGATATTGTTATAGCGTGACCTTTATACTGATGTTATGCAATGATTATGATATGAGCTGAACAAAATTAAAGAATTAAAGCATGCGTAATATGCACAGACGCTTGAATTTCAGAATTTTAAAGGAAAAGCAATGAGTGCACACGAAATGTACATATTGTGATTTACGTCCATGCATTATTTACAATTTGTATAGTTTAGAGATTGAAGTGGAAGAAAGTGGAGGAGAAAGTATAAATTTGGGCGACTTGAATCAGGGATTGGCTTCTTTGTGGCCATACCCTCTTGGAAGAATAGCGAGACAATGGAAACACCCTTTCTCACGGCCACATCCAACCAAAAACTGCTCAATTCTCTCACTCTCCACAAACACAATAGGATGCTGCAGTTGTGTGTGGATATAATGTGGCAGAGAGAGACAAAGGATGAAAGGAGAACAACAAGGGAGTCAAATCTATCTAAATAGTATCCAGCAGAAGATGAACATTATGTAATATGGGGCGATGCATGGTTGTGTTTGTGCTATAACCAAAATTTCAACATTATATAATTAGATTTTAATTTTATTAAAGTAATCCTGATATTATAATATAAACATCATAAGATATTTCCATACTTTAATTAAAAAGAGTATAATATCTCCACTACCTATTCATTAGCTCAATTGGGGTGTCATCGACAAAATCGCTAAACATGTCCATTAACTCGTTAGTCTCCCCTGTGCCATTTTGGTCTTCAATGACAACAAACATGGGAGCAGTAGATTGTTCGTCCTGAGATGATGTTGGGGTAGAAGGTTCGGCTGACTTGATTTTTTTCCAACTTTTAAGGCTCTCATTCTCGCCTCCACCATTGGTGATGATGGAACCGTCATCTTTTTCATCCAAAACCCTTCGCTTACTGCTACTCTGATGTCCGAAATCGTTGCTTTGTTGAGTTGCGTGTATTGAGGAGGAGGATGATATGGTGTATTGTTGCATGTGAGCAATTGGAACAATGGAATTGAAACTAGGTTCATTATTAGTACTATTGATTTTGTCAACTTTTTCTCGGAGACGTTTCAACTCTGTCATAATTTCGGTCAGGACAGGATAAGTCGAATCAACTTTGGTGGTAGTTGAAGACGTCAATTCCTCGTCCTCCTCCTCTTCGCTTTCAATAGAAGTTTCTCCCGTTTGGCATCCAGTATCGACAGTATCGATATTTTCATCTTGTCCGTGTCGTTCAACAAGTATGTCAGTTTCTTCAATTTGATTATTCTTCAACAAACTATTCAACACGATACTGGAGCGATCTACGTTGGAGCCGTAAATACTTGGATCGACAAGATGCATTGGAAATTCTAGGGATTGCGAAGATGGATGGACAAGTCGTTCTAGCATGGAGATTGAAGATATACATAATTCTGATACTTTTGAGACTGAATCCAATGAACCTCTCCTCAATAGATTTACAATAAGTCCGAGCGAAATGCTAGACCGTGCATTTGGATTCAATGCAAGTTCCACTAACGACTCGTTTAACTTGATTCGACAATTTTTGTCTTCATATTGACCTGGGAAAGTGCCTTGTTGGTAGATTTGGACGTGTGTTCTTACAAGAGTGCAGTACAAATTCTGGAAACAATTAAAATTAATTTGTTAAATAAAATATGAAGCTTAATTTTTGTACCATAAAATGAGTAAGAGTGATTGACCAACCTTGTGCATTTCTGGATCTGAAGCAGGAAACAATTTCATTAAAATAATCAGGGAAATGTGACAGACTTTTGCATTTTTCGGCAAAAATGCGTTATTTGCATTTAGTCCATCACAGCTCGCCACAATTCCAGTTGGCGTAGGTGGGGCTTTTGTGTGTAGTTTATTTTTCGATTTTCCACTCCACATTCGCAGCTCGATCTTTTCTTTCTCCAGCTCCACTTCTCGAGTAAAGTAGTCCATCCAGATTTTTAAGGTTTTTGCATTTGTTACCTGTCCTTTAGTCAAATTCAGCCAATGGCTGAGAGAGGAGTACATGGATAGCTTCAAATCTCTAAAGAATATAACACATACATATAAATATATAGATCAACTTAAGGCTATTTAACTCTGATCTTAACCGGTGTTAACTTACACGAATGAATTCCTACTATTCTCCATCCAACGCCATTGTTGTGAGAATATCTGTTCTACTGCAACCGCTTGTGGGAGGACGTTCGTGCCAAGGCTGCAATCATATAATTTTTATAAATGTTGTCAAAATAAATGCATGCAATACATATTTAGTGCGACTTCTCACCATATCACGATATCATTCAATAATTTGAACGCTGAAGAGTGGACATTCGGAAGTAATGCTGCCAAAAAAAGCAACTCTTTTCTAGAAGTCTGTTTCTGGCTGGCCAACAATTCTGTGGGGTTGACCGATATCAAATGACTGATCAACTTTAGCAAGTTTCGGGCAGGCACAGGCTTGTAGGAAGGAAACGATTTTCTGAAACAAAAACCATTATAAAATTTACTTATTCATACATTTATATACCTGGTAATACGATAGTCGATAGACAGTGTATATGGTCACCTCAAATATGCACCAATCGCTTGAAGTAAATTTAGTAAACGTTTCTTAATCTTTGAAACTTTATCGAAAATCTTTGAACTTGTAATGGGAGGAAGTAGAGGTTCCAAAGAACCACTTTCTTCGAATGGATTCTCATCCTGCAAAGATTAATTATTATTATCCGATAATCTATTTCCATTCTTCAAAACTAAATTTCATGTATAAAATTTTATATTTACTCACATCAATTGCCGAACAATCCGAGTACAAGAAATATAGACAGTCATATGCCTCCTTGCTCAACTTCTTTACCATTCCCAACCAATCCTGGCTATGATTATCTCCAGAAGAACCACCCCCTCCAATTTGAGAAATAAGTGGCATGATGTCACAAATCAGGTGGACAAACTCGGCATTGTCATGGTCCAAATAAATCACCAGCGCTTTCTCCAATTTGTCACGATAATAGCCACACGTTCCCCGGAAATTGACCAAACAGACCTTCAACAGTGTCACTACTTCCCGACTTGGCTGTCTCATCTCTTTTCCTTCCACGGTTTGCAGTTCTTCGAGGCAACTCGCCACGATTTTCGTTACGAATCCTCCCTTTGGTGTGACCTCTTTCAAAATGTCGGGCAAATTCTTACATTTTGGGAGAAAGTTGGCTGCAACAAATGGAATCAATCAATCAGTTTGTCTACCAAACTTTTTAGAGTCTAATTTAACTCACACAACGCTTCCTGAATGATTTGTGAATGTAAGAACTTATCACTGCAGATAAGCCTTAGGGCTGTTAACAGTGTGTCCTGCAAGCCGCCGAGTCTCTTTACGTCGACGCATTCGACCAACTCTTTGAAAATCCAGGCCCCTTTTTCACGACTTTTCGGCTCATTTAACAACCCTTTTACCTTGGATAGGACTGATTTTAAATCTTCATCGCTCTACAAACATACACAAAACCAATTAACCATAAAATATATATTCTTTTCAATTTTACTAGTAATTTTCTTACAATTTTGTCAAAAACACGGTGACTATTTCCAGCCGAGAAGATTTCCAGCAGTACAGGATCCGATAACGAGTCTGACTCTTGAGCAATTTCCGACCAAAGTTCCCACAATGATGTCGATGTCGCCATCGTAATTATCTAACGTGTCGGATAAGGGCTTATCGAAACAAAACTATAAAACCCTATTTTACACGATCCTGTTGATGCACGTTATTAAATGAAAGCATGTGCCAGAGACGATCGCGGTGGATCTGTTCCTCTATGTTTGTCTGAGAATCTGGATCATTTCGTCAACAAAATAAACATCACGAGCTTCTGATGTGACTAAATTAATTGTTGCATTTATTTAAAGGAGTTCCCCACTTATAGTTTTAGATATTAAGCATTTTATTTCAATTGAGTGGTAATTCCGCCGACATAATGGCGACTATGAAGAAAAAGGTGATCGCTAAAGTACTAACAATTTCTGCTAACAAAAACAACCAAAATTACCAAACTTTATTCTTATATTTACTAACTGATAAAATAATAAATGTTGACAAGTAGTAACTTTAATTTTAATTTTAATTGTTTGCAGGTCCTCCTCATGGGCAAGAGTGGGTCTGGTAAGACTAGTATGAGGTCGATTATATTTGCCAATTACATTGCACGGGACACACGAAGATTGGGGGCGACAAGTAAGTAAATATTATAAAATTGTAATTATTATTAATTAATTAACTAATTAAAACTGCAATTATCACTTTGCAGTTGACGTGGAACACTCGCATGTCCGGTTTCTGGGAAACTTGGTCCTCAACTTGTGGGATTGTGGGGGTCAGGAAGCGTTCATGGAGAATTATTTTGCCTCCCAAAGAGATAACGTAGGTTGCAAACAAATTTCTATATATGTATTTAATATCAATAATCAGAATTATTTAATTTATTTGGCAGATTTTTTCTAATGTTGAAGTTCTCATCTATGTGTTTGACGTTGAATCGCATGAACTTGAAAAAGACATGCATTACTATCAATCTTGTCTGGAAGCGATCCTTCAGAATTCGCCAAACGCTAAAATATTTTGTTTGATTCACAAAATGGATTTGGTTCAAGAGGAGCAAAGGGATTTGGTAATTATGACTAATATTATGGTTTTGTTGTATATTAAGTTATAAATTATCAAATGCTGAATAGATCTACCAAACTAGAAGAGATGACTTAAAACGCCTATCAAAACCGTTAGATTGTACTTGTTTCAGAACTTCAATTTGGGACGAAACTTTATATAAGGTTTGGATTAATTGATGGGATGTTTAAAGTTGGTTGAAAAATGCTTAATGATAATTTTTCTGTAAAGGCCTGGAGCTCGATAGTTTACTCTTTAATTCCAAACGTTCGACAGCTTGAGAATAACTTGGCAGAATTTGCCCACATAATTGATGCGGATGAAGTCTTATTATTCGAGCGTGCTACATTCTTAGTCGTCTCTCACGCACAGAGAAAGACACACAAGGATCCACACCGTTTTGAGAAAGTTTCAAATATAATAAAACAGTTTAAACTGTCATGTAGCAAACTAGCAGCTCAATTCCAAGTATGTGTTATTAACTAAACATTTATACTGCATTATAGCCCGAACTTATTTAAAATCTTCTTCTAGAGCATGGAAGTTCGGAACTCGCAATTTGCTGCTTTCATTGATGTGTTCACCCCCAATACCTATGTCATGGTCGTAATCTCTGATCATAGTCTTCGTAAGTATATTTATACACTGAAAATTGTTTCATCCAAACTCAAAGCTGACCAAAATTTTAATTTTTTTTCAATTTAGCATCGGCAGCAATGCTTCTTAACATCAGAAATGCACGCAAGCACTTTGAAAGTATCGAGAAAGTTCAGTCTGCGGCAAGAATTCTGCGTTGAAGCGAAGAAAACGATTGAATTATCGGATATTAAAGCGTAATATGTCCTATTACTGCTTAACTGGCTTCACCATGATTTTTAGTTGCTATTTTGACTTACTGGTTCTACCAAATCCACTACGGATCAGGAGGAGTCAATTTAAATTATGTTAGATGTAATCAATAATTAAATTTGTATTTTCATATCCTACTCCCATCTTAATCCATGTAATGACTGAATGTATGCACAGAATGAGGCAATACTATAGTGATGTTCACAAATGTTTTACCACGACCTCAACACAGTTTTGCATAACCCGAGGTGAGCCCGAGCCAAGGTTCCAAAGAGTTATCATGATGAAAGACATGCAGATATTCATGAGGGTACGGTACTCGAGTTAAAAAAGAGAAGGAAGGTTGATTATATTTCGTATGTTTGAAAATTTTAAATGTTAAAATTCCTAATTTACAAGAAAATAATAGTCATCTCTCAATCATTTGAATTTTACAAGACTGCAAAAGTTTAATACGTATAATACAACGATCAGAATTTAATATGAGATAAAGTATTTTATTATTATTTAAATGTGAATAAATCAAAGAAATAATTACAAAACGTCACAGCTAAAAAAATAACTTAATTATTACAATCATTTTGACGTGGGTTTCCTATTATGTTTTAAAATATCTCCTGGCGAAGGATATGGTCGTTGTTGAAATAGAGGGCCACTTGCCGTTGTATCCACGCCTGTTCCCTCCTCATTACGTAGTCCGGCAGCCCAATTTCCACTAAAAATTTAAAGAAATACAAGGGTTAATTAAGGGGTTCCATTTAAATTTACGATTGATATATTCCAAATGTTAGAAAAAACATACCGAGGAACATCGGAATAAGCTGTAGGAAATACACAATACAAATTTATTACCTATAAATAAATAATAAATTATAAGATAATAATATAAAACCGACCTGCAGGGTCCATGGGATCTAATTCCTCCCGTTCCTTTGCAGCTTTCCGTTTGTCAGAATGCCTCAACTTTCTCAAAGATTTCTTCATCAGCTCAGAATTAGATGGTACTGGTTTATTCGCTTCAGCCAATTCTTCATCGTGCAATTTTTCCCTCATTTCTGGTGCGGCTTTTCCTATTTTTGCCTTTGGATAAGTTGGACTTGTCCAGCACACGTTATCTGTATCAGTGTGCCAGTAGTAATATCTTCCCCTGTAAAAAATGAGAACACAATTTCAAACTCTTCACAATGGTCTTTATTACATTATTTTTCTTACGTTCCAGGATCATAAATCTCAAGCCAATTTGTGGGAAGTGGATACTTTTTAAGCATCATGAGTCGTCTTCTGTTATAACTTGGAGTAGGTTTGACCTTTCCTCGTCCCCATCTCGTCACGCAAAATGCTGGCCAACAAATGCTTAATTAGCATCGCGATAGTTTTCTATATAAGTAATTGATCACATTATTTACTTACGTGTGCAGATGTGATGCATATTAACTTTGTTGGGGCACCCATAATGTCCCATTCGGTGGAATTTTGTAATGGTAGAAGAATTTGCAGGTTTACGAATGGGTAACATTGAGCTTCCTAACGTTGATGACGATAAGGACGAACTCCCCCCTAGAGCCTTACCACCTGCGGAACCCGGTTCATCATAACTCTCTGCTATGACCTCTTCAACGAACCCTAAAAAATTTGACGATTATAATTGACAAACAATGTATGCTTTTAATTACATTTAATTTATTATTTAATAAATACTTGGCCGGTCGTCAGAAGAATTTTCCTTGTTTCGAACTGACGCAGACGTTGAGGTCTGAATTAGGCCTCGTTTCGCCAAACGAGCAGCTAATGCAGGGGGAAGGGGCATAGTTGATAGTTATCGAGGGGAGGTAATTAATTTAAACTATTGACCAATTAATTAGCTCATACAAACAAACAAACTGCACATTTTTCGATGTTTAATTTTGTTTCATAAAAGTACTTCCCAGCAAACTTTTGCTCAATGGGCTACACCTTGCTCAATGGGCTACACCTCGCTCAACTTGCAACACGATGCACGATTAGTTGAAATGAAATCACAACAAATTATGAATTACAACATAGATATGTAACGTATTACAATTTATTGATAAGTTGTCCAAAAATTATAGACCAAACTCAGTCTTTCTGTCCAGAATTCAAAATAATACTTAACATAAGAGCATGATCTTTGTAGCGTCACGATCCTTTATGAAATCTGTTTCTTCTTTGATTAGTTTTAAAGCAAGTTTTGTGGCTGCTTCTTTCGCCCTCGGGTATGTCGTCCCCATTCCAAAGTACTTTCCAAACCGTCCCACATCTATCCGACAACATTCCCTTCCACGAGCACGTGTGGAGGCCCCAGAGTACCCACTAGGTCGAAATAATTTTATCAGTTAAAATACTGAATTTAAATTCTGATTCTGTCATACCTGAACTTAATTTCAATTTCGTCTTCTGCCATCAATGATTTTAGTGAATGGATGGGGGATGGGGGTTTTGTCTCCCAGAAAACGTCTATACAGTATAAAATAATAGGATGAATACAGGGTGGTTTAAATGTCAGGTTACAATGGAAAATTTTTTAATGGGAAAAATTTTTAAATTTCCATTAGTTACGGATTTGGGATTGAGATTTTTATTAATTTTTATTAAAACTTATGACAAAATTCTTAAAATATTGAATTTCAGAGGCAAAATTTAGGTAACTAATGGATATTTGCGAATTTTTCCCATTGCAAAATTTTACATTGTAACCTGACATTTAAACCACCCTGTATTTTGACAATTTTTAAATATTTCGGGCTCACCAAGTTCATTCAGCATGAGGCGATAAAATACACGCCATACGACATCCAAAGACTTACTGTCAATGTAAATTGCACCAGCCAGGGCTTCCCAGATATCGCCAAGAACCTTTAGTAACAAAATAAAATCGTTAGTATTGATATGTATATCAAAATGTCAATATTTGTATGTATTTTTCATTGAGTAATTGGTCATCGACCTTGGGTACTTCAATATGCTTTGGCCCACGGCACTCTTCATCTGTTACAAGGGAAAACTATTCGGAAAATTAAGAAAATATTTGATTTTGGTACAATGTAATTAGAAAAAAAATCTGACTTTCGTGCGTACTTACGTGGCCAACGACATGATGTTCCATACTCTCTTGAAAAACAACAAAGTTGTCAATCATGTCCGTCAAGGGCTTTGACATGGACAAGAGGTGTTTTTGAAATCCATGACGGACAGCGAGTGAAGCATAGGTCACATTGTTAACAAATGCGGAACGGATACTTTGCAAATCTTCTGCACTTCGACCACATGGTTCTTGGGAGTATACGTAGTTCGTCAAGAGGAGGTCTGCATATTAATTTTTAATTAATTTTTGGTATAACAACTAATTTAATCATTATGAGCATGGAGTTTTGAACATATTGTACCCAGAACAGCATCCCCTACAAATTCTAGTCTTTGGTAACAGTCTTGTAAATTGTGACCGGGGTAAGTCGGATGAGTAAATGCTTGAAGCAGCAACGCCTTATTATTAAACCTGCAGACACAGAAAATATATTTATAACTACAATAGGTTAATATTTAAAACAATACTTAACTAAATATATTCTGTGGTACTCACTGATATTTAATCAATTCCTCCAAAGCCTCAAACTGAGGGAATAGTTCACGGCCAGGATTCGCCGTCAAACTCCTTTCAAAAACTGCAACATCATCTGGAAACCCCCTTGTAAAATCATTCAAGTCTCTGCCAGTACCCTCCCAATCTGGCGCTTGAATGTTCAGCCACTGCAAAGCTTTGTAAGCCCCATGGGATCCATTGCTGACGAAGAAAGTTCCTACGAGCCCATGCAATTTGTTGACCACCTCGTAATTTGGTAACTCGGTGTGAGTGAATGTGGCGTGTTTAAAGGAGTATAACGCAGGCTTTTTTCGATTTGGTTGAGATCTACGATCAGATGAGTGTGGTGCTGGTGCAGTTGTCGAAGACTCTTCCGTAGCGCCAGGAGTTAAAGAAGCCTTTTTGTTTATAAATTCTTCAATTTGCTGGCGACTCATGTCCTATCATACGCCAAAAAAAGCGTCTACGCTTCAAATTTATATTCCTATACAGTATTAAATATTTATAATTTTTACGTCTTACGTCCAATTTATTTCTATTAATCCTCGGATTCTGGTTAACAATCAGTTCATCAAATATATTTAAATGCAACTTGCTCTCTGCAACAAGTTCACCAAGATACTCGAGGACAAGCTGAAAATTTTTTAACCAACACAAATTTTAACCTTGTTGAGTGACGTTACTTTATATATTTCATGCGATTTACCCGTTTCCCAGGTGGAATCCAACTAGCACCAGGATGAAAATCGCTCCCGCTTATCATTTTAGGAAGGCCTTTCCTCTTGCAGAACATATGCAGAACTCGTAAAGTCAGAAGATTGTTGCGTAACTGAATCAATAAAGGTTCTCCATACAAAGGAAAGTTACAAAATGCGAACAAGGACGTGGCAAAGGACAAAAATGACGATCCAATAGCTTGGTATCTCTCGGCGACCAACCCCTCGTTGGACAACTTGTAGCTCAATGCCTACATAGATATTTTACGATAATAGAATCCAAAAATTAAATTTGATAAGAAATCTATTTACGTATGACTCACCTCCATAATGGTAAGTAAGGAAGGTCCCATGTTATCACGATCCAGAGGTTTGTCCAACGGATTCAACTTAATATCCTCAATGTTTAGGAGTTCTGTACACACATATTCCATTATGAGTATCGCTTCACTTTTTGTATCAATTTATGTATGCAAAATGTTTTTTCCTTACCAAATTTTGATTTCAGCGACAATTCTGCACTCACTAACTCAATTTCGGCCGACTGCAGTGTCATTTTTTTTGCCGCAGACTGTACAGAGACGGCTTCATGGAACAAGTTGATATCTTTCAAAGTAATGTCGTTTGGATGAATGAATTCATAATGAAGGTCTCGCTCCTCAATGTGTGGTTTAGTTGGTTTCTGTTTCTTTGACTGGATTTTTTCATTGCGAAGTTCGACCCTTCGTTTTCTACGATTTTCATTCTCCTTTTTCTGCATTTCATGGGCTGAAGATACTAATTCCAGCTCAGCCACGCCATGAATGACTTCCGTTTGAATCTTAGGCCATCCCGTACAGGCAGAGACCTCAGCCAGAAGCTCATGGGCCAACAAAAGCCTCGAAAGGCGGTGAAGTACGCTAGGAAGTAGTTTAAGTTGTACGAATAAAGTTGCAGGGATGTTAATCGAATACACAAGTTCTGGAACCTTAATAAAAATAAAACTTAAACGTCTACGTCTCATTTAATTAACAAAAATTAGCATATATCATAGTAGTAAATGCTCTACCATGTAAATTGGATATTCGTCCTCTTTATTAAATTTTTCCAAGAGATAGTTCATCTGCAGCGGGTCCCTTTCTTTCCGACCCAGAGCAATTCCAGCAAGTTTGCATTTTAATAATTTTTGGTTCGAATCTTGAATCCTCACTTTATACTCTGTCTCTAGAAAGTTTTTGTAAGTTCCACCCTGAAACTCCATCATTGGTGACAAATCTTCCATGACACAGTCTACGAGATAAGCCTGAAAAAATACATCGAACAAATATAAATCCAAATTAAATTTTAATCCCCTTGTGCTCTTTTTTTTAATGAAAATAGATTCGGTCGTACAGGTTTCGGTCTTTTGTACCACGGGAAGACTACTGAATTTCCAAAGGATTTTTGCAAACTCGATGTTGATCGTGATGGTACTCGGCTCCTCGACTGATCTCTACTTATCCGTGGTGGTCTCATTTTTTGGATGGCATCAATTTCTTTAAGCTCCTTTTCAATATTCTCGTTCAATATCCAAGTATTTTTAACTATTGGAGATGACAGATGCTTAAAATTATACACTTATCGACAGTAAAGATAAAGTTAACGCAATACCCTTGGTTATGGGGGTGATCAACCAGGAACTTTCTGAATCTCCTCGAAGGAGAGGATGTTTCAATCCTAAAACATCAGAGAACAAGCTGTGCTGAACATACTTTAACCTTTCCAGCAACCGATCATTCAATTTTAAGTCTGCATTATTTTTCATTCCCAATTTTAGAGGAGTAACGGTGCAGTGGATGGTTCCAAACGTCCCAAAAAGTGGAAACACACCAACCTAATTAACAAATTTATGAAATTATTTATTTAGATACATATTTATCATAAGCATTTTGTATAGTTTAACTCACATTTGGAATTGATTGGGTAGTAATTATAGCAAATCCCACCTCCGAATTATGGAACTTATACAAATTAGTCCATGGGGATTGTTCTCGTTCTTTAGCCAAGTCAAAATTCACTTTATAAACGTAAACTTCTTGACGACTCGAAAGTGGAGGACCTACAAGCACCTTTGGGATCTGTAGGAGTAACAATTATATAATTTATCAATAATTAGTAATTAGTCACTAATAATTTCATTCACTAAGTGATTTTTTTCGAACCCTTTTAGGATACCATTCGTTTCGATAAATTACTTCATCCTTTTCCGTTTTCTCATTAAGCTCCCCTGGCTCTGGGGTTTCGTCTTCCTCATCAGGTCCTTCGCCAAATGGGACGAGATACTTGAAGTATTTCTGTATTTTGATAGGAATGGTGGGATGACATGGAACAAGCCTGTCATCCAAGCACCCAGCGTCCAGCAGAAGTTGTGATGCGGCCATGTACACGGCTTGTCTTGCTGATTCTTTATTTCTCATGGCTTTTCCCTGTACAATTAAAATTATTGCAAGACAAATTGGTTATTATTATTTTGTGCCCATTTTAAAATAATGTCATACTTCAACTGTCTGTTTCAATGCTCCGTTTAGTGGCAGCTTCAGATAAGCTTTGTACTGACCAAGAATATGCTGATCATCGCTCCACCAGGACATAGTCTGCAGAGTCGCAATTCCATCTGAGGGCAGGAGATTACAATATCTCTCCACCACGTCATACGCGGAGTCCATTGTTATTTTAGGACTATCTGGTAACCCCCCAGGACAAATTGGAGGGATTACATCAGCTTGCCACGAATTTTTTATCGTGTGCAGGTCGGCGTCGATTTTTTCTACATTTCTCTTTAAATGTAATATAATACTTTGGTTAATTTCTTGAAACAAGGTCAGTTTTTCAGATAGTTTGAAATAATCATTTTCTGGGAGCAAAGCATAAAACGTAGCTCCTTTCTTCCTAGCTCTTCCCATGCTCTGGATGTATGACGTATAAGTGTTGACTGGGTCGAATCGGACCTACATAATTTTAGACAACATATGTATTGCTTATTACTTGTTCAGCGTTTCCATTTGCTTCCTGGCATAGACACGTGATTCAACGCTCTCAAATGCAGACCGTGAAGTACCCACGACAAAGTTGGCTCGAATAAATCCATGATCAGTTTTACTATGCTTGGCTAAATCTTTCAAGTACCACGCAAGCACTTGAGCAGTCCCCCTTCGATCTGTGAAAACAAGTCCACACAGTCGGTTGTCATCTCCAAATTGGCATGCTGGGGCGGATTCAAATGGCCTAGAGAAAAACATAGACCTTAATAGTAGAATTAGCCTTGGGTCAAGTTCATGTCTGTGAAATCTGTACCTGTACTTTTCCAAAATCCTGACCAAAGATTTAAGTTTGGGCGAAATAAATCTATGCACATATTTCTTCTCGTCCACTTCATTATCCGCCATGAACGAGTTTATTTCATACCTGGATCAATGGGAACGGAATAGTAATTATGTTATGCTTTTAATAAATACAGGAATAACATAGACTGAACCATATAGTTACCTAAGTTTATGAAAGTAGTCACGAACTTTGATGTACCAACCTTTCACGCTTCCATCATTTATGTCTAATAGACTAAATTCGATAAATGCCAAACGTAAATTAACTGCAATTAGGGCGCAATACAAACCTGTTCCAAAATACATAAAAACAGGATTTATTATTTGTGTCAATTAACTAATTTTATGTGAATATGTTCACCAAGATCTTTGTATGCATGAAGCACATCATCAAGAGCTCCCTTTAAATCTCCAGGAGTAGCCTTTCTCTGTTGTAATTGGTAAAGATTCTCCAAGTTGTTCATCAACCTTGAGTCAATGCTAGCAGGTGCTAGCTTGGCAGACATCATCCTCTCCTTTTGTCTCTTTTTTCGCAAAACTTGCAAGTCTTTGCTGTATTCCTCCATTTGAGAGACATGCAGTGCGTCAACGAACCTGTCATTTTCGGACACACTGATACGTTCAATGGTAGAGCTCGTGGAATGGCTTTAATCATGAATGAACATTAACCACATAAAAAGGGGGATCGTTAAATTAATAATTGCATTGTAAGACACCTCAACACTTCCTCGTAGTCTTTGTAAGTCAGAGCGGCACTGTGCAGTGTACTTTCCAACCCTTGAATCTTGGACGCAACCTCGTGGGGTTTGCAAGGTCCCATGATGATTGTTGCGGAAAGTCCTAGAATTCTGGGAAGCTGGTAACTGGGGTCTGACTCCTTTGTTCGTGAGTACTCCTTCATTATCTGCAATATTATTACAAAATTAATCGCCCTATTCAATGTTTAATAATTAACTATGTAAAATGTTTCAATATTACGAGGGCCATCGGGTGATCTCCAAACGCATGGTGACACTCGTCAAAAATGATGAGGGCGATTTTAGAGAATGCAATATAGCCGTGCTTTATCATATTCAAAAATATCATGGACGTCATAGCCATAACCTAGTAAATATACAGCTATCAAGTAATATTTAATCGATAATAATAATCTTTGATAGATAATAAATTCCTTACATTAAATTCATTAACAATGGCCTCCCATTTGTCTAACGACCAGTAGTCCACATCCATATCACCAGTTAAGTGCCTAACTTTGAAACTTGAATTCCGATGAATAAACGCTGCTTGCTGATTAACCAGGGGTATAGTATTGGCCAAAAAGAAGACTTTCTTACCCTCCCTAGAGATTAAAGAATTAGAATATTCAGTTTAACTCTAGATATGCTTTGAGTTCTAATGTAACCAGTAACCATTACGTTGAAATCACTGGTCCGAAATGTTCAATCAGCTTCAGAGCAATAAAGGTCTTCCCTGAGCTGTATGAAATGCAATTTTATACATTGTATAATCTTATGTTTAAATTAGCAAGTAACTTTTTTTACCCTGTTGGTAGGCAAGCCATAATATTATGGGTCTTGGCATATTCTAGCAAGGCAGTCTGAAAAGTATCCAAAATAAGACAATTTCCAGTGATTTTATATCTTTTTCATTGACACATTACCTGGTATTTCCGATCTTCGAAGCACAAGCTCTTTAGTTGCGCTTCAGAATGGTAATCTAGAAAATATTGTTTTTTAGCCATTTTGCATTCCTTATCATCCATAATCCATATCTTCTCGACTTACAAATGAATAGATATAAAAGTCACAAGTCATCAACTTACCCAGATCCCCTGCATCCGTCGTGACCTTCAAGTACAAGTTGCACCTGGAGCAAAGACACCGGACGACCCTCATTTCGTGTAAACGCCTAGCGGTGGACAGGAACGGTAGCTGGAAGCGTTCTATGTCCCCGTGAACACAGATCCGATCAGATTTCGATTCGTCTAGTAATCACAGACAGGTCGACCACGCTGCACCAGCCATTAAACCAAAATGGTTGCAAATCTTATATAATTTTTAGTGGCTAAATAAAATAAATAAATCCATAGACAAGTTTTTCAGACTTTTGACTTCACACATGTACAACTGACTCCCACCTCAGTTTTGCAAATTGATCGATTTCGCTCGTTTTGCCCCATTTTTGCAAATTCAAGTTTTTGGATTTCTTTATTCAACTCTAAACTAATTAAAAAATTGTTTTTAAATTAGCATACTTTGATTATATGTTTAACCCGAGCTTATATATGAAATCGTCAGATCCATTAGTATTGTGATACCTCGCGTAAAAATTATCCACTTATACCAAGTCTGCACTGCTTGTTTTTTATGACGACGTAGAATAAGTAGTTAATACAAAAACGTTTTCATGCAAATTTAACCGTATCTTATCACTGATAAATGTACTATGTAAATATGTATATGTATGAATGTCAGATTACAGAAAGTATTCAGTTGCTGAATTCGGTTTTGTTTGGTGATAACAATTTGAAATCGGTGGTCTCATATTTTACTAAATAAGACCATGCAAAGTTAGTTTTAAGCTGATATTATTACTACTTTATTATTACGCTAAATAGTCTAGTTCACAAAATTCATTCTTAATCTACACATTTAAACCTTTAACTTTAAATGATTTTACAAATATTAATGTTAATGCAACTCTCACCAAAATACAAATATTAGAGCTCTGCTTTGTTAATTCGCTCAATAATCTTGGAGACGGTCAACACTGCCAAAATCTCTTACTGGTCAGTCCTCTAGAAAAGTTCAAGTTTAAATTATTATCAAATTATAAATTCTATAGACCATACATTAATGAAAAATATTGCCATAATATATTTCTTGTTAAATGCTCGTCTCATGTTGCCTCACATTTGAGACTATACATATTTATGTAAATATTGTAATATGCTTTCTCATTCAACCGAATAATATGGAATGTCATTCATTCACGATATCTGATTACTAATCTGCATGTGGATCCGGTCTGGAATCAAGTATATTACTAAATAGAATATTATTCAAATTAATTTCAGCTATTATTTGGTAGGAGACACATGCAAAATATGTAGGAATGTAACTGTATTGAATTGAATTGAATATGAGCCGTAGGAAGTGCATGATGCTAAAAATGGGAGTAAACTGTTCAAAACTCAACTCATCCATTAAATCAGATGCATGCATATACCTACGCAGATTTATCAAAGCACGAAATATGTATACTAATATTTAGTAGTATTTGTTTCGAGAAACTGCAATTACCTAGCCAAGAAAAGTGTCAGCAAAGTAATTCCTGTTGAACAAACAAATTTAAGTCGAACAAGGTAATTTTGCATAATTTCGTGACAAGAGAGCCACAATATATTACTATTCTATTGTTTCAAGAGGTATATAAGTATAAGCAAAATGTGTGTGAATTTACAGAATATCAAGGCAATCTAGTTAGCAGCAAAGCATGGACAAGGAATTATGCACAAGTTCTTTAATCGTGTGTAAAATATATCAGCAGATGTAAATCATTAGTTGAGAAGCTACCAATATATACATTAAACTGCAAATTTCTTAAATAAAATGTAAGCTACCGATAACCCAGTGATTCATAAGTACATAATTTCTCAATTTTAATTTATAATAAAGATCAATTTTCATATTTTTAGGGAATATTCAGACGCCGAGCATGAGGACGTGTTTCATGAATCTTCAAGTTCTGCCTTGGAGGAAGAAAAAAGTGAAAGGAGTGAAATCTCGTCCAGGAGAAAGTATTTGGCTAAACAAGTTCGTCAGTTGTCGTCTCGAATTGGTAAAATTGAAATCGTGCTTTACTTCAACGCTGCCAGTTATTGAGCAAATGCATATTTTCTAGATTCGTTGAGTGAAAAAATGGACGCTATGCTAAAAAAATACAAATCAGTGCAAACATCAAGCTGAAATGTATTGTAAGAAAAATGACGAGGAATCGAGGAGTTAATACTGACATTGTTCTATTCTAATTAATGGATGCATGTTTACATTTCTGTATGTGTAATTGCAAATCTAATAGTCAATAATAATGTTATTTCCTTGTTTTAAAATTGATATATTCGACTGACCCAGATCTACTTATTTTTTATGAGTGCATCATAATTTTCAGCTTAAAATAACACCACGGGTAGTGTTAGAGTTTTGTGATTCATGAGACTAAAGAAGGCTTCGCAAAATTCGCAAAGGTAAAGATTTGCAAAAGTGAAAACTTCCAAAATTAATGACCGTCTAAACTAACGTTAACATCCTTTTGGTTATCGAAGAATAAACGATGGAATTTTGAACTTTTCTCTGAAATTAAGCTTTATTTTCTGGAAACATTTTATAAAGCCATACACACGTGTCTTTAATTTCACTACCAATAGATATACATATAATAATTTCAAGTGTTTTGGTTAAATATTACATCGCTAAATTGAGAGATTGTTGGCCTATGCATATTAAGATAGAGTTTGATATAATTGGAAGAATCACACGGGTTCTAGTTATTTTTTAGTGTTTTGGTATTAGATCGGGATATTTTACGCTAGCTTAAAATAAATATACAAGAGACGAAAGCATAATATAAACCTGAACAAGTAGAATTGTTAGCATATAGAATTTGCAAACATTCAGTAGAATAAGTTACTTTTAGTAAACAAAATATGCAAGATATCACTCCAATTTGGTACAAGAACGCAAGATTATTTTAATAATATGTAACTACATATGTAAGATTACAGTGATTGTCATTCATGGTCTTTAAACAGATAATTGGGTAGCACTTTGAATCAAAACTTTGATAGCTGGAAGGAAAGTAGAAATTTCTGCAAAGTTTCCAGCACTTACTAGCTGCGTGTGAATTTGCAGCGCTTGTTGATAATCTTTGGTACGAATGGCATCTACCAAAGAATGTAAAGTAGTTAGCGTAGATTCGGTCAAGGAACCATTTCTGAGCTTTTCTGAAAATGCGTCCAACTTTCGGGCAACATCTTCCAATTTCCGTTTCATTTGAATCAAATGTGCAACATCGTAACATTCTGAACGTAGTTTTTCTAAAGTATCCACAAGCGTTGCGTGCTCAGGGGGAATTGGGCCAAGTGGTTTGGGGGGTTCAGCTACTTTTGCTGGTGGGGGTGGTGTTGGAGCTGGTGGATTAATTGGTTGAAAAGTAGAAGCTGGATTTGGCACGAACGGGGGTGTAGTCGACGCTACATTACTTGAGTTAGAGGGAAGTGGATTGAATTGCTGATTCTGTGTAGGGTTGAATGTATTGAAAGATGGTGGCGCAAATGGAGACGAGTTGGAGACAGCATTATTATTACTAAACTGTGGTGGTGGCGGTTCCACTGGAGCAGCCCCAAAATAATTCATTGATGGCGGCGGACCTGTTTGTGATGGAGGCCTTAAAATTGGTGCGTCCATTGGTGCGGGGGCAGAAAATCCCCCAGGGCCTGGTGGTGGTGGCATCATCGGCTTAGTTAATGGGGGTCCACCCAAAGTCTGTGCGGTAGGAGGAGAAGCAAACGCACTCTGCACTGGGGTCGACGGTCTATACCCTACTTGGCCTGTATGAAGAGGAGGAGGAGGAAAAGCGACTTGTGGAGCAGATGGTTTTCCAAATGGACTTTGCGATGTCGGTGGTGGCTGACCAAACGGTTGCTGTTGCGATGTTGGTGGTGGTCCAAATGATTGCTGTGATGTTGGTGGTGCTTGACCAAACGGTTGCTGTTGCGATGTTGGTGGTGGTCCAAATGATTGCTGTGATGTTGGTGGTGGTTGACCAAATGGTTGCTGTTGCGATGTTGGTGGTGGTCCAAAGGATTGCTGTGATGTTGGTGGTGGTCCAAATGATTGCTGTGATGTTGGTGGTGCTTGACCAAACGGTTGCTGTTGTGATGTTGGTGGGGGTTGACCAAATGAACTTTGACCGGAAGAGTAATAGGGACTTTGTGACATGGTTGGTGGTGGACCCATTTGAGAGGGTGGCGGACCGAAATTACTAGACTGTTGTGGCGGATATCCACTATTTGATGATTGTCCATACGAGGTTGATGATGGACTGTATATTGTCTGTTGCTGTGGCGGAGGTGGCATCATTGGAGAATTTCCATATGGATTCGATGGCTCTGGTGGAGCAGCACTGCCAAATATCGGATGAGTTATTGGTTGAATAGTAGATGCTAGAGTAGTTGGCGTCGGCTAGAAATGATAGATTAATGTATTTGGCATTGAAATATTTATAATTATTTTGCTAATTTCAATAATCCAGCATGTATGTACCTTTGGTTTATTCGATGTTTTCATTGGAGGAGGATCATTCCAGCCATGAGCCGCACTAGACACGGGGGGATGTGGGAGGGAACTACCTAAAGGCGTTCTTGCCGGTGGTGGTTCCTTTGCAGGGGGCATCATAGAACTCCTGGGAACTTCAGCTGGAGTGTAAATTGATCCAGTCATCGTAGATGATGGTACCCTTGGAGGCAATCCAACTGATGCACTTCCATATTGTGAGGAGGCCGAGGGAGGCGAATATTGTCCAACGGTTGGAGGAACGTTAGGATTAACGTACACATTTCCATAAGCAGACTGTTGTGGATTGTTTGACAAATATGATGGCTGTGGGGGATGAACTGGTCCTGTCAAATTGTCAAACTCAGAACTACTGAAAACTGGGCGTGAAGATCCCAAATTCGTGTTGGGGTATGCTGGTCGTTTCGTAAATGAGCTTCGCATTGAAGATTCCGAAGTTTGTCGGCTCCTAGTTTGACGTTGAGTCTTTATGGGACGAGGGGATCGAAGGGAGAGATAAAGTCTCTCCTTGAATAATTCAACTTCTGGATCATTGCATTCTCCCAAGAAACTCAAAGCCAGCTCCAGACATCCTTGAGATGCCAGTAATCCAGAATATTGAATAAGTTTCGATGCTACTGATCCTCCATCAACGTTATTTTCACGTCCCCACATTTCTCCGGCCTTCTTCAAAATCATGATTTGCTCAACTAGATCCTGCAATGCCACACATACCATACATTAGCAAATTAGCAACACAAAAGTAAAAATATAAACTACGTTCTAAAATTTTTTTTACTTACCTGTAATTCATCAGGCGTATTGCCACGATGCTTATCCGAATCACTTATCCAGACATCCACCAAATGGTTCAGATTTCCAGAACATATGCAGCAAAGCAAGGCACCCAGCTTCTGGCTTTCTACTTGGCTACTTTGAAGGCGTTGTCCCAACATGTCTAAATGATAAATACGTAGTCAGATCAGATCAACTACCATTCCGTAATTTCCTGTAAATGTTTCAATCTTACCAGCTAAAATAGGAAACTCTTTGTTATCTGCATAAGTTGTAACAACTGCGAGAACTTGTTTCCAACTGTCAAGCGAGCACCGATCAACAAGTTTGGCTAAATCATGAGTAACTACAGCTCGTATCATTTGAGTGGCTTCACTTTGACATTTCTATATTATATCAAATAATAAATAATAATATAGTATTAATATTTTTCATGGTTTGATAACAACTCGAGTTGACAAGTTTTTGATTGAGGCATACTTCGAAATACTTATTCTGAACTTTCATCAACGTTTCGGGGGTTGCTTTGGACGCAAGTAGTAGTGCATCAGCCCAACGTTCATCCTCGACGCACAGATTTACAGCTACATCAATATTTCCACATAGTAAAGCTTGATTTATCTTTCCATCGACAGCTATAAGAAAACAGAATTAGTAATCCACACTTTTACAAAAAAAAAGTGAGCCATCTTACAGTTATCATCGGTAGGAACTTCTAACTCTTTTTCTGGCTTTGCAATGGAACCTCCTCCAGATCCAAATTCGTAGCCATTTGCATAACCATCAGGAGCCTAAAAGTAAATTGTTTATTTTTTACACGAAAAAGTATCACATATTAAATATCATGCAAATTCAACATTCTTAATTTACTCCTCTTCCAAGAGCTTCGAACTCGTCAACCACGCCATTCATTGTTGAATCAGACACCTTACTGCCCAGCTAAAAAATATAAAAATTTGAATAGTAAGCATCTTGTTATTTAGGTTTCGCAAATTATGACAAATTACCTTGGCCATAATTTCGGAAGCATTAAATCCAAGTTTTGATAAATATTCTTGACGAGGATGTTGTGAAAAGTTTGCTTGCAAAAAGTCCCATATTTGGGCTTCGCTCGAATCACTGGATTCAGCAGCCTAATAAAAATACACAAATTACATTAACTAACATCACTACTTAAAACTGAAAAAGGTTTTGATATTTATTACACACCTTTTGAGCACAATAAGATTCCAGCGATCCAGATTGCAAGGTATCCTCCAATTTCTTTGAGCGTTCAATCAAATTCGGAAGGGTTACAAGTTGAAGGACGGATACCACGCTGGTCACCGTTGGTGCTTGACCTGGCTGAGTCGGAGCCACTTTGGTATTTGTGAATGAAACTAGCTTCCCACCAAACTATACAAATAAAACCAACATTATAGGAGGATTATTATTGCAATTATTTTGCATCGATGATGTTGACTTACTCCAAATGAAGCCCCACATGGTCTTTTCAGCCATTTAGGAGCATCTCGTAACTGAAGGAATGCTGGTTGCTGAGAAGGCAAAGGTGCTGACAGTGTCATATCCATACCCGGAAAACTATCCGCAAGTTTGGAAGAAGTTACTGGATGTTGAACCCCTCCAGAAAGTCCAAATATACTAACTCGACCGTCGTAACTGGATGAAGCAATTACAACTGGGTTCTTCGGACAGAAGCTCACATCAAAACTGTACTGAGAAGATGTTGGAATATCGCACACCATCTCGTATCCCTTAAAAAACAAGTGCAAGGCTATTAGAATCCATTATTCAAGTATATCTAGCACAAATTCGTATATAATTAAATTGCTAACAAACTTACTGGGTGAGGAAAGTTTGGGTTCCAACACAATATCCGTGCCTCTTTCCCACACGTTAACAACAAGTCAGAATCTTGTGAACACCATGCCATTCCCAAAATTCCTCTTTGGTGTCCCTGTATAACTTTCAAGGGGGCAGTTGCGTAACGAAGATCCCACAGTTGAATAACAGGATTGTTATCATCCTCTGAGGCAAGGCACATTTGTGTGGCTACTTCTGGATGCCACTCTACAACTTTGTACCGAATCTAGTACCAATTCAAAATCGTTATGTATCTACAGGCCGTAAAGCATATGCGTTTTTCAGCAAAAGCATATTATTATACCCTTGAAGTTGTATCAGAGACTTTAATCACTGGCTCATTTTTCCTTAAATCCCACACGACACACCTGGTCGAAAATGTCGATGCCAAAATGTGCTCCACTAAAAATAATCAATCAGTTGCAATTAAAAATCTTACAACACATTTCGACGATATGTAATACCTTGCTTATTCCAAGCTAAATGGGACACATCATCTGCTACAGTTCAGAAAGAAAATAATATTTAATATATAAGTTATCATGTATTAAGAAAAGAATTATACTTCGCAATAGCCCATTCAATTCAATGTGATTTTTCTAGGATTAGACGGAAAAGAAGAAACAATGTTCTTGTACTAACCAGGTTGCACTTTAGTCCCAGGCGTCATTGGAGTTTTTGGATTCGTGAGATCCCAAATAAAAATTTCCGATTCTGACGCTCCAGAAGCAACCAAGTTAGACTGTAAAAAGGAAAAATAAATACATAAAGATCTCATAAAACAATCATTTCTATAATTACGCAAATCATTACCCGGAAAGGATTAAAATCCAACGCTCTCACAGCTCCGGTATGTTTCGTCTTTGTCAAGACTAACGGATTATCATTCTTCAATACTTTTGCCGCATCATAAACTTGCATAACTCCACCGTCACAACCTCCCACAATAATTCCCATAGGATGCTCTCCCTTATCGCCGGATATTCCATGTGATCCCCAAATCAGTTTATGAAATCTGAAATCAAAACCAAAAGTTAATCCAATTAATTCATCGCCCAAATACCGGATAACAAAAACCACAAAAAACAAGGAATATTCACCGGTTTTCACATGGCAAAGTAGCTTTCACCGGAAGGTCTAGACCGCTTTGGTTGGTGTCAAATTGATACAACTCCAACGTAGCGTTGGTGCTAAAGGAGCTATCCAGTTGTTGAGCAGCTGTCCCCACGGCAAGGTAGACCGGGTCCACTTCCACTGGGGACCAGGCCACGTTGGCTGTCCGATCGATCTCCTTAATCTTCATTCTTGAGCCTAGTTCGACGACAGAACAAACTTTATCACACGTAAATGTGACCACTTAGAAATCGAAACCGACAGCAAAAAATATTCACAAACCAAATTTCAAATCTATGCTATTCAAAATAGCGATTTAAAAATAGTTTTTGGTGAAATAAAGCTTTGCTTCCTTCAAAAAAAAACGTTGTCCAACAAAACGTTGTCAACTAAACATTTTAAATCGTTCACGCCCTGCTGTAAAATAATTTATCGGTCTGTTGTCGACGTGGCGATGGCAATTTTGATGTATATTTGGATCGGGTTTCTTCTCTACCGCTCTCACGCCGGTTGCAATGAGAAATGAATGAATGAATGAATGCTGCCTAAAATACATGCAAAATTTTTTAAAATATTTTTCTAATTCAATTCCGAACAAACTCACTAAAATGTAACGATACAAAAATTTTGAAATAATTGTTAGTTTATTAGATTCAGTTGTACATATGAAGCACTAAAATTTGCGTTAAAAAAATGAAAAAATCTCAAATTCCCATCAGTTTGGCATATTTACTGAAAATTCATTATTGACTTTAAACCTTTACATCGATTTTATAATCAACGCACCTTTCACTAAAGTTTTATTGTCGATTTCATGCATTTTCAGCTAAAATTTGTTTTTAACATTGCGTAAGCCGATCTGATTGTAAATATCTATTTGATTTTGATTTGAAAGTTCATGTTATGAACCCCTGAGTACATTTTATCTCTATAAACTATTAAATGACGATGGAGAAAGTTGTGAAAAATTAAGGCTTCATCCTTCTCATCAAAAATACATCGCAACATCAGCCTTATCTTACATATTCTTTAATTTGCGTCGACAAAATAAACACATCTCAATTTCCCATAATTTTGATATGTTTTCAGAAATTTCATGATTGACTTTAAACCTTTACATCGATTAACGCAACTTTCACCAAAGTTTTATTGTTCGGTTTCATGCATTTTCAGCTAAAATTCGTATACTTTTAACATTGTGTAACCGATCTTATCGTCAATATTTATTTTAATTTGAAATTTAATGTTATGAACCCCCATGTACTTTTTATCTATCTCTATAAACTGTTAAATGACGAGAAAAAATTAATAATGTGCCTGAAAAAGGGCTATGGAGAAAGTTGTGAAAATTAAAGTTACATCGTTCTCATTAAAAATTCATCACACCATTATCCTTATCTTTCGTATTTACTAAATTTCATAATAATCATAACAACACAGTTGCACTTTGCTCATTTCTCTCCCAATGTTTTTGCATGCAACTTTAAAAGCAATCTCTTTACACGAATAGTGGACTTTGTACTGGATTTTCATTGCCAAACAGCCAGTTTTGTCAGACTTGTCAGTATTGTCAGTCCACGCGAGTCGTCTACATACATATATTGTCAGAATAACATAAACATTATCTTTGAATACATCAATTTCTTCTTAATTCTGCTTACAGAAGTAAAATTGGTGTAAAAATGTTGTCCACAAAAGCGGTCAATAGGTAAGCGTCGTTGAATTGACTAGTTTTCAAAACCGAATCACATATTTGTGTAAAGCTAAAAAAAATATTTAATCACACAGGTTCAGTACTTTGCTGGGCGTGAGAGCATTTTCGGTTTCTTCAGCCAAATTTGCCGATTTGGACGTGAAAGTTGAGAATGGAGTTAAGACCCTCACCATGAACAGACCAAAGAAAAAGAATGCCTTAAGTACACAGGTAATTTATCATGTTATATGAAAAAAATGCTGGATATAATTTAATCATGCTTTCACTCTCCCCAGATGTACCAAGAGATGACGAAATCTCTTTACGAAAGTAATGACGATAAGGCCACAAAAATTGTCGTGATCCGTGGAACAGGGGACTTTTTCACTGCTGGAAATGACATTGCCTCTCTTTTCGAAGCTTATCAGAAAAAAACGGCCGTGAAGGACATGGGATTCTCAATATTCACTAAAGCCCTAATCGATTGCCGAAAACCTATTGTTGCTCTCGTTAATGGTCACGCTGTCGGAATCGGCGTGACAATGTTACCTCACATGGAGACCGTGTTTGCGTCAGATAAGGCAATCCGTGCATAAAATAAGGTGTCATCTCTTATTTAGTTAACTAATTTTTACCAATTTGCAGGCCACGTTTAACACACCCTTTATTAAACTTGGAATTCCTCCAGAATGCTGCTCAAGCTACCTGCTACCCAAAGTTATGGGTCAAGCCAAGGCAATACTTAAATTGAAAATTCAATTAATTTAAATCACTAATTTACCCAATTTGTAAACCAGGCTGGCGAAATGCTCCATTTCGACTCAACTCTAACAGCGGCAGAGGCTTACACAAGTAATTTGGTTACGAGAGTTTTCCCTGACGCCGAGTTTGATAAGAAGGCATGGGAGAAAATTCACCAAATGGCCGAACATCCATTGGAGGTAAAGATAAATAATGAGCTAAACTATTTGTTATCATATTACATATAACCTATAGTCGCTGGTGGCTTCGAAAGAACTCCTTCGAGCAAGGGAACGACCACTTCTGCATAAAATTCATGACGACGAAGGTGCAAGTGTCAACATGGACATTGTGGCGAAAGCAGTAATGAAATTTATGTCCAAGCAGAAGTGAATTGATTACAATTTAATTGTTGGAATTAAACAAACCTTATTCCGACTGAAAAATTTATATGTAACTCATTTAATGTTCAGTTGATTAAGAAATAAATATATTCATCTAGTAAACAAAGTGGGTTATTTTTACACATTGACTTTTGAGGTTAACCACAGTGTGCTATATATCATTGGTTGCTTAATTATTAGCAAATTAATCATATTAAGCAATAAAAGTTAATCACAATTTACATTTCCCTTAATTTCCATAATTCCATAACTTTGTAAACTGTACATTATACGATGGGTGAAATAGTTGAACTTTCTCCAAGTGAGCAACCTTTCACTGTCGTTGAAGTTGTGGAAGTCGATGAAAACAAGTCCACTTCATGTTTTTCGAAATTGTGTAATTGTTCCTGCTGTTGTAAGTGAATTCATACACTTTGCAAATTAAATTCCATACATAAAGTTAACAATTTAAATAGTTAAATATTATTAGGCGCATGTTGTGGAAATCAGGAAATTCGTAATGCTCGTAAAGACCTGAGCGCAATAATTACCGATTGGGTTACCGACGCTTCAGTGGCGACGTACCACATATTGATGAGAAATGATCTCACTGCTGGGATCCTTACGTACGCCATAGTATTCAATGCAGGGCTCATCATCACTTTCACCAACTTTTGTCCAGGCAAAAATTACAAGTGGGCGACACATAAAAATGCATAATCCTCACAAAATACTCCTAATTATATGTATAAATAAATATATAACTTTCCTCAAATCAAGAAACGAAGTGAAGCTGATGAGATCTGAAATTTGGAAAATGAGTAAATTTTACGGCGTCCTTATGTACATCCCTTCCTTCTTTCCCATCTGCAGTGCAAAACTTCGCCTAGAATTTGCAAAACGGTTAAGAAATTGCGAACTTCAAGGAAAAAATAAAAGCTTGGACGAAATAAAAGAACTTTCCGAGAAAATGGAGCTGTTTAAAGAGAAAGCGTTATGGGATAGTTGTTGTGAAGCGTTTTTTGAAGCATTTCCTCAAGCAGTGTTGCAAATTGTGGTAATTCTCCGACCAAGCACGTCCCCTTTTAGTACGTTTTTTTTACATAAAACAAATTGTTACTAATCACACATAATTAATTAAAACTTAAATTACATATCTTTAAATTCAGAATATATTCCGATGCTAACCGTTTTTTGGGGATTATATGGAATAACCGGGGCACCAATTCAAGTTCTTGCTGTCCGACATAAAACCATGTCCTGGAATTTGTTGGACAAACTTGCGGCATACGGAAGTAACGCACTCCGAGTCTTATCCAGCGCTCTATTTATCGACGCAATTTTGACTTTCACCAACAGTGTGAACGCATCACGGTTAATTAATACCCTGTGGATAACGTTCGCAGCCGTAATAATATTTGGACTTATGGCTGGACTTTACATAATAAAATATGAAGTTGACACTTTTCTTCAGAAATCGACAACAACGACAAAGAGCAATAATTCCGCTGGAGATTGTGAAAATATTGCCCCCGTCACAGTGTCAACTTTTCGCAAAAAATGTCCCGATACAATCATCAGTATTTTAGGTTTGGTAATAACCATTTTAAGCTTTTACTTTTGGATATCCTCCAAAATCTATCCGCTCGGCGTCCTCTTTTATGATACCGCTGTAGTTTTTGGATGTTATATCGTGCTAATGGTACTGACCTGTCTTGGGGTCGCTTTTGGACGGCAAAAGTTGGCCATGTATCATGAAATCGTGGCAGATATTCCGGTATCTGCTTATCGGGGGATAAAAAGCTGGGTGGGGAATATTTTGAGAAAATTATTTTGTTCGTGCAGATAAATTTTCCAACATTTTGACAATAAATCTATGTAATTTTGCATAAAAATGAAAACAAATTCCCTAATTCATTACATACTAAATCTCCATAAACTCCAGTATGCATATTACATAATCAGCAACATACATAAGTTGAACTCAAACTCAAGGCCAACATCGTGATCAGGTTCACGTAAGTAATAAAAACGCACTTATGTACATTACATACACTATGTTGCTTTACATTAACAGCAATAGCAAACAAAACAACTTATGCTACCAAATTCAGTTGACGGCTAATTACCTACATAAGTCATTTAAAATTAAGCCAGTTAAAATAATAACAAGTCTGTTCAAAATTGCGTAAAGTAATAATTCTTGCATAAATTTATACTAACAATTAAAATGGTTGGGAAACATCTCATCACGAGGTACATAATTAACAATTTAAAGAATTTGAAACTCTTAATTCTAATTTAAATTCTATACACATATTAAATTTTAATACTACACAATTTTAAGGTTTGCAAGTCGTGGTGCTTTCTCCACTGTGGGAAATGCATACCCAAATTATGGAGTGCGAGCTTTCTCCGTGTCACCAATAAGACGAGATGACGTTGATGTCACGGTCGAAGGAGGAATTCGAACCATTACGATGAACCGACTCAGCAAACATAACGCCATCACGGATCAGGTTAGAAGACGAAGAAAAATATTATTTATAGACCTACTTAATTAATTATACTATTACAATTACATAATTATTTAGATGTATCGCCAAATGGGAAAGTCTCTCTTGGAAAGTAATCGTGACGAAGCCACTAAAATTGTAGTGATAACCGGCGTCGGAGAAAAGTACTTCACTAGCGGGTATGACCTCAAAAATCTTATTCAGGATTACAATAATCGCGTCCCTGCCGGAGCGAATGGTGCCACGTACGTTTTTAACAAAATGATATTATTATAAGTAGTACTACATATTTGTTACAAGTTATAGTGCTATTTACAACAATTTTTTTCCAATTTCTGTAGGGTTTTTATCAGCTCTCTCATCGAATGTAAGAAACCACTGATTGGACTGGTTAATGGGAGTGCGGTCGGAATCGGGGTCACTTTATTGGCACATTGCGAAGCAGTTTATGCAAGTGATCAGGTGAAACTTTGCTACATATTTTCAATTTATTTTTATTGTGGTCATGTTTTTTAAAATTATAATGCATAATTTAGGCGCATTTTAACACACCTTTCATCAAACTAGGGATTCCTCCAGAGTGTTGTTCTTCCTACCTGTTTCCTAAAATAGTCGGTCACGCCAAGGTTTAGAATTGTTAATTTATTTCTATTTTCTAAATTTGAATTTTTTATGGAATTCTACTGATTAAATTCAATTACTACAGGCAGGAGCTTTACTGCATTTTAATGACACCTGGACTGCACAAGAAGCATACGAGTACGGTCTCGTAACTCGAGTATTTCCACAAGACAAATTTAAAACGGAAGCTTGGAAATTGGTGAAAAAAATGGCGGAGCATCCAGCCGAGGTATTTATCTTGTGGTAGAATTTTTGGAAATATTCCTAAATAAAATTATTTGCGTAACTTTTGTCACGACTTTGCAGACCCTGCTAAATTCCAAAGCGCTACTGAGAGACAAAGAACGTCCCCTACTTCGTAAGGTGTTTGAAGAGGAAAATTCCAAATTCGATGTTGAAGTGGTTGGACAATCAGCCATGAAGTTGATCGCATCCAGAAAGTGAAAGTCGCGTCATCAACCCTAACTTTACTGCTCAGATATTACCGTAATTATGTCGCTTATAATGTCCAAACAAATCAATAATGACTGCTACATATATAATTATTAATTATATCATTTATTAACGTCAATCAGCTATATATAAATAGTACATCCAGATGTATTCATAATTATGGCAATTACTGTCGGAATCTGTCCCGATAGCACACATCCATTAAGTGTCTCCACTTCATTTGCAGACTCTATAAAATTAAAAATAAAAGTGATTTATAATCTGGAATTAATTAACTTTTATTCATCAAAATTAAGACTTATTCATACCTCCAATCTGTCATCTAGTACTGCCGGATCGAAAATTGAGACCCTAAGATGTCCCACAATTTTAAAAATGCTTAAAAACTCTCTCCTCTTCTCTTCCCTCTCCTTCACAATGTCCATCGGCAGCAAGTTAATTACCCCGCCACCGCCAACGGCATCTTCTTGACTATTCATGAGGTCACAAACTTTGCTCAAGTAGTGAGCATACCACTCTTCAAATGAGGTCACGACTTTGGAAAATTCCTTAAATAGCTTCAGCGCCTCCTTGTACTGGCCGTATTTCGATCCTATTTCATCCAAAAGTTGATTCCTCATTCCGATAATTTGACCAAGTTGAGAATCAAACTTATTGTTGGGTTGATCCTCATTGTTGTGAGTATCCAGTTCCGGACTGTTACCCGTGAGTTCATGAAGTTGCGAAATTTTCTCTAAAATCTCCACAATTTCATCCGACTCCGTCGGTAAGAATGAGTTCAGCATGTCTTCAATAAGAGAGAGACGTGAGGCAAGCTGAGACTCGGTTTTAATCAGAGTATTCTCTATGTATCTGTGTCAATTAAATAATTAAGTTGCTGATTATAATTTAACATTGTTATCATTTCATTTCCCACCTCAGTTGTGCCTTGGCTTCCGTTAACCATTCTAATTTTTCGGTCAAAAGGTCCTGAACCGCTCCACAGTTCTCTGTTGCTTTCTCCAAGTCGCGTATCCTTCGTTTCAACTTTCTCTCAATGTTTTTATGCATTTGTGACAAATCTTGGACGGTACGGTTTATCTTCCGTTCGTCCGAGGGGAGCAGGATGTCTGCGTAGGTGAAAAGTTCTTCCGATTTCTAAAAGTTTTTGTGTAAAAAATATAATAAACAATAATTTTACAGAATATTTTATGTTTCTTACACTGTGACACAAATCAATTAAGGAATACTGGTCCTCCACTTGATTCAAGTATGCTTTATGTCTCTCTAAAGTGACCGTGATTGAAATGGGGTCGACTGTCACTCGTCGTGAGCAAACTTGGTCCAATTGTTCTCCCAATTTGTCCAGAGTGTCTTCCGCTTTAGAGCAAAACTCGTAATATTGTTCCAATTTTGTGGAGAACTCTTTCGCCATGAGAGACGTTGGGATTATGAGTGGGGTTGAAATAAGGGGGGTGTCGAAATTGCGAGGGTTTTCCTTCGTGAGGAGGGTTTTTCCTGAGGGGTCCGTGACGACGAGGAGGTCTTCCGGGGAGACGAGTTTGCCATGTTGTACTCTGCAGGGGAAAGGAGGTGCGCCTTTAGTTTCGGGGAAATTTGTTCCTATTGGGTTATCCTAAAAAATCAGAATTTTTTTCTGATAAATCAGGTGTTATCTTTTTTTATAGGAAATCAATCTCAATTTACAAATTCAATCCCGATGTAAACGATCTGATTAATTTTTCCAACCCACTTGACTGAACCAACTTGAGGATTATCTGAAAAACAGACTGCACGGCAGCCAGCTTTCAATCCAGAATCGAGTTCCTCTATTGATAAATTAATGTATGAAATTAAACACTAATTTCATACTGATAAGTGCAAATATTTAATCAAATTACTCAGTTCAACGATTCGTTTCCGAAGGAAGTTACGTTTAGTGTGACTACTTTGGGAAACGCTCCGATAAATTTCTATATATTTTCATAACAATTTTGCATGAAATTAAATTTCTCACAAAAATAGAGTTTTAATTAAGCACCTCCTCGTTCAGATCCTGAACTACTGATGCTGGAAAATCGGTCTTCAGAACTTGTGCGAGAATGGTAAAATCTTGGTGGGGGACTTGGACGATTGTCAGTTTCGTCCATGGAAAATTGTCTATTTTTTAGAAAAATAAGCGATGTTATTAATTAAGATTTTTGAAATTTTGCTAAATTTATACAGAAACCTTGCATAATGGGCCATAATTGCTTCAATTGAGTTCAATGCATGCAAACTTTTTATTTCTAAACCTATTAACAACACACCCGTAATCCGAATACTGGAATTTATGACAATACCATTCCCTCCTGATCGAATTCGTAATTCATCATCCATCATCACTACTTGCCTAATAAATTAGCATCAATAAAATTGCAAGATAAAATTTTGTCTGGCTTAACTATGGTTATGCAAATTTTTTCGTCGAAATAAACCTCCTTCACATTGAACCCTTCGTGATTGTTGCAACTACTTAGATAATTATAAATAAATAAAAATATAGCTTATCTTAATTCCTGATAAGTCCATGATTGATGTGTCATGTTTAAGCCCGAAATCAAATCAGCAGCATCATTCAAGTTAATATGAAGGCTAAACTCATGTTTGAAACTCATAAATTCATCTCAATCGGCAGGTTATTTTGAGAGCCACATGAAACGAGCAAGAGACGATTTTTTGAGACATGATTTTTCAACACCCATACTTTTTACTAGACAAGATGCACTCCAGCAATAGATATAATGAAGTAGCGGAAGCGATGTGCTGAAAATTCTGCGTTGATTATGCTACAACATTTTTGATATGCATCATGTACTGCAGACATTATTGGCGATTCGACATTTTTGTTATTTTTGCAAGGTCATGAGGTCATCGTACCTAAATTATAGTGATTTTTGAAATCCCCACCCTAAATCACGTCTAAAACCATCAAAACAAAACATTACACATTTGTGACCTTTCACCTCGTCATCGTGGCGCTATGACCTTTTAGCTACTAGGTCAATCAACAAAATCCACCATACTTTTAAAATTAGGTGTCAATCTTCAAAAGCAGAACGAAAAAGTGATTTGTTCGAACGTTAACGGACGGACAAATCGATCGGAATAAGGGGCTTTAGTTCCTTTCCTTCCGTAATAAAGAGTGACAAATTTTTCCTCTAGACTTTTCCAACCAACCAAACTAATGACTAACTAACCAGGGAGTTGATGTATGGTTAGTTCTGCACAGAATAAATAAAAAGAAAATCCACACATTTTTCGGAAAAGACATCTTCAACACGATACAGATATGTATGAAGGTATATATGTAAATACGGGCAGAAGCAAACACGTAATACGAAGGTATCATAAATGCTTATCCGGGAGTGCGTGGATATTTTTACTTTTAATGCCAGCAATAAAATATGTCAACAATAATATAACCAGAGAGCAAAAAAAAGTTATGACGCAAACAAAACTGTAAAATAAAACGCAAAATAATTACAAGTTTTTTTTGCTACATGTAAGTGATAACTGGATCACATTTAACTAAATATTTTTTCTTGGAGTCACAAGAATACATACAAAACCCTCAACTTTTTTGACATCATGCGATACCCATTCAAATGCAAATATCATTATGTAGACGACTATTATTACGGTTTTGTGTACGTGAAGTGTCATACTACCATTTAGTTAAAGGAGTTAAGCCAGTACATATTTTGTCAGAAATTCTTCACTTATTGTGCACTAGATGAAAAGAAATAATGGTTTTGGTTTGACGTCGTTGAATACCGAGCTGGTTATCTTTAGGCGTAAAAGAGCGGAACTAATGGAAAGCACGTTGGGCAGATCACATCTCTAGTCAAGCATTTATTTTACGGACTTTTCTCAGAATTGGATCAGCTTTCCAGCCACATTCGTATCAACCATATTATTGACTCGCAAAAACACTCTAACTGCGAAATTGTAGATGAACTTTAGTCTTGAAATAAAGTGACTGCTTTTTCCTTGAAGGGGAGACCGAGAGACAATAAAAATTTTGCAATGTGTAAGTACTTCCTGGAACATAACAGACGGTTGATGTTGATGGGGGAGAGTGGATAGCGTGTAAATAGAGGGATTTCATTCCATGAAGAAATCCTACCTCTGAAAAATATGTAGAAATACGACTCGCATAAATAATAGGAGGAAAAAATTTAGAGTAATGAATGTCTCATTTTCCCACGGATGACATGACACATATCGAAATACAAGTTTCCCATTGTTAGTAAGGTTTTTGGGATTTAAGATTTCTATTCATATTGCTTCCCCAGCCGCATTTCATCAATTTGAGACAGTTTGCTTATCTTGGCAAAGTTTTGCAAATAAAATCGACATTTCAGACTTTACTGGCTTGTATTGTTGTACATAAAATCGATAATACTATCAAATCCTTCATCTCACCCGTCCAATCCTCCTGGTGAGAGAATCGGAACTGGGTCTATTTTGAAATCGAGTTTATTAAGGCAAACATACACACGCCTAAATCAGTCGGATCTAACAATGCGATGGTGTGAAGTGTAACCCTCCGATTTGGTTGAAATTTCGAAAATAAGTGGTCCATGTCAATACAACCAACTTTTCTTCAGACAGTTTGTGCGATAGTCAAAATTTGGCGAAATATTTGAGGTTAAAGTTGAAAAATGTGTAATTTTTAGCACGGGAAGACAATGGAAGTTGAATTTGCTTCCTCCGCCTTGTAAAAATAACCTATTTTTCACCTTTGACCTCCAATATTTTGCCAAATTCTGACCATCGCACAAACTGCCTGAAGAAACGTTGGTTGTATTGACATGGACCACTTAATTTCGAAATTTCAACCAAATCGGAGGGTTACACTTCACACCATCGCATTGTAAGTGAGATGACGCATTTTCAAAACACGGAGGATGGGTTAACGAACGACGGGACAACAAAAGGAAGCAGAGCTGAGCAGATGCCATGCTGAGAATTTCGCAAGACAGATATTTCGGGACATAAGCCAAAAACTGAATGTATGTACTTGCATATAGCCATCTTATACATAATATTCCACTTGGTAAATAGAACCCAGTTTCGCAAACGGCTCTAGTTGGAGAAGAGAGTCGTTCAGTCAGGCAAAAGTTGTTTGGGGACCATTTACATGCTGGGGGCGACGTTGTACTCGTAAATAAGAAGACCGACGCTCACTCACTGTATTACTGCATCTCAACCAAGAATCTTTACCCAAACTTTGCTTCCGTCAGCTTCCTGTTCATTCATTTCTAGAAAAACGCTCCTCCGCGTCAGTCAGTCAGTCGGTGGTGGTGGAATTATTCGAAATAAATCTCTTATATCACATTATTCGGTACACATTCAGCCCAAATTGCTTTTGTGGTCAAGTTGAAACCATAATTATATAGTAGACACCAGTGTAATTACCTCCGACGAGTACCCACCGCGGTGTGGTGAACATGTCTCATTTATAGTGTCCAGCAGGAGATTTGTCTGCAAAAGTTGTCCATAATTCCACGCCCTTGCCAAAATTGGGTTACATCAATTATGTGTTCCGTGTAGGTGTATATTACATTACATCGTGCGTGTGGGTAGGTTTGTGGTACACAAAAGTTAAATAAATCTCAATTGAAAATGCATAATTCAATATGTAATAGTACCATTCCAGTGATCCGCTAGCTAGACAATGGATCTTCTAGCACGCAGAGAACTCTTAAACATTTGACATAAAAAAACTCTGTCTACGGTTCCACACAAGTTTGTCTCTCATTTGGACATTAACATTCAGAGAAAGCACAAATATTAGTGAACAGAGAATCGTAAAGTGATTGTGAAGGACGAGTCGACGAGGAGATGACTTTTACTCCGTTGTTGGCCTTCAGCTTTCTCCATGAGGCACTATTATTTCTATCCCTATCACCACTGCATCCTATCCTATAGCACTTTTGTAATCTGAAACTGCACATAAAAGCAGGGAGATCCTGCAACTCCCGGGTATTTCATTTCGGGGTTCTGAGTCCTTATCACATCTGCTGCTGGAAGAATTACTCCTCCACCTGGAGAAAACTACACGTTGACGTTCCTACCGTGACGCACTTTCCAAGCAGAGTAAAATAAGGTAGTCAATCAATCAATCAATAAAATCACTTCCCTCAAGAATATCATCCACCCAAACTAATTATATTAGTGAAAAGAATAAGACACGTGCCCAAAGGTTGGGCAGTGACATTTCAAACCCTAGTCTTCACTTTCTCCAAAAAAATCGGTTTTGCGTAAGTATGAGCTACGCTAAAGTTTGGGTTTTGGTTTGTTGTTGGTGACCGCCGGATCAATCGATACTGTTGTTAAATGCATTTCATCCGTAGTGAGCGTGGATGGAAAAGTGCATAAAATATACGTGGATACATAGTACATACCAACTCCATCAAATCGTTTGTTATTATTCACTTTTCCGTTACTTATTTACTTACTAACCATTTTTATGAATAGTGGTGTTTTTTTGTGGAATAGACACGCAACTAACTCTGTCAGCAGGGCCCTTACGAGGGGCTGCCAGGTGGGGGTTTTCCCCAGGGCCGGGCCCCGAAGGGGGCCGGGCCCTGGTGTCCACTACAAAATTTCACGGAAAATTATTTAAACGTTTCGAAGATTTTGAGCAATTTCGTAGCGTGCCAATATCGAACAGAAATAAACAATAATTACCCTAAAATTAAAACATAGTTAAAAAAACTCTTTTCACTTTTGTGAGCCTAAAATAATTTATCCTTGATTCTTTCAAATTATTAAAATGGAGAAATTATGGCGTGAAAATTATAAGCCCAATCTATGCATTCTTACTTGGGCTGACCAAGTAAAAAATGCATCATAACCTTTTTTACCTCTCCGAAAACACTAAAAAAGCTAGGGCAGGTGTAATCCCCAGAAGGTATCGGGTAGTTGTGTCCACTAAAATTATTGTACGAACAAGTTCGCTACCTATCACAAGTCCTTAATTGCTTCGAAGATTTTGAGTAGCCACATTGGGTTTAAATGTCGAATCTACAAAGGCACCTATGCCATCACATTGTCGATCATAAAAGAACAATAGCTAACAATGGTTATGTACCTACCTTGGAATAAAAGGTAGAATTTAAGCTGAAAATCTGGGGCTCCGGACGAGTGGGTGGCCGACAAACTGTCTCGTCAACATCATATTGGTCGACAACCAGCTGGTCCCCAATCTCAGCTCGTCGACAAAATATTTGTCTTCACGATTTCGGTACCAATGGGTTCGGCAGGCGTGTTTCTCCCAGATTTTTTTGCAACATGTACATTTTCACACATATTTATATGTATTAAATGAATAACCTTTAGTTCAATTAAAAACTCGATCATCGATTTTTAACTTCAAAATAAATAAAACTATTCCATATCCACATCGAAATCAATTGATTTGCAGTCTTCCTGCATAACGCATTATTCTGTTATGGGAAATGGAGTTGTTTTAAGTAATTATTTTAAAATTAAAAACGATGGTTTTTTCTTATCGGCCCGAGTTTTGAACTAAAACTTTGTGTATTTGATAGATGTGCGGAATTGTGCATGTTGCAAAAAATCTGGGAGAAACAAGCCCGGCGTATCAATTCTAAGTCCACATACCGTGATAGAAAAATGTTAATTTGGATCAAATATGGTAATATTTTTAACTTATGCGACTGCAATTTTCACTTATCGATGTAATGCTATCTTTTGGCAGAATTTCTGGATAAGTAGTAATAAAATTATACATCTTCCCATGCAAGGATTACTTAAAACTTGTAACGTTGGTCGACTAATATGTTGTCGACCACTTTAAGTTGGGGACCAGTATGACATGTTCGACATATACACTGTTTCGACCAATTTTCTGCCGACCACATATCTGTTTTGTCGACTAATCAGGTTTCGACGAAACGTTTGTCGACCATTCGTCGCTAACCTGAAAATTTTGTGTAAGACCCTATGTCACATTGTCACAGGGCGAAAACAGGACATGCTTGATTTTACTAAATTACTAAAGCAGGAAATTGTGCAGTCAAAATGATAAGCCCAACTTCGATTTCGATATTTTTGCTGACCAAATAAAGAAACGTACCGTGTAGATTTTGTATCACCGAAGACATTAAAAAATCTGGAGCTATTGCACCTATTTGTACACAATGCAGATGAAGTTCAACGTCTGGGCACTACTATGTCGGCGTTTAACAAAGTTGAAAAAGACCTAATTAAACTAGGACCCTTGGATATCCTGAAAATTCTACATATATACATATTAATGGTCTCGCGTGTGCGTATCTAAACTTCGAGATGGCACTGAGGATGTTTCTCAGTCTGCCCATTTCTGCTCCGTCAAATGAGGGGCCATTTTGCAGATGAAAATAATCAAGAATTATCTGAGGTCAACAATTGGCAAGAACGATTGAATGCCTTTGATTTCGAAGTGGTTATAAATAATTTCGCCTCCAAAAAAGATTGCACAATCATAATTCTGTAACGTTGAAGTAAGAAGTGGTTGAAGTAAACACAATCAATATATTGACATCTTGTTAATTCTTTTGCTGACTTGCTTACGATCAGAATTGTTTTAAAGATACCTTTTTAGACTCAAAATTTCACGCACAAATGCCAAATAATAAATGGGGCCGGGCCTAAAAAATCCCCAGGGCCGGGCCAGGCAAGTTTGGGCACTGCTGTCAGACACATGTATACATTGATCAAAGCTTGTGTAATGTGCGGTGGTGGTATTCTTATCACGGACAAACAAACGGATATCAATTTCTTATCCATCAAGTAAACATTCAGAAATTCGTTACGTTACTGGTGGCACGTTTTCAATAATTTAAGCCAGAACTTACGAATACAAAGCCCAATGCTTCCTTACTTTAGTCACACTCACAAATCCCTAGTTGAAAAAAAGTAGTGACGCCATATTCGGAATTCTTATATATTTTAAATGTGCTCCATTTGCAGTTCAAGACATTCATAAGCAGTGAAATTATTGATCAAGGACATGGACGTGCAATTACAACCCGATTCCGATGATCAAGTTGTTATGAAACCGCAACATGTTCAGAACAAGGGAAAAGTTGACCCACGGACAGGTCGTATCGTGCGTCACCCTCCCCGTCCCCAGGCCCAACTTAACAGAAGAGAACGCGTTTGATTTTTAAAGCACAAGACATTTGCTTTTTTTGTCGCAGGAATGGTAAGCACTTAATATTCTTATGTACTATTTACGAATTTGTGTAGTAGTAGTTTGGTCTCAAGGTGCATACATAATTATACTTGAAACAGCCACCTCGTGCATGCATATACCGGATACTTGTGTACTTGTCATGCAATATGACGCGTACGTAGTTTTTGGTCTTTTCTACAATAGACTGGGGGTAGAAATAATTTCTGAAGATAGACAAATAGCGTGTCTAACTTGCCACTTTATGAGGTGGCACGATTGACACCAGTAAACAAAAGGATTGATTTAAAATACAACACAGTTCGATACATTGTGCAGTTGAGAGACCAGGTTTTTGAGAAGAACGCTGTAAATATATCAGACTGGTCATGATTTCCTTGTTGTTGTTCGGCGATCATGGTGTTTGGCATGATGGCTGAGGTTGGCAAAATATTTAGTATCATTATATACCACCTCATTTTAAAGAGATCAATAATTTTTTGTTGCAAATTTACTTGAAATTCCCTCTAACTGTGTTTTAGGCCATCCCCAACCCGTTGCTAGACCCGCTGAAGAGCATCCTGGTCTACAACCGGCGACGCATCTACATCGATAATGTAAGTCATCAAAATAAATGATAATCAAGCCCTCAAATTAATTTTTCTGTAGGTTTTCTTTCGTATGCATTACGTTTGGAGCACAATATTCCTCGTGACCTGTGCCATCATGGTGACCTCCAAGATTTACGTGGGCGAGCCGATCAACTGCATGGCAAGTCCGGACGTGAAGGACATCGTCAAGCAGTACTGCTTCATCCATTCCACCTTCACGAGGGGCAAGTTCGACAAGAAAGGGGGTTGGACTTATGAACCTGGTGAGACCACCGTTAAATAAAATTGATATCTTAAATGTCAAGTCATTGTCATTATTTTTGTCTTTATACACAAGCAGTAAAAGAGAACGAGATCTATCCTGGCATCCGCCCTGCAAAAGGTAAAATTATTTAATACTAAATTTATTTACTAAGAAATTTTATTTATTTTATAACATGAATAATTTTCAGAGGGGGAAGGAGCAATTCACCACACTTATTACCAATGGGTGTAAGTATCAAATTATCTGCCAAAATGTGGTCAGAGGTCAAGGAGCAAACTTTATTATTTGCGCAGATGGTGCGTCCTAATAGTCCAAGCGGTTTCCTTTTACTTTCCTCACTGGGCCTGGTTAGCATTTAATTTGAATTTATATACTTCATCTACCAAGATTATACATAATTGTCATTATCTCCAATAGGGAAAAGTGGGAAGGTGGCACGACTATGATGCTCGTCGGAGACCTCAACCTCCCCATGCTCCCCGACGAGAAGAAGATCAAGCACCGCAAAAAGATATTGCTCTACTTGCGTCGAAATCGGGGGTTTCACACCAAGTATGCCGTGCAATATGCTTTCTGCGAATTTCTCAACCTCGTCAACATTGTCCTTCAAGTTTTCCTCACTGATTTTTTCGTGAATAATGCATTCACTGATTATGGGCTTAACGTGAGCAATATTTACATAATTATTTAGTGACGATTTACACATGATAATTTTGTCAATTTAAACTCAAAGGTCTTAACTTTGACGCAAGAAAAGCCCTACATGAGAGACGACGAGTTAGCCAGAGTGTTCCCCACCGTGACCGCTTGCCGCCTTGCGACGGGTGGCGTGGCCTTTGGAAAACAAAATTATGACATTCTGTAAGTCAACGAATTTCGATACAAATTTCAATATGGCGTCATTTAAAAATAGCATTTTACGAGATCATGAATATTTTTAATTTTCAGCTGCATACTTCCAATTAATATTCTCAATGAGAAGGTGACATATTATTTATATGATTATTTATTTAATTATTTGTTTAATTATGTGTTTAATTATTTACATATATTATTTGTTATTTCAGATCTACATCTTCCTCTGGTATAGTTAACTCTGAAAAATATTTAATTACGTAATTACCATTAATTAATTATAAACTCCTTACTTTCTCCAGGTTTTGGTTTCTCTTACTCGCAATATGCTCCACAATCAGCGTCATTTACCGATGCCTCAGCTTAATTCCTCCCTTCCGACGGTGGATTATGAGAAGTCGAGTTCGATTAGAGACGCAAAAAGAAAGTGCGGACTCACTCGTCGACAGCAATAATTATGGAGAATGGTTTCTCATCTACAAACTCAGCCAGAATATGGTAAATTAATTAATTCAGACTTAATTAATTAATTAATTAGTTGATATAAAATACTATCTTGAATTTCAGGACTGTGTAACGTTTGGCGACCTGATTTTAGACATTGACCAAGCATACAGAAAATGGGACGATGTCAAACTTCCGGATGAAGAGCATTATCTCGCCGTATCGGCGCCACGGCCAAGTATGGAAGGCAGCCCGTACCATCACGGCGAATTTAATGCATAGCACATATTCACCTTAAGTGGTCCTTCGTATTCAAATGACATCAAGAAAAATGCCGACGAAAATGTAGTTTGATGAACTAAATCTCAAGGAAAAAACAATATTGTCGCAATATTTTCAGTCTTCTATTCATGAATTATAAATACGCTGCCTATAAAAAACACAGACATTTATCTGATGTTCATCCACACTGTAAAACAAAAATAACGCCAACACAAACTGCCACGAAACATGGGGACATTATTGTTTACATGTAAATAATTTAATTACAGGGTGGAGAGTTTCTTGTCGCAATATGTGTGTAATAATAATTGAATAATAATATTGGTGCTAGTCATTCTCCGTAGGAATAAAATAAAGTGTATGCCGTGCCTTGTATGGTTATTGTCTCTGCTTTCCGTTGCCGTTTTAAGATAAGTATGATGATAACAAAACATATACAAAGAAAGTATTTAACGGTTCGTTGAATCTATTAATTTGTAGTGGGTCCAAGAAATGTACATACAACTTTTATTTATTAAGAAGCATTCTTTTTTATTCTTTTTTAGTCATATTAATTAATTAAACCTACTTAATCTAGTGTTGATTGTGTTAACATGAATTGTAGAAGTGAAAAATAAATAAGCGTATTTTGATGCATTTAAGATTTAATGGAAATTCGAAGAAAACATCAGTTTGACTTTATTTTCTCGAGCTTTCAGGGTAAATTCTACACTCTTTTTTAAGACTTTCAAAATACTAAAAAAATTGTCATTTAACTTTAAACATTAAATTCATCTCCGTAATCTAATTGATATCAAATGTCTTCATTTACGCCAAACGAATCAGAGATTAATTAAGCGTATATATTGGCTGTCCACGGAAAAGAGGACACACTAATATGTATTAACTGACAACCCGTGAAAAGCCAATTTGTACAAATTGAGTCAATTGAGACCGGTTAACTTTACTTCATTCCTTGAGCCAAATCCTAACATTGGATCGTATTAAAAGTCGTCAACCATGTGGAAATTCCTATTATAATCCATGCGTGAGCCAAGTTAACATGTCACATAAATTGTATCCACCAAAGTTAATTAAGACAATAGGAATCCCAGTTAAGTTTTTTTCTCGGCATTTGCTTTCATTCATGCACCACCGCAAAAGTCAATCAGTCCGTAAATAAACCTGGTAAAAAGAAGTCCGCTTCATTAAAATTATCGGATCAAATTCCATGAATGGATTATCAATCATCCCGTAAATTCAAGACCGAGGCTAGATTTTGATAACTCAATTCATACGATTATTTTGTATCATTGTACATTGTGTATCCCATCCCATGCAAGACAACAAAGGTCGTCACGCTCCAAATCAAGGGGGAGATGAGCATCGAATTAAAAAGAATTTATGCATGACACGATAAAATAGCACATGGATGAACTTTTATGCTAATAATATTGCACCCAAGTAAATATAAAGCTTGCATCGGCACAATGCAGAATGAATTTACATTTCATTATTGTGCTGCTGATATAATAATGATAGTACAATAATAAACGTAGTAATGCCAGGATTTCCTTCCATCCACCAAGTTAATACTCATAGTTAGCATTGTAAATAAATATATATGGAATTATCCCTGTAGAAAAATCATGCACTTTTCGTTCGTGTAGGAAATCGTGAAACCAGGTTACGTTGTTTTTTATTTGTATGTACACAAAAAAGTAGTTATCACCATTCATTCGTTACTCGTAAAGAGCTCCTGGATTGAAAATAGACTTCCCTTTTGACTAAATAATACATAGACACAAACAAACTTCCGACTTGGTGCCACAAAGAATTGAGGTGATCACTCCTCACCTAAAGTTGGTCGGTTGGTCGGGATCTGGAGAGAAATCATAAAACAAGAAACACATAAAGTTCTCCGAAGCCGTTAAAAATATTTGTAAAACACCTTTTCGCTTGTACTAAACTAAATTCTAACCGGAAAAAATACTGCATGCATAACTTTTGAAACTTAGGACTAACAAATTGTAAGTACCAGTAAGCTTGACAATCGAGTTTGCACCTCGGGAAACACGTCTTCAAAAGCAGTAATATGATATTGACCATGTCCATTAAGAAGTAAAAAGCGAATCTCCTTATATGTCAATTATTACCGTCAGCCAAACTTTGACAGTAGGATTTATCGACGTCGTCTTGTCAAAACCTGCCAAAGTGTGACATAGGCATAATTAAAGAACAACAACAATAGCATTTCAGCTACTAGTACATACACACTTTCCTCATTTGCATTTTCAATTTACAAATTAATTTTAAAATGAACCTAGCCACCTAAAACTCAACCTGCGTACTTTGTCCCCACAATTATTTACATGGGTTACTCCTATCTCATGTTATTTGCTGCTGCTGATGCATGGATGTTCACGTCCCATTGCAATTAGCTACGCAAATATTATCAACGTCAAACCCAGGTTCAGGCACGTACACGAAAGAAAAATATTCGAGTAAAACAAGCCCCTAAAAAATTCTTCTAATAAGCCAACAACATATTTTTGCCACAACTTTTAACTGCCGATCTTAAAATATTATGGACACTTTTTTCCAACAACAACAAAACTGTCAAGATTTTCTGACGCATTCAAGAGTCAGCATGGCTTTTGGTGTGTGGTGTGCTAAATAAAAACAAAGGGTCAAGTGGTCAAATTTTGCATATGTACAAGTTCTACGATCGCTAATTCATTTCGCAGTTTCCATTTATGGCTCGTGCTTGCTGAGCCGAGATTATAAGGGTGGACCTCTAATGGTTACAGTAATAAAGAGGCGTCTCTGAATTTCGTGGGGTCATCATCATCACAGAATACGGACGATCTGCACGTTAACGTTCTCGATGTTGTTGTCAGTCTCCTCCATAATTGGGCCTGTATCAGCTTAACTCATCATCGTCGTCTTCTTCCAATTTAAATGAGTCTAAATTTTATCTACACCAACTAGATCAACCTAAACCACAACCACTCACTTATGTACTTGTAGAGAGAATCTGCACCTTATTTATTACAGCACGTTCAACTCTTCTACCGTTTAATACGACACAACTTGAGATTTTCCATTATGCACCCACCTAAAAAAATTAGTATGTGCAATAAATAAAGTATGCTTTTAAATCTGATAAGTAAATCTGCACAGTAAACATTTTAACACGGAATAAATAATTCACCAGAGAAAAAATAAACAATTTGACAAAAATTCAATTAAAATTTGAAACCTTCCAAAAAAAATCATTCTCATCTCACCACCAGTCAAATATAACCATCCAATAATAAATGTATCCCTTTATTTTAACGAGCTTCACAAGTCGGCCAAACTTTTTTTTATACTGCAAACCACTCATTGTCCGCTTCATCCTCCTGTAAGTAAAAATCCGGCGTGATGGCCAAGGCAGATATCTCTGCCATTATGTAACCATTGTGTATATCTGTCTGCCTGACTATGCGAAACAACAAGGGTTGCGATATTTACGTGGTGGTACGTATGTAATCTACGATAATTATGTTTCAAGTTTGAAACCCCGACAGACTCGCACTGTGTGTGGACCAGTTTTCAGTTTCATTTCATACTGTGGATGATTCAGAACGATTTTTTGCATCACTTCTCTCATTCTCTCGTCTCATTCCTCGTCGGGATTTTGCTTGAATGGATAGAGATTTTAGTTCTATTCCCGTAATTCGACCAACCACGATGGACCCACAACAACAACCACGATCTCCTCACTCCGTTTGACACTGACACTGTTTTAGTTTACATCTCTCGACGACTTTGACTGAGATTAGCAAATGCCAAATCTCACTCAGTCCCACTCATGAGCAACTTAACAGCATTTATTTTATTATGGGGTCGACCTAATGGGATGGTGGATACCAAACCGTATTTATTTGTTGGTTTTAAAATGTTGAAGGAGAAAAGTTGCGTAGAATTTTTGTAAGGATTGGAGTTGGTGTGGGTGAGTGAATACATGAGGTCTGTGTTTTCCTGAGGTCCATAAAATGGTCATCTTTTTTTGCCAACCAGCAGTAGTGGGTAGCGTTGTTGTTGGTTAGTTGTTGTTACCAGTTTGTGGTGGGTTTAAGTTTTTGTGTACACAAAAGTGACAGGATTTAAGGGAAGGTGTATGCACCAATTATGCAATTTTCCATTAAACAGGAGTGATTTAATTAATTCCGGTTCGTAAGAACACACACGGAGGCTTTTATAACGGAAATGTGAAGTATATAGACATATAATCAGTTCTTAATGTCTTGAGATTAGTACCTGAGATTTCTAAAATTGATAAGTTGAGATTGGAAAAAGTGAAACATGTTCGATATTTGGAAAAATTTAAAGGAATTGGTCCGAGTGAATTATCGCCATGTGAGAACAACGAATCTCGTGTTCACTCTTCACACAAAGGTGACCGTGGTTATTTTGGTGGGGTTGTCCATCCTGGTCACGTCTCGACAGTATCTTGGTAAATTAATGGGAACAACAAATGTTTTCAGAATGAAGTGTCTCACTTTTCTCATGAATTTTAGGAGATCCGATAGATTGCATATCTTCGGCAGACATAAAAAATGTGAGGTTTAGAAATATCTGGGCATTGGTAAAATGTGTGAATAAGTTTGGATTGTTGATTACAAGATTGCGGACAAATATTGCTGGATCCATTCCACATTTACCAGGGGGAGATTAGACGATGATGGAAAGTGGGGTTATGAAGCAGGTAAAGGAAAATTAATGGGGCATTTCGCAGATTTTTGGAATATGTGTTTCTGATGTCATTTATAGTCGAAGAATCCGATGTATCCCCTGGAATTCGTCCAGCCGTGGATGGTGATGACCCACGCATATATCACACCTATTATCAATGGGTAAATTTATAGCATCGATCAATTTATACCGATTTGCAACGTGCTTAAGTTTCAAAATGCGTCATCATAGGTGTGGGCGGTGCTGTTTATGCAAGGAGGATTTTTCTACATTCCATACTGGATTTGGAAATTTTGTGATCGAGGACGAATAAAGATGCTCGTTGCAGGTATGTAAATGAGTAAAGCACAAATCGGAGTTTGCAAAAACTTATATACTTTCGCATAATTTTTTATAGATCTGAATCTCAGAGTTTTAAGCGATGAGGAAAAAGTGTCCAAGGAAAAGGCAGCAATTCTTCGATATTTTGCCCCTAACCGAGGTCACCACACGCTCTACTCCTTCCAGTACATCGGATGCGAAGTGCTCAACTTTCTCAACGTCATTTGGCAAATGTACTAGCTCAGGAATCAAATGTACATCATTGTAATGTAACTAATGTTTTTTGAAAATAGGTACTGGACCAATGTCTTTCTCAATTATGAATTCTCGGTCAGAATCCATACATTTTTTAGATACATAGATCAATTCATTTAAATAAAAACCTATTCCCATAATTTGTACCACCAGAACTACGGCTTGAACCTGTTCAACCTAACACAAAAGCGACCGTACTCCAGACATGACGAACTTGCCAGAGTCTTTCCAGTCGTTACAGGTAAACTATGACCAACAGTTTGGCCAACTCTTACAAAAAATATAAGATAAATCATCTAATCTGAATTCTTAATTTTTTAAGCATGTCGATTGTCTACTGGAGGTCCAGCTTTCAATTCAGTCGAGTATGACTTATTGTGCATCTTGGTAAGCTTTGACTAATAAAAGTTCACCACTTTTTAAAAATAGACCCAATTTAAAATAGCTTAAATTTCTGCTTTTTCTAGCCAATTAATATACTCAATGAGAAGGTACATACATATTTACTAAATAAACGTATATTAATCAATTTAATTAATTAACTAATTTTATATCTTTAGATCTACATCTTCCTCTGGTGAGTAGAGTATCTCACAAAAAAACTTAATTTCGATCAACTTTCACCCCACTTTCACCCACCTTTATTTTAAATACGCAGGTTCTGGTTCTTACTTCTGGGTCTGCTTTCCGGCATAAACCTCATCTACCGTCTCATCACAGTCTGCATTCCCCCACTCCGTGCCAGACTCCTCCTGCGACACGTCCGGATGAGGAAAGGATACGATCTTGACGACCTCAAGATGAGCTACGGCGACTTTTTTCTTCTCTACAAACTTGGCGAAAATCTAAATCCCATCGTATTCAGTGAGCTACTCCAAGAACTTGTCCACCACGGGACGGACGACGACGAGAAAAAGTCGCTCACCAAGGCGTCCATTTTGAGGAAAGATTCGGATCCAAAGCAATCCATAAACAGTATCATCGAAAGGTTGTAATTAACAATAATTTATTGAATTGCTAACAATTACACGACAATCAAGAAGAAGAAGAAGGAAGAAAGATTCAATTCAGTGATAATATTCTCGATGGCCTTATTTTTTACGACAATATCAAACGGAAAATAAATAAATTGCACTTCAAATTTTTAAGAAATTGAAACTAAAATTAAATATCAACGTTAAATTTTAATGAGTTATCCTCCGCAATTTAGTCGTCTCAGTGGGAGCAGCCGTGTTTGGATTTCGGCTGACAAACGGTACTCCGGGCCTACTTCCTCGTGAAGAGTTTGAAATGATAGAACTTCGATAAGTCTCTCCACGCATGGTGGAACGCAAGTTGTTCCTCCGGACTACTTCCGGATTTGGGGGCTCTTCTATTTGACCGTGTTCGTCATCCTTGGGTCTGAAAAGTTACAAAAATAAAGTGTAGAAAATATTGATAAGGCAAAAATAGCGAATAATTTAAGTACTTTGCACAAATTGGACAATTCCAAAAACTTTGATTGATTCCAAAAGCTTCCGCTTCTTCTAATGTATTGGGCAAATCCTCGCCTAAAGTTTCGGACAAAAAGAGGGAAAGACATCCCCCAACTATGGCAAAAGCACCCAGTAAAATTAAACTCAGGGCTGGGTTAGTCCGTCCCTATTTGGAGGATTTGAAACCGTCATATTTTAAAAAAATCTCTATCGTGTTCATTTTTATGACTGTGTTACAATTAGGGCCACAAAAGGCGAAATAATGGAGGCGACGTAACCCATGATGTGAATTGCATTGACTCCTTGCGCCCTGATAACGGTTGGGAGGAGCTCGGCCGCGTACTTTCGGAAAATAGGCAAACATCATATATTAAATTGTAAATACAATATTTTCCTGAGTACTGAATGTGGTCGTATAAATCAAATGTTTAACGATATTGTCTACCTGTAAACCAATGTTGAATGCGACGTTGACGAAGAATCGACTTATGATGGCCTAATTATCAATAAAACCAATAAGTTAATTAGGTTCATCAATAAAATAAAGTGCAGATCTCACCATCACGAGTCCAAGCGTCCTCACTGTCAGGACATTGTTACATACATTAATTAAAATCGATCAAGATGCATGAATACTGGCGTCTCGCCATATTTAACGTAAAAGACTTACTTTGTCGTGGAATCGTAGCCGCAATAATCGAAGCTGCGCCAGACATAGTCAAAGACCTGAAAGAAAGGGGAGAAGGACATGAGCCCCCATCGACGAGGGCCCGAACGTTCACAGCTATCAAAATCTTACCCGAATGAAAGCCACCTACGTCCAAATCGGTCGAGAGTGAAAATCAGCATCATCTATTTATTTAAAATTTATTTTTGATATGAAAAATATGAAGATAGATATTCTTTAAAATTTTCATTTACATCTGCCGGAAATTCTGTCATCGAAGCGATGGTAAACATCCAGAAGACGTTCCAGTTTTCATCAGCCAAGTTGAGAATGCTAAGAAATATTTATTTTTTAGTCTTGAGTAGTATGCAGATTGGGTACTTTAATTTATGACTCTATACTTCCTGGAATGGCCATCATAGACAAGAGCAATTATAGCCCTAGAACAATAAATTAAGTTCAATTATCCTACCTCCAGAAACTAATTCTTGTGATTGCATACCAAATTAAAACCAAAAGAATGAACGTTCTTCGGAGTCGTGGCGTCTTTAGTGCAGCTGTAAACGATTCTTCTTCATCGTCTGCTTGCATTTCGTCGTACAATTTTTTAGCGTCGGACTATAATTATTTTATTACGATAGTCAACCATGATTAATTAGTCGATAAAATTACTTTCTAAATGAATACCTCAAACTCTACGAAAACCCTCTCATCCACCTTTTTCCGATTGACTTTGGCAAAACTTCTCAGAATATCGGTCGCCTCCTTAGTCCGTCCTTTGGACCTGAACAGAAGAGTTATGCATTGTTATCTTTTATTCATTTTGTAACCATTTTTAACTTAAGTACACAATTACAGGAGCCAACGAGCACTTTCAGGAACCAGGAAAATTGCAGAGAGCCCAAGTAGCATTGGAAGAGAGATAACTAGTCCGTAAACTCGCCAGTTTCTAATCCACACAGCCAGCCTTTTTTCAGAAAATAGAACTCTCCTCATCAACTCCTCAAAAAATTATAGTTGGAAAAATCATTTTTGAAAAACAAACCAGGGCAAGATCAAGGTCCCCATAGTATAAAACACGGCAATACTTAAATTGGCAACAAGCGTCCGATACTGCAAGATAAGGCCGTTAAATTACGATTTATGTGTACAGAGTACTTAAATAGTTTGAAAAAAACCTGTGGTCCACAAAACTCAAGGACCAAGATATACATCATGGTAAAGCAATTGTCAAACGCCATTCCCGTAATAAATCGAAAAAACATGAAGAGATAAAAATCGGTCGAGACGACGCTCAACGCTCCTCCAATTGCACCCAGCAAATTCGCCAGCACAAGGGCAGGAACTCGACCAAAACTGTTTTACATAAGGAAAGTGTATAACGTACTAAAATTTGGTAAATTTTACTCCTGTATTAACCTGTCTGCTATGAAACCAATGACAAAACCTCCCACTATGGCCCCCAGGAAGAAAACGGCCTGTGCCGCAGTTGTACGACTGTCCGCATTGCACCACCAGCCACCCTGTGTTTTTACGCAATTTTAGTAACGCTTAAAAAAATGATCTTCATATTTAAAAACTATGCTGACCTCGGTCACGATAGTGTCGTAAGGAACGCCACTCCGGATCCTATCCCACGTTACGTTCTCACATTCGTTAACTGGGAGATACGCTGGACTTCGGTAGGGCAGGAAAGGTCTGACATGAGTGGTGTTTGGGCCGGTCATGTTGGGAAACAACTCTGGGAAAAAGATGCGACTCCGATTGTTCCGAAGCGTAATATCAACGAAGGAGTCACAGGTAGCATTATCAGAAAAGGGTAACACGGGTCCTACAACCATCCCCCCAAGTTGTCCCGAGGTTGGAGGTAGAGGGGGGCCTCGACTTCTGGACGTCGTCGTTTGTCGACTACCTTGACGATCTGGAAATCGTGTAGCACTGCTACTTCTCCATCTCTCCGTGGTTTTCGTTGTACGTCCTGGGGGCGTGCCGGTGCTCCACTGTCGTGACCATTGGGGCGTTGGTCTTCCCCAAGTATTGGGTGTGGTGGGTTGTTCAGTGGCGGTCTCCCAGTCCTCTGTGGACTCATGGTCATTGCCCCACTGGTAGTGGTACCGACCAGTGGTGGTTGTGGTTATTGGAGGCTGGTAGTAGTTACCCTTATCACGCCATGAATTTCCACCACCTCCATATTGACGAAGTTCCCTGTCGCCGTAAATATTATCTGGTGGTCTAGCACCTGGAGGGGTGGGGTTGTTTGGGAGGAGAGGTGCTGTAGGATCTTGAGCACCATAAGTATAATTGCAGGGAAGCCCGTTGCAATTATCTCGATCCCTTAGTAATAAAAAATCTGGCATTATTTTCAACGCGAGGAGGAGCATTTGACCATAAACTGCATACCTATTGATCCTGTTGACAATGTCGATCACGAAGGAGGCATCAATGTTATGGAAAAAGCATGGATTTGGATTTCTCCCAGTGTACGAGAAGGAAAAGTTGTGCCTGAAAAGTATGTTTTTTTTACTTATCATTATTTTCACCACGACTTATCAAGCCGAAATTATGTAAATCTTGAGCCATTGAATGAAATTCATTTTTATTACCGCTGAGCAGCCGTCAAGTTTCCTGTCGTGCAGTTAAAGTGACTATTGCACCAGATATTCGCCGGGTAGAGCGTCATGAAAAGTTGGCCAAAGAGGACGAACGTGACAAAGATGCAGAAAGGGGCCTGGAAGGCGAAGAGGGCCTTCTGATAGATCCTATTACGAAAGATCGTATATCTTAATTAGCAAATAGGTGTATGGCAAGAAGAATTTCCTTACCCAAACTCCCCCACTTTCACCAACATTTCGTCAAAATCCAACATTTTGAAGGATTTTAGAAAAATTTGTCCAGAAAAAATGTATTGTATTAAATGATTCCAAGTAATTTTAATTATACAGAAAGCCCATGAATAACTGATGTCTTGGCTAATTGCATGCATCACCGGATGTGGGTTTCATTGGCAGGAAATATCAAAATTCCAGCAAACCAATAGGAAAAAACATGGCTTAATTTATACACATAACATTTTGTCAGAGTATGTATTTTCTACTTATCAGTGAAAAGCGGTCAGTCTGACCAATTAAGTGTGACAAATTATGATTATGACTGGGGTATAATTAATTTCACATATATTTTTATTAACCATTTTTTCATAGGAAGAGAGTGAAATCACTGGTATGGAAAGCACAACATGTTTTACACCACCTTTCTTTATAATATGTACATATATTTGTATCTTATTTCAGATCCACATTATGCAATCACCATCGTTAAATCAGCATCACACGTATAAATACATTACATGGTCCAGTATCATTTCAACAACTCAAGATGATTAACTAATTAACAACAACTTTTATAAACTACTAGTCATTTTTAAAACTACGGAATAAAGCTAGAGGTTTTAAATATTATAACACAACTAATTAATAATTATTATATAGGTGCGAATACATTCATCTATTCAGCTTTCATTTTTTTAAAGCATTATGATTGTCCTCGAACACCAGTATTTTGTCAAAGTTAAATAACAAAAAAAATCTCTCAAAAACTATTTCTTACCAGAACTCGTTGTAAACACGTTCTTTAGATCAGATATATAATGGCCAGTTAAGAAAGGTCGGTATGTTTTACTTTGCACCACATTTAATGAACTTTGACAATCAAATGTTTCAAAGTTTAGTCTTTGAAGTCATTCCCAACCGAGTACCGAGTCAAATAGAAAACTGAGTACATTTGGGCTTGGAATGTTTAACAAGTTTGATGGCTACACGCTAATAATTTTACAAGAATCAGTACTACGTAAACTATTAATAGTACCTTTTTTTACTTATATGTAGTGGTAACCAACAAAATAAGATAGCTTGTTTTTTTGTTAGTTTTTATAGTGTAGGAATATAGAGATAGCAGAATGTGTGTACATATTTAACAGGCAGTAATTTTATCCACAGATTAAACTGGCAGTTTTTAAGTTTTTTTGTGACAAGGTCGAACGTAGTATAATCACAAAAGCCAGAGTTTGATTAGAATAGAATTACAATAAGTTTTGTATTTTGTAATTAATGAGACGACGAGGATAGCAAATAAAATTTGGTATAATATTCTTCTTTACTCGGATTTTTTGTCTTGAGCATAAAGAGTTTCCGTGACCTCGACAGCTTCGACGGCAATGTCATTGTCACCCCAACCCCATGGCCCTCCATGAAATTCCTCATGAGTTCCATCTCCAGTTCGGGCAACGCGAGCTTTAACAATGTGTTCAGGAACGGTTTTCAGGTCATAAGCCCATCCAATTTTTGCAAAGAAATCTATAAAAGCTGCAGAAAAATTGTATCGGTAAACTCCAACTTCGGCAGTCTTGTAATCCTGTAAGGAAGAGACGACAATATTTTAATGCAAGGACATTTTATTATTGTATATAATGCGAATATTTACTGTTGGTGGGGGTCTTAGAGTGAAAAGTTTTGACACCACATGGTAGTATTAATTTTGCAAAATCACTGGCAAAAATATATTTCCTAAAAATGGTGTACAATTAAAGACTGATATGAGTATAAGTAACAAAAAATGTTTTTACCGTCGTGTGACCTCTGGGTCACCAGTTAAGGGCATCTAAAAGGTCAAACGTCTTTTAAAGGCCCTTAACTGGTGACCCAGAGGTAACGAGAGGGTAAAAACAATTTTTGTTACTTATACTCATATCAGTCTTTAATTGTACACCATTTTTAGGAAATATATATTTTTTTGACGTTGCAAAATTAATGCTACCATGTTCTGCCACAACTTTTCACTCTAAGACCCCACCCACAGTAACCACACCCACCCAAGGGAACACGTGATGATAGTTATGCCTGCAAATTAAGGTGTTTTAGACTCTTGTATTAAGCATCAGTGGCCGCGGAAGCCTTGGGGACATCAGGGAACATTAAAATTGCAGGGTAGGGGAAGTAGGGGTTCATGGGGACAGAGAAACAGTGTCCCTACGCTTCCGTGCCCACTGTTAAACGTAATAACAATTAATTTATTGCATAATTACCAGCCTTCACCAAATGCCCACCAGGATACTGTCTTGTTCTCGGCAGGGTTGATTCGACTGGAAGTATTTCACAGGGAAAATATAATTAGGTTTCTTTACTTGTTTTCAAAATAGTTCTATAACTCACTTATCATAAGGTCTTGGTCCCCACAAATGTGCTGCTGAATTCACTAACCAAGTGCAATGTAGAGTGGCGCCTTTAATAAAGAAATTATAAAATTCGTATGCTGTTACTAAATTCATATCATATGCATTCTGTATGTATACTCACAATATCGGAACATTGCAGCAAAGAAGAACGCCACTTTGAGAGATTCTCCCCAAAAGATCCAAGGGACCAACGTTGGAATTACAAAACATCCAAACAAAACGAGCAGAAGGTACCATCTAAACATGAATACCAACCAATAAGTACATAAAATTCATAGATACATAAGGTGGGTATACTGTTTAATTACTTCTTTTGAAACATAACAACTGGGTCAGCTTCCAAGTCCGACATGTCCAGTCCCTTTCCTTTAATCTTGATCGCCTCATGCTTCCTTGCCATTAACCACCCCATGTGGGCGAAAAAGAAGCCCCGCTTCGCATTGTGGGGGTCCGCGTTGGTCTCGGTGTATTTGTGGTGAAGTCGATGATCTCGACACCATTCGTGGATGCTGTTCTGTAATTAAGAGCAGAACAATAAACGAATTTTAATGCTTAATGATGCGAAAATAGATTTCATTATTGATTCCTGTGAATACCTGGAATGCAATGGTTTGCATGTAGGCAAGAAAAATTTGTAGAGGCATTTTCGCTTTGTACGATTTATGGGCCCAATAGCGATGAGTCCCCGCAGTGATTCCAAACCCACTCATGATATAGTAATGGAAACCTATGAAATTCACAAACCTTTCAGAATATGAATATGGACTGAAAATACAATCACAGTTTTTGATACTCACCCCAAAGGAATGTTTGCCACATCACTTGGCCACTTAACCAAAGGTAAGCTCCATAGGCAGCAAAAGCATGCAAGTAGGCAAAGATGGCAACGTTTCTCCATACGATTTTCACAGGAGTGTTAGCATACATCAATTCCTCCTCTTCCGGACTTTGACACTGTAAATTAGCCAATCAGAATTATAAATAATACTTATGATCAGTTTTCTCAATATATGTAAGTCATTTTACTGTACCACGAACCTTGACAAAATCTTTATGTATTCCTTCATAGAATTTGACTTTGGGTTTTTGCACCCCGTTTGAATATCCGTTCTTAACACCGTTCCCATTGCTGATCACTTTCCCTTTTCCGTTCGATATTCCATTCGATTTGATGGACACATCCGGCGTCAAATCTTCAGACGCCGTCAGCGTCTTAGTCGATGTGGGTACAGGCGACATTATTCCAGAGGTTGGTGGATTGAATTATAAGTAACTATCTGCAAAAATTGATAAATTTGTCACTTTTATATATGCACGGAAATGTTACTATTACTACAGACAAATATTTTAAATAATTTACTATGTGCTAAACCTGGGACTTATCACTCCACTCACAAACCCATTTATACGTATAAATCAAAGTGAATGTGAAAGTCTTGATTAATTTTAGCTTGAGTTTAGAGAGAAGCCAATATTTATGCAAATATGACCATGGGGATGGTGAGTGAGTGAATGGGGTACTGATGCACTCGGTCTGCTATTCATTTATTCAAGAAGTTAGCAAGGTCGGATAAGATTCAAAGGTGGACATTTTATCAGCCAGACCACTTATTGGGGAATGGACTCTAATAAATAAGCGAAATGCGAAGAAGTGCCATAATTCCAACTGCATGTGCCAACTTTGAGCTATCAAGTATTGGTAAATTCGTCTCATCTAGATAGTTAGTACCGCTGTACTAGAAGCAACATGCACAGTTTGCTAATGATCAGCATATTTCGTTCATTCATTCGTCCAATCACCTCACAATACATAATTTGTAAAAACGGAATATAAAAAAGTAAATCTGATAAATATCTGATAAAATCTGATAATAAAACCAAATATGCATTCCAAATATGTAATCCATCTTTGAATACTAGTCTAAGGTACCTCGAAATAGCTCTTGACTTTTTTACGACCGTGTTGTGCCGCATCGCAAGGTCCTAAAAATATATGTCCCGGCTCATAATTATCCCATGCCAATCCCACTATCATGTTCCAGAGCTTTAAAATACTTGCCGACGACAAACACGACGACAGGGTTTCAAATGCACATTGATAACATGTCTGAGAGCTTCAGGATATACGCAGACGGACGGACAGACCAAGGACATAAAGTGGTTCCCCACTTAATAATAATCGATAACATTAGAGCACGGATTTCACACGTGTAGAATTCATGCAGTACTAGCAGTACATTTGTTATTGTATTTGTGTGCCAATCATTGATGATCACCGCCTAATGGCCTTTTAATGATAACGTTCTATATTCCAGCAATTATTAATGAGAGTTGCAGTTATTTCATACACAAAACTAGAGGGTGCATGCATAATAGAATTATGTATTACATATATCCAACTCTATGATGCACAATGCAAATCCAACGTATATGAGTCAACATATCAACACATTTGGCAAAAAGAAAGATACCTCATACTCCCAACCAAACTAGTTAAATGTCAGCACATTATGTCATCGGTCAAGTTTACGATTACACAAAATTAGACTGCAATTTCTGCATATTATGTTTTTTTCTTATCTTAAAAAAAACTTGAAAATGGAACCTGTTGGTTTAGAATTTAAGGTGCATCGTCTAAAAGTTATCGAAATGCAAAATTATTACCACATGACACAAGTCTAACGACCTTCTCCTGTGTCAATTAGATAAAAGGTTCTAATCATCCTATAAATTGCAACATTAAAAACATGAGACTCTTCTGTTGACGTTAAGTTTAGCGGTGGACTACTAATTATCGGAAACTATTAGCAAATATATAGAATATTTCATATGATTCACAGCTATCGGAGGCAATTAAGGCAGCAACTCGTGTGCATTTTGGACGGAAATGTTGCACACAATGAATGTTGAATGTTCGTGCAAGTATTTAATTTGTCATAAGCAAAATTGAGAAAAATCGAACCATATTCGAGCCAAGCTAAGTAATTGCTTTTGTGAATCAAGTTAATAATGGCAAGACAGCTACCTACCAAAAACGATCCATCTATGTACATACGTATGTATTACCAATTGTCTAAAATTGCCGAGCCGTCAAGAATGAAAAATTCAGAACATCACATCCAGTTTTTGACGTGAGGACACATCAGATAGCTGAACAATGGTGCATTCATACATTGAACTGACGATTAGCTATTAAAGCAACCGTGCAAAAATGGAACGTAAAATCACGTAAACTTTAAAAAAATGTGTAAACAGCATAAATTTCAGCTTAGAAAATAATATGTAGCAATCATAAATTCAATATAAATACACAATCGATGGGAATATGTAGGTTCTACACATATTGCATGACAAATCAAATTAATATTACAGGTTTTCTTCAAAATGCATCATCATATTATTATCATGACCATGACCGGCTAATACATAAATATGGCGTGGAAGCAGGAGCAAGAAAGTTCAAAGTTGGGTTCGGTTAGTGGTTGACGCTGACCAACCAAACCAAATTATAGACTTTGCTCTCAAGGTAATCAAGAAGAAGCATAGTTGTACAAATGTAAATGTGGCAAGATTACATCATTATACTGATTAACCTAAAATATTACGTGTATGTAGGTGCCACGCAAAACATTATGTATGCATTCTGCATAGGAATATGCATATTTGTTGAGAGGAGAAAATATTATAGCATTTAATAAAGTATCCCCCTTCTTTAAAATAAGTAGAAAAACTTGGAGAAATCTGTTCCTGGAATTGAATTGACGTCTATAACGATGCACTTTAAATAATTATTTAATTTGCAACCCTCTAGTGAAATTCGGTTTAAACTTGATCGGTGGGTAAATAAACGCAACGCAACCCATACAAATAATCAGTGCATATGTATGCATAGAGTTTGAACTTTGATCATTTCATTCCAGTCAATATGCAAATAATGAGAGGTTTAAAATATAATGACTCATTAATCTTTTCCATTGTGAATTGCAGCTGTAAAAGTTTCATACACCTAAACCACCTGTATTTATACAGGAATTATAATTGCAATCCAGAACTGATGGCAAATTGCCATTCTGAAATAAAATAATAATCTCCTTAATGCAAACCTGACTCAAATTCAAATGCGAATGATCTGATCACACGACATCCGCATGACTTGAAGAACCCTCTGCGTCATAAAGAGATAGACATTGACCTGGTCCTCGTAAATATTATTGATTATTTTTTATTACTACTTGTAATAGCGTGTTACGTGTGATTCACACCTGCCTGAAAGCTTTGTTTGACCAAAACGGAAATCCCTGTGATCACCATCATCATAAAGTACTAACTAATATCTATGTGCGTTATAATACTATTATAAGAAAATTATCTTAAAAACATGTCACTTCGCACACACCTTGGCCCCTCTTCACAAGAAATACCTATGTCTGCCCTATCAGCGAGCAAAACTTGTCGCAAGATATCTGCACATGATTACTATAATCTCGATTCTGATAAAGCCATTAAACTATTAAATGACACAAACGAATCCTTTCTTTACAACAGCAGCAGCAGGTCATTATGCTCACCTCTCATCATCCTTCAAGGAGACCAAAGTTAAACACGTTCCTTTTTCTACCTTAATCCAAATAAATTAACCTCGTCTTTTGACAAATGTGTTTGGCGACAAAAAACATAAATATAAACATTACGATTGTGGTTAATGTCATATGCATTTGAAGATTTTGGGGATTTCGTGAATCATGTATGAGATAATCTAAATGACGAAATGACATACCACTTATTTTATCACATTTCCGTTTTCACAACTTTAATTTTCTTTTGTTTTAACTCAAGTGACAATCATCATCACCCAGTTAATAACAATCCTCCAGAAACATGCTGTGCGAAACAATGCAGTAAATTTGCATGGTTGGCTAACTCCTAGCTAGATAGAAGTTTCTTCTAGTTAGTTGTAAAGTGCTAATTAAGTAAAACGATAAACGGGTCAAGTTTGATCAGTTAGCTGAATGAGACGTAATTGTAGGTAACTGATAAAATAGTATAACTGTTCTTTTAAGAAAATTATCACAACCAACCATCAGGTCTTTCTCTTTTTTACTGTTTTGATGGACAGCACATAATATCAGTTATTTTGTCGTAGTTTTTCATCACCCAAGTACTCAAAATTTGTTGTAATCTCAACTCTTTACCCAAAGACAAACAAGTAATAGTGTTATTAACTCAATTTAAATCAATTGAATGAACTATGAGTCATTCACGCGATTAGGGCTGCATCACATGCATGACATGGCCAGTACAAAAAAACAGTTTGAGCCGATTTTTTATCAATTGATAAATAAATACAATAAATTTTTTATGTGTGTACACACTAGGAGATAAGCGCCGCATAATAATGCAATTTTTTAGTTAATTAAGGTAGGTCTGGCAGTCAACTTTCTCCTTGGAAATCCCAAGCTGTTTTTTTGATCATGGTGTGAGTAGTAGTTGATTTAGTATTTCAAGAATATTTAAGCATAATTATCTGTCAAATTATTATCAAAAAATCTTAGTCTGCAACTTTATCAAAAGAAGACGACTATTATTAATAGTAAATGAGTTCTGCATGCCAAATCAACCTAACTCATTTGTAATACAACAGTAGCAAACTAGTTAAATCGTCAAATCGTGCAATTTAAAGTACAGAAGTCAAGTTACACTTGTTCCTTTTCTGTAAAATCATGGTTAACGAATACATTTAATTATTATTCCACTCTACAGGTGTTAATTATAGCCGGTATTTTGCCAAACACATTCATCTCATCCCACCCTAAAAATATCCTTTCAAACTACCTACAACTTCCTTTTCCGTGTGGAACACAAATTATCGATGCATGGCAAATGAAAGGTAAATAAATTTTACCCTCCTCAGAAATTTGATCCAAGTAGGAATTTCCAACCCAATAATGCTAACAATCCGCTGAACCTTGTACAAAAATTGTATGCCCTGTCACAATTCCAAGTTCTCCTAATGATAATACGTACGTACACCTTATCAATTATGAAACCCCCTCCCCTAATACTTACCCAATCCAGCAATTGACAAAATATTTATCAGCCAGAGCGAGGAGAGACACGAAATAATAGGCGACAAGGTGGTTGTTCCGGCACACAACTGTCACTTGTTGTAACAGCACTTTTCTACCACACACCACTGACAAGACAACCTTGCTATCCAAATATCACCAGCTTTCTCTTCTCCGAAAAAGGAAAAAGAAGCAGCTTTTGGCTTATTACTTTGTGGAGACGCGAACGACGAATGAATCCAGCAAATGGATTGTGTAACTATTTTATTCTTCCGAAATGCTCTCTCTTTCTCACCGCATGCACACTCTGCACGACTGCGAAGGAGGACTAATCAATTTTCAATTTGTTGATGTTTTTGTCGTGTCCACAAACTAGTGACAATTCTCATGTCCATTTAACGATCGAGTTTTCTTGTTAGATTCACACTTCTGATAGATACACGATAAATCGAATCGGTCGTTCGTGTTGGGTTTCTCGTTGGCGAAACTATTTCCGAAACTTCAATTTCTACGCTTTTCAATGTAACTTTACCAATGCAAATTGCTTACTTGGCCTCAACTTCTCATCTCTTCTCTCAGCCAGCCAGTAACTGAATCAAGCAACTTTTCTCTTGGGGCTCACAGTCACAAGACAGGAAATGTCCCTTGTAGTAAGTAACTATCTAGTGTATATCCCCTTAAGAAAGTATTATAACCCTAGCCCCACTATCTAAATTATTATCCGAGTAAATAATAATAAGATGCCTCGCCTCGATCGACTCCAACACAATGCGATGCAACTACAGGCAGGCAAAACCGGTACTGGCAGAGAAGAAGAGACGCTGCCCTATGTAATACTTAACTTGTCTTCGTCACTACCTACCTTACCTACACATAGCAGAATTAAACGATAGGGGCGAATAATAATCTGCCTACAGATGAACCAAACCAGCCCAAAGACCAGACCTGAAGGACATGTACAAAAGAGATTCGATGCGATTTGATGATCCTTCTTTCTGTCAGAATTGAATATTTTACTTAAGCCGACTAAAAAAATTATTTCGAATATGTGCAAAACGCCACGCACGCCATGCACTACAAAAATTGTACTAATATTTTAACCCATGAAGTAAGTAGCTTTAGCGAGTGTACACCAATTCTATGATGCACTACATGCACATGTACATACTGCTGCTGTAGAAAAGAGTTGTATAACATAATGGAATAGTAGACAAAAAGTGTGAATGTATGGCAAACGGATGTTAATGTAAATGTGTCTTCTGTGTATAGTAACGTGTGCTTTGCTTACTTTTAGGGGATTAGAATTTTTGAGCTATTATATTATGACGATATTGACGATGATGATGATGATGCCATAGTTCGTGGTAGGTAGATGAATTTTTTAAGCCGTACAGAAAGAAACAGAATCGTACATGAATCTCTGCATGTAAGTTGCATACTTATTGTGTAGTGGTGATCCTATTATGAACGAATGTTTTTTTTACGGTGTGCATGATGGTGTTAACTTTTTGTGAAGATAAAGTGTACTATGTCTCTCTGGTTGGCAACAAAAGTACATAAGAACAAGTAAGAATGATGCAGTCTGGTGGGATGTGTTGGCGGAATATGTATGCATCTGTGTTGCCCTTGCCTTGGTTGGGTTCATCGAAATCTAGTAATAGTAACTCGTCGTCGTATTATGAGAAACGATGATGAGATGCCTGAGGCACTTGAGATTTTAGTGGGGCAAAAGCGAGACTAGGTCCAAAGTCCAATAATATGGGATGATGCGTTTCATGACGAATCAAATGAATGAATGAATGCATCGACATGGATGGAAGGTACTTGATATTATTCATAAAATGCTGACAAGGATTGGGTTGAAAAGAATTTTGAATTTGCTATATTTTCAAGAATTTTTCCGAAAGTTTTTACGTTAACAAAATAACAAAATCATAACGGTCGAGTAAAATTTTGAAAATTAAACACCATATCAGTAGCTAGGCTGAGGATACGATGGTGGAGAGTAGCTCGGCTGGTAGGATGGAGCTGGGCTATAGCTGGGCTGATAAGCTGGTGGTGAGTAGCTTGGCTCGTAGCTTGGCGCCTGGTACACGGGTGGGGAGTAGCTTGGTTGATAAGCTGGTGGAGAGTAGCTTGGTTGATAAGCCGGGGGGCTGTAGCTTGGCTCATAGCTTGGCGGCTGGTAAGCTGGTGGAGAGTAGCTTGGTTGATAAGCCGGGGGGCTGTAGCTTGGCTCATAGCTTGGCGGCTGGTAAGCTGGTGGAGAGTAGCTTGGTTGATAAGCTGGTGGAGAGTAGCTTGGCTGATAAGCAGGTGGAGAGTAGCTTGGTTGATAAGCCGGGGGGCTGTAGCTTGGCTCATAGCTTGGCGCCTGGTAAGCTGGTGGAGAATAGCTTGGTTGATAAGCTGGTGGGGAATAGCTTGGTTGATAAGCTGGTGGAGAGTAGCTTGGTTGGTAAGCAGGTGGAGAGTAGCTCGGCTGATAAGATGGTTCGTAGCTGGGTTGATAACTGTCGTACACGGGCTCTGGGTAGTAGGTTGGCTCATAGCTCGCAGGAGCATAATAGGCACATGAGGCAGGTGTGTGGAGGACGTTGTCAATCCAGGCGACCAAGTCCTTAGCGGGGGTGGCAGTGATCTTCTTGCCTTCCGCACCATATCCGTAAGAGCACTGAGTTGGGTACTGGACGACTCCATACAAAACGGCTCGTCGGTACTCACGGTTCAATGGCTCAGCAGCCTTGATTGGATAAGTGTAATAAGGTGGAGCATAGCTGGGCTGATAGGATGGTTGGTAAGATGGCGGAGAATAACTTGGTTGATAACTGGGTTGATAGCTTGGTGCTGAATAGCCGTATCCACCTTGTCCAGCTTCTCGTCGGTACCTCGATTGGTAAGAGGGAGGATTGTAGCTTGGCTGATAGCTTGGTTGATAACTGGGCTCGTAGCTTGGTGGGTTGTAGCTGGGTTGATAAGCAGGTGGAGAGTAGCTTGGTTGATAAGAAGGCTGGTAGCTTGGTTGATATGAAGGCTGGTAGCTTGGTTGATAAGAGGGCTGGTAGCTTGGTTGGTATGAAGGCTGGTAACTTGGTTGGTATAAAGGCTGGTAGCTTGGTTGGTACGAGGGTTGGTAGCTTGGATAACTTGCAGGGTATGCAGGGTAGTAGTACTCCTCTTCATATTTGCCTTCGACCAAGCAGAAGATGGGCGAGCCGATATCAGCCTAAAATAAATCAAAACAATTTCAGTCAGTATAAATTCGAAAGTCAGTCAATTTAAAAAAAATTGTACATAAACAAACAAAAATAGGATAGGTCAAAAATAAATATTTAAGGAACTCACATGACAAGCATCGTAATAATATTCCGCCTCCCAGCTGTCCACTTCCGGTGTGTAGCCATAGCCATAATTTTGCTGATATGGGGTGTACAGCTTCCTGACCTTGGCCTTCCTGGGGGTTCGACTGTACTCGTAAGCTGGGGCGTATGATGGGTAAGATTGTTGATAAGACTGGTACTGTTCTCCATATGAGTATGAAGCTGGCTTGTAGACCTCAGTTTGATACTGCAAAAACAAATTTAAATTTCAAATGGATTACAATAAACCCCGGTGTAATTTTTATGCATGAAAAATAAAATAAAATGAAATCAAGAAATCACCTCAATCTTTTCCACTGGAGACTCTTGGTATCCAACAACCCAACATTCCAAGTCGTTGTCGGCCCCTTCCTCATTCTTCTTCTGGTTGTTGGTGTTGGAGGATTGTTGTTGTTGTCCCTGTCCATACTGGGATCCGTACCCATAGCCGTAACTGTATTCGTTGGTGTAAGATTTGGACAAGTAGTAGAACTCTGGGACGCAAAGAGCTTCCGTGTGTGGGTACTGATCGAAATCAACATCCTCTGACAATTCCAAAATCACGACTGGGTAACTCGCTTGGGAGTTTGAGCTATCAGATTGAGGATAGTAGGATGGAGCGTATTGAGGAACTATTTGAAGCATCACAATTAAACAGTACTTTATAAATTATTATGAATATAACACACTGTGAAATTTGCAGAAATTTTGTACCATAGTAGAAGGGATGTTTCTTGCACACTGAGAGTTCATAGTTCTTATAAACCTCCTGGTAGTTCTTGTCCGATTGCAAATCCCACTCTCCAACGCGAACCTTGATTTGGTCCTCGTTTAATTTGTCGACACAGTAGGCAGATGTGATAACGTGTCGAGGGCTGAGAAGTCCTCCAGCGCACTTGTAGTTGTAGTAGGAATCCAGGATGGCGACCTGCCAAGGGTACTCTCCGAATGCAACACGATCTTTCTCATACCCGTATTGACGATGAACTGTGGGAAGAATTCCGCAGTGACGGGTCTGGTTGGCTTCCTTGTACTAAAATTGAAATGCAGACATGCAATTAAAACTAAAATGTATACAATAAATCTTAAAAAATTGAAGAAAAAAAAAGTCTTCAAATTCCTTACATCGACAGTAGTCTCATAAGTCTCATAGTATGGTGGTGGTGAGTAAGACGGCTGGTAGGATGGTTGATAACTGGGTTGATAAGATGGTTGGTAAGACGGAGGATTATACGACGGCTGGTATGAGGGATATGCAGGGGGATTATAGGCAGGAGGGCTGTAGGAAGGTGGTTGATACGTCGACACACCGTATTGCTGACCCCATGTCGGCAGACTCAGAGACACTAAGGAGCACACCACTCCCCCATAGAACACGTTCCGAATGGACCCTAGAAAACACACACGCACATTGTAAATCACACTACCCCCACTATTTTCAGGTTTCCTTCTCCACCCACCATTCACAAAACCAAAATTTAATTCTTACCCATGATCAGATAGAGTGAGTGTGAAGCCAAAATGTGTCTGGAAGGCATTCATTGTCAAGCGGTCCTATTTATTAGTTTCTCCGACCTTCAAATTTACATCCAGACTCGAATGATACCCGGCTTCCAGTCAACGACCATCTCAGCGTCGGCTGCATATCTGTTTATAATGAATTAAATATTCGACATCATGTCACTTAGTTAAATACTTCACAAATACTTACCTCATAAGATGCTGCTGGTCAGTATAAAATCCATTCCTCAGTCTCTTGTTCATCTTATTTCTTATTCAAATTGGGGTTATACAACCACAAACCTAGCCCGAGTTCATCGTCATTATGGTTCACATTTCCTAAGTACAACCAAAATCCAATCTTTAATTCTAGTATGCACATGCATTTAACGAAACAAAATTGCTCCACAGAAGGAGGAGAGGTGAATATTCAGATTGAAAACTTTGGCTATCAGCAACACCTTCATTTACTGAGCAGAATGTTAAGACAGACGACTTCCAAGGAATCTCTTGTTAATAATCATGCCATATAATTTAGCAAAATCTTTCATCCCTTTTCTAAACATTAATACAAAACAGGGTCGAATCCGGTCATCGAAGAACGATGCCCATTATCAAATCTGCATTTGCAATAACATCTGGGACAAAAAATCATGCAGAATCTAGCAAAAAAGATCACAAAAGACTCGACTCGAAACTCAATCAACACCAAAGCATTAACTGCTCAATTTTAGTAAATGAGATATCTCCAGGAATAAACTGGTCATCATGTCGTTCTTATCCTCCCTCCACCAAATTACACAATTCAATTTCTAATTGAAAATCTCATGATCTCATCACGAATATTTAAACGGCAATTAATTACAAAAACAAAATTAAAATTAAAACTCTAAAAAGAACTTACACCTTATCTTTCTTTATCTCTCCCATTCCTCCTATCATCAATCAGCTTCGCAGTGGTCATCGTCATCGAGTCTCCACAACAGCAATAATTCGCTCCTGAATAACAAAATTCAATCAATTAATGCTCAACTATAATTACTAATTAATTAGAGACGAGATAATAGAAGTTAATTGAATGGGAGCCTAAAAATATGAATAATTTTGGGGCAAGTGGAGTCCCTTCGTCTACTTTTCACACAAAATAATTCACCATCGGGCGTGAATTCCAAGCCGCGGAACTCTCTTGTTTACGTTTTGCATAATATTTACAGGGGAAGAGCAACACATGATTTTTGTGTCATATCATCGTCAATCGTCATCCGTAGATTAGTCGAAATTGTGTAATTAAGGAAAGTTAAAATCGCTTTCAAAAATGTCGTCACCGTCGTCACAAAATTTGGCCGAGAGTGCGCTACATGTAAGTTTGAATTAACGTTTGATTATTTTAAGTGTGAATTGTAAACAGAATAACAGATTGTTTTGTCAGATTTTTAATTGATGATATTTTTTTCAGGCTAGAATTCGAGACAAGTTGAATGTTGAGGGGATAAAATTATGGTTGGAGCCGTTCTACGAGGGAGAAACTGTGAAGGATAGCGAGATATTGGTTAGTTTGAACATAATTTGTAGAATATTGCTTCGGGATTTACTAATTTGACTATTGTACATATTTCGTAGGCATTGTCTGCAAGGTATGCCACAGAGTTGGAGATTGGGGAAGCTGATGTAGCTCAGTGTATGTACTCTCTGCAGAAAAATGCAATTGAAAGGTGAGAAAAGGATTACATATGATAAAATTTTAATTAACTGATGAATCATTAAATAATTGATTAATAGATTGGCTGAGCGTAATGCATTTCAAGCTACTGGGATTGCCACTGTTCGTCTCAGATTTTCTGGTTTTAGCCCCGATAAGATAAAAGCGGACCATCTGACCAACAGAATTCAAATCTTTTTGAACGAAACATCAGCAAAACAATTGAAAGGGAGCATCGCCCATACAGTCTCAATTCCGGAGAATGGGCTCAAGTTAATCTGTGCTGGGAAGGTGTTGGACGATAATAAAATGCTGGATATGCAAAATGTCAAGAATGGGAGTCAGATTATGGTCCTGTCTGTTGCAATGGATCATGAAACTCTGCAAGTATGCACGTGTTATTTATTGTGTATATCATACATGAAATTAGTTATTGAGCATGATTGATTAAACTGAATACATTGAGCAAAATTTGGATTAACATATTTATGTGAACTAATTTGTTTAGCAAGTCGAAGACCAGTTCAAGGAACTCGAAGAAACGAAAAACTCGGCCGATTTCTTGTCTTCCAAAGATGGAACTGACGGGCTGTACTCGTTGCAAGTAATACAATTTTGATACTACTAAAAAATTGCAAATCAGATATTAGAAGTAAATGTTTTATGTACTCTTAGGTCGCCGATCAATCCGGAAAAGCTCTACGTCTTCCCGACTCTGAAAAGAAAGCATTAACCGTCGCCCTGGCCTTACATGAGAAGGGTAGAGCATTCATGAAATCGGAACAATTTTCCAAATGTTTGGTTTTTCTGCTAGAGGCTGATACAGTTTACAAGTAATTTTACCATCTCTTGATTTTCACATATGATGTATAAGGTAATGTTTTTCCCTTAATTGTTCCTAAATATAGTCAATGTCAATCTTCACTTCTCACCATGGTGGACAACTACGGCCTCCTCAATCTAGATATTGCCTGGTGTTACCTCAGCCTTCAAAGCATTTCCGAACTTCCTCAAGTCGAGGCTAGACTCAGACAGTGTGAAGTGGTCTTAAAGCGGTCGTATGGGGAGGACATGGAGCGTGTCATCGCTCTCAAAGGGTCGTCCGGTTGGGAGGCGGCCCTTTACGTTCGCCTTCACCTCCTCCAAGGAATCACGTCCTACCACTTGGGCCAGATTGAAAAATCAAAGTTTTACATTAACCGAGCCGAAGCAGAGTTAACTCGACTCAAAGTAAAGGATGACAGTCTGGCTGAACTTATTAGCATGGGTGAGATCTATAGCGATATGAAAATTAGTTCCCAGTATCTGATCTCAATAATTTTATGCACACCACAGGTTATGGATCAGAGGAAGCGAGGATTGCTCTCCGTTCCACGTATGGAGAATTAACCTCTGCCGTGGACTGGATTATTCGCAAACGTGAAGAAAAGGCCCAGAACAAGGAGCAAGAACGGGAAGACTTAAAACGGCGAAAACTACAAAAGAAATTAGGGAAATGTGCAAACGGACAAGTCGTTAACGTCCAACTGTACCAGCAACTCAAAGGGATGGGTTATAGTCCTTTCCTCATTTCCGAAGCTTTACGCCGCTGCGACAACGATGCCAACGCCGCCATCCAATTAATGGGTGATGAAACCTTTGAAAGCCAAGTTCTAAGCGGGGTCATCAACAAAATGGCAACCAATGAGCCGTCCACTTCGTCATCATCAAGTCAGAATCCAGAACTTTCCTCTGCGATTGCCAATATTACAGAATTGGCAGCATCTCTTCCCGGCGGCGCAGCAGCGCTCGGAGGCGATCTAGCGGGTGCGATGACCGCCCTGGCGACAAACCCGGACGCAATTTCGTCAGCGATAAATTCAATAAAAACTGCACTCAACTCGACTCTGTCGGAGGAAGCGCTCCTCTCCCTGACTCCAACCCCATCAGAGGAGGAAGTCCAAAAGTCAAGGAAGGCCTACAACACTCTGGCTAAGGACATCCACTCGGAAGCGGAGTACATCGATTTGGAAATGCGACCAGAGAATACGTACTTGGCGCAATACAAAGCACTCTTAGAGTCACTTTGACGCAGCAAAATTCTACTAAAACTCTTCAATCGAAACATATGCACACCCATCCGTACGAATCCACCTAAAAACTTATGATTGAAATGGTCGTAATTAAAAATCTGTAACCCAACAATTTGGAAAATCTTGACAAAATAAACGTACATAAAGTAATCAGAATAGTTTGTTTAATAATTGCTGATTCCTTTATTTAATAGCGCAGTGCATGCACTGAATTCTACAGATCACAATATTGTCATTTTAATGGTGAATACAGTTAGTTTTGTATTAGTCGATTAGCTAGTTTTTTTTATTTCCTTCCTTTAACAGCACGGATTCAACTGTTCGTACCACTTGACACCGGTTGGGCTCATTTCCTCCAAAGTTATCGGATTTACGCTGGTGATGCCTTCAAGTTGGGCCAGGAATTCGACATAGTCAACGTCATCCTTCAGTCCACGAACAACCTTCATCATAAAACAATATCACATAGTTGGATAGACAATTGTCAAGAAATTCAAACAATTTAATCGAACTTACCCCAAATCTCTTAATGATTGCCTCCAATTCACTCGTCGTCACAAGATCGGCCAGCCCAAGGGTGTGGAGTACTCGGTGGAATTGATTGACTGAGACCAGGCCGGTTTGCGGTTGGTCGAAGTCTTGGAACATTGGCTTGAACTGAAATCGATAATAAAAATTGTCCCTCAATTTTATTTCGAATACAAAATTATCATCGCAAATTCCATTTCTCATCCCACCTCGAGGCGACGCTGATAGACGCGAAGAGCGAGACGACGCATTCCAGAAATGTAGCGACAATATTCCTCTTTCGTGAGCTCCTTGTCGTAATCCATCTCTTTGAGAGGACGCCAAGCTTGAGGCTATATTAATAAAGTTACAAATTAATTTCTTAAAAGCAGATTAATTTTAACCGAAACAACCTCAATTCGTGGAGCTTTCTCCAAGTTGGCGACGGTGAAAACTGTTTCAACCGTGTTGAGGAAGCAACGCCATTCAATCTCCATGGGGTCATCGGGAGACGTGTAGCTATCAAATTTGCACAGGTGGTTATCAGAAAAAATAATTATTAATTATAAGCATAAATGTAAGGTTATCATCTCACCAACAAGTCAGCACTTCAATCTCTCGTGGCGTCAACTCAAACCCGGCCCGGTCCATGGCGCGATGGAAGTCAATAGTTTTGATACGATCGTGATTAACATAGTCGTGGTCACGGAGAAAGTCGTATAGTTTGGGACGATTTCGTACCATCTGCAATAAAATTTATTTAGCTCATATTGCTATTCAATTTTATGATTATATTCTAAGTTTTCTCTTGCACAGCTTACTCTCGCCTGAATCTTGTACATGATTCGTTGCAAGTCATTTTCTTGCCATTTTGGCGTTGGCCTGGGGCGGCTGAGTTGGTATAAGCGTCCAGTTTTGTACTTGGAATACTATTTAAAAAAGTAAAACTTATATAGTTAATTAGTCATTAATTTTAATAATTTAATTAATTATTAACTGATTACCCATCCCGGCTCAATATTCTTGGGGTCAATGTCGTCCAACAGTTTAAAGTAGTTGAACCCCAGGGAGTCGCAGTACTGGACGGAAATCGCGTCCAATTCATCCGCCGTGAAGTAGTAGTTGAGCATGGAGAGAGTTTGCTTAAATTGCTGGCGAGAAACGTGCCCATTGTTAATCCTAACAATTAAAGTTTAATAAAAGTTAAATACCGTATTTGTAGTTTAGAATTGCTAGCTTGGATATGTATCACTTAATTTACATACCTGTCGAAACCTTTGAAGAAATACTTGATATTGCAGCTCTCAAGTTCCACTCGACTTCGCAATCGGGCAATGGCACATTTCGCTAATTGCCGAATTCGAAGAGGAATATCTTCCATGTTTGTGGCCCCAGCTCGTGGAATCGCCATGATCCGATCAGGTGAAGGGGTTAAGATCAGTGGCATTTTCTCGATTCCTCTTTGCAGAAAGACTGTAAATCCCAAAATATATTATGCACAAATCACAAGAGAATAAAGTAAATGCAATTCTGTACTTGATTCAATATCATCATCAAATTTTCTCCAGCATGCCATCGACTGATCGTCCTCCAACCGATAGTAATTTATCAAGGCATCAAATTCGCCCTCACTCAAAGCAATCTTTTCCCCCGGTCCAATTCCCATGTTGGCCAAGGCCCGGCGAAATCGGTTCGCTGAAATGAAGCCATGATTCATGAGGTCGAAATCCTAACAAATTCAGAAACAGATTACTTATCCAGCAAGGGGAATATTGAGACAAAAGTTTATCATGAGCCCCTCACCCTGAAGAACTCTTTCGTTCTGACCCTAAATCGGTACAAGTATTGTTGAAGACGTTCCATCAGATTTCTCAGCTCGACAGCTTCACTTTGTCCCAGTTTCGGTTTCAATTCGCCCGTGAGACCCATTGGAATGGGGGACGGTTTCCCAGCCGTGGGAGAAAGTGCGTACGCTCCAGCGTATCGTTGACCTATTGTAAACTCAAAGTTGCAAGTCTTTGTTTATACAAATGAAGGATAATATTATCTCACCGTAAAAAGCGTTCGCCCTTTTGTTGATGTAGTCCTTGCCTAGAATTGGCCTCCTCCCAAACCCACCAACGACTGGACCCCCTTCGTAAAAGCGAGAGGAATCTTGCGGCAAACACGCCCCAGCCAAGTGCTCATCTTCGCAGGCACATTTACAGTGAGGAAATCCCCACACGGAACTGTTCTTCCCAGCCCCACCCAAATCAGGGGGATATTCCATATCGTAAGGGGGGCCGTCCGCCTGGTAAAAATCATAAGAATTCCACAAATTCCATCAGATTTTCATATTATCCTAATATGTACATACGTACCCCGAGGATGGGCTCAGGTGGCTTTTGGGGACAGATCTTGGCGTGGTACGTGTCATCCAGGTCTTCCACGAGTTGAAGAAAGTTGACGTTGTAGTCTCTGGTGGCGTATCTGCGTAATATTTTAGAGATATTTTATTGGAGTTACATAAATATGTGACTTTATTTTTTTTGTATTCTGTAGCAAGTAAACATAACTAACTTTTTGCACAAAAGAGCAAAATCGGATTCCACCAGGTCTGCATCCAAGTAGACCAGGAAGCGTTTCAGGTGAGGAACCGTAGCCTCACCAGACTGTCGATGAGCGAACTGGGTAAAAATGCGAGAAAGTGAGACGTTTTATGACAGACTAAACTATAGGAATTTCGCCCAATTCGGGCATGAATTGTGCAAAAAAAAGAGAGAAACTTTCACCACTGATTGGCACAACGGACTCGTTATGTTTCACAGAGTAACCGGAAAAGAAACCATATAATGTAATTAAAGGAAGAATTATTATTGTACAGGAAACTGAGCCCTGTCACGCAAGCGAAAATTTTCGCTTTTTCTCCAATAATTTGTCTACTTAACCAAATTAGAGACTAAATTCTACCTTATCAAATGTTGCATTCAATGTTATGAGGATATGACGATCAGCCCTTTTCACGATTTTATGCCAAATCTCGACAATCCTCTCTTCATCTTTTTCACTCAATTTGTTCACGGCTTTCGGTTTCTTGAGCTGGTCTCGCGATGTGATATAATTCAACTGGATTTGTTCTTGCAAACTGAGAGCTGAGAAGTGAACCAATTAGAAAAAAAAATCATGACATTTTGTGCTTATTTATCAAAAACAGCTCACTCGAGTCAAACATTTCAGCCATCCGTTTGTAGTCGATTTGGTCATCATACGCGCGATAATAGTTAGTCACCGCGTCCAACTGTCGCTCCGTGACGCCCGCTTCTGGAACCAGCGTGTCGTTGAGGATGCATTGAAACTTTTCTTCAGAAATGAGCCCCTTGCAGGTGGGGTCACAACAGCGAAACTGATCCGTGATTTTGATACGGAGGCGAAAGTAGGCAGTTCGCAACCTGGGTGAAAGCAAATTCGTCTCAATATGTGCATTTTTTTGTATGAAAATCTAGCCTACGCACCTTTCCAGAATGGATGGAATGCAGGGCTCCGTTCCAAAGACGTGTTTTCCACATGCCTACACATATACACAAACACAATGCGTTTCGTTATATCGATCACTCCCACAACAAAGCATGAATGGAAAAGAGAAAGTAATTAAGAAAAGTAGTAGAAGCGGCATTATTCACAAAAGAAAACTGAATACTGATCAATCAATACAACGACTTTCTCCACGTATACGTGCACCACTTACCCTTAGCTCAACATCCGACACTTTTGGGAAAGGAACTTGTGAAGCACAATCCCTCAACTGGTCCGCGATGTTGTCGTCTATATACAATATTTATTTACAATTTAATTTCATACCCAAATTTGTACACACGACCAGGAGGGGAGAATAAATTGGGATCATAAGTCAAGTCAGGAGAAGAATGGAAATCTGAATTGCCAATTGTATCAAAAATACGGAGCAAATGTACGTTCAATTGTGGTGAAAGGCAATTGTGAACTTTCACCACAATAGGAGCACGATAAATCCTAATGTGAAATAGTAACTTTCATTCATGTCGTGGTCGTGGTTCTTTTATGGTAACTTTGTTGTACTACTTACTGGAAATCATTAACTCGTGGAGGCGAGAGTAGCAAATCATTCCGTCCGGCATTTGGAAAAATTCCGTGATCAACTGCACCTGATCCATGTTGAAGGGAACTTGGCACATGAATTTTTCGTGCATCATGCATTTGAACAGGTAGTCTATTTACGGAAAAGAGGAGACAAATAAGCCAAATACCAATGTGCGTAAATTCTTGACCACAAAAACTAGTTACCCGAAACGACGCCAAATTCGAGGGGATCATGTTCCGAGAAATGTTTCTTGATGTCGTACCCACATTGGCGTGCGACTGCCCTCATTCTGTCCAAATACTCGGCCGTACATGGTTTCAGCCCGTACGTGTCCAGACACTGGAGTCACAGGAAACAAAAGAAGTATGAATTAATGATCAGTAGTGGGAAAGAGGATGAATGAATGGATGGCAAAATGTGATTAGAAAATTGAGGGGATTAGGCTAGATTTTGTCATTTTGAGACAAACTGTCGGAGTATTTCTGACCAAACTGGTGTATGTACTAGACTTGCCTGTGGTTGTAGAATCTTGGGAGGCTTATCTGCGTTTGACATGATTATTCTGATGGTTGTTTGACCAGTGAGACTAGGAAAAGGTATGAATGAATTTGCTGTAATAAGTTTGAAGGACACTGTTTAAGTGGAAAGAAGTCAGTTCACGTTCGATATTTTAATTTTTGAAGAATCGCGTGATAAATAATTTTATTGTTACACTAAAGTTAATTTGCGAGGATTGGTTATGTTGTCATATCGATTTTGGAAGAAGTCATTTATCTGCGAAAAATATTTTTACAGAGAAAGACAGGAAAAAATAATGGATTGTCTCATATTCTCATCTTGCCCATATCATATTTGTCATACTTTAAGTGTCTCATGGATTACAAAAAAGTAAGCATATCGTTTTGTTTAGAGAAAGTAAAGTTCATTAGTTTTGAGCATTGCATAATGCATGCATAATGCATATTTATCTACTAAATTATATCAATAAGTGCATTGTCTAATCATAAATAAGTATTTAATAACAAACTGTTTATTTAAAGTTATCAAAGTAAAATATGCAAAATTGTTAACTTTAAAGCATATGCTTATTTAACTTGTGAAACTATGTAATCAGGCTTTTTACTCTTTTATAAAGAATTGGTAGTGTTATCCTACTGTTGACTGTAAGTTCAGAAATGGGGAAATTGAGAAAATCATTTTCTTTTCCATGCAGTAGCAGTAACCCATTTCGTCTCTATGTTTAGGTAGTTTCTCATTCTGGGCAATGAATTATTTTATTCAAATCAGACATCCTTAAGATTCACAATTGCACAATTTACATATTTTTCATTCTAGGTAAAATTTCTTACTTCACAGAACCATTGTCACCATTATCACAAAATTACTAGCACATTGGTATAAATTATGTAAATATATTTTATTTTATTGGAAGTAATCATTAAATATATGAAATACTTTAACATTTAGCGAATTACTGCAACAAAAGTCGACATGAGATTCTACATCGAAAATTAAGTTTCTCAATTTCCCCAAACTTGCAGAACGAACAGAATGACACTACCTTTCATGGAGGAAAATTCAGAGGTCGTATACTTGAAAAGTACACACGCTTATCTCATCAAAATTTCAAAATTTTCATTAATCATACTTAGTTTTACCAGAAATGCCAAAATTAATTATAATTAACTTTAATTTGTATCAAAATCCCACCAGCCGCACACTGGTGAAGGAGTATCAATCTCCCCCTGAATCAAACTTTGGCAGAGTTTGGTTTGAGATTGGGATTGACGAATCAGCGCGTTGGTTTGTTGGTGGGTGCGTGGTGACGGGAGCAATAAACGCGAGACGGACGCCATTCCTCGTCCCTCACTCGCCTCACTCTTCTTCTCTGTCAACTATCCGGCTCCACTCCACATTTAAGGTAAAATATTTCTTTTTTCAACAATTTGAATAATTATTTGCACCCTATTTGCAACAATTGTCGCAAAAATTTGCGTAAAACGTGCCCCTCGTCTCAGGTGAGGTTCTGAAGCTGGGTAGAAGGCTGTATTTCAGTTGGAATGGTGGTAAAATTCTTCCATATATTATTGTAATGCGTCATATGATGACGAATTAGGAAAGATTATATATTTACCATTACTGGTAAGATTAAAGGGTTAGTTTAGTACTAAAGGTTAATATTTATTGTTGGTCAAAGTAATGGAAAGGGGAGGAGGAGGAGAAAGAAGTAGAGAATTTGGAATAGCGTAGCATTAATGCGAAGTATATTCTATTCTAGGTGACGTCATTATCATTGTGTTGTATCTAATAAGATTAGAAAGGTCAAAGGTTCAAATTTTGAAAACGTTTTGTATTGAATTGATTTGAAAACATTGAATCGAGTAGAAAGGATAATTGGATTGACTTGCTGGTCATATTATTATGCAAGTTGGCTAAATTATTGCCATCGTATACACATTCCATTCCAATCAAAGCTAATACATTCTCTCTATTCTTGTTACAGATAATCAAATCGAGTTGAGCGAGGTCATCACCTTTCCTCCACTCCTTCTCACTGATTCCACCAGCACGGAATTATACGAAATTTAGTTGAAGATGTCTGGTCAAGACTTTTCGGACGACATTACCAACGGTGGATTCGAGAACCATGAGGGTGACGAAGAAATGTTAACTGCTGGGACTGGAGATGAGTTTCAAGACGACTCTATGGGCGCCACCAACCCCAACAATAATGGGGACGAGAACAGGAATGGTGGTGAAGACATGGAACATCAAGGGAACGGGGACTCTAGCGCGGCCAACAATGCCGCCACCTCTGACCAGTATGTCCTCTTCCTCCTCCCACTCTTATTTTCATATATAAAAATACGATAAGAAACAATTTTTAATTGGTTTAAAAGGTACAAAAAAAGTTGAGTTTTGTATGACAGACAATCTCTGTCGTATATTGGTTCGAATTGAAATCGTCACTCTCTCATTTAATTGTCATTTGAAAAAGTAATTTTATTAATAATTGAAATCAGATATTCAGACTAGTGTTTTGCAGATTTTGATGGTATTGAGCTCCCTTCTCTTGGTCTCTGTCGATTCGATTGTTGTTGTCGAAATTGTCGTCAGTCAAATTTTACAACTGTATCTTGTTCATTTGGCACAAAAAGACAAAACTTCCAACTCTCTCTCTCTCTCTACTTGACAACTTTCACTGCTCTGGTTTTGCATAATATTTCTCACTTCTTGTCCAGATTGTTGATTATTGTTATATTATTTATTATTAATTATTATCAGTTTGTATACTTTTTATATTTTGATGGATTGATTGATTCTGCGCTGATGAATGAGATTTCTGTAACCAATACTTAAACTCTTATAATAATTAATCTTCTTGTCGACTGAATGTTTCCGTCCGTTCGTATGCTTTAGTTTTTCTCGTAATTTGAGTTCATCAGGCAGAATCAGATCGATTTTTTGGTCACGATGATGATGATGACGACGACAGTGCTCAGTAGTACAGTTTAGTTGGTTGTTGAAAAAGGGATGTTTAAAAAGGGTGATTTTGATTTGGGCCTTTTTAGGTACTTCTTGGGAGCTCAGTTACTTTAATGGGCACCTAGGACACACGGCCGATCCGCCAACTTGACATTGGCATGCAATCTCAAAAGGCAAATAAACCTCCTCCTACTACTACTACTGCTCCACCTTGTATATGCCAATCGCGATATAAGCGACAACGACAAGCGCTCAGTGACGCTGGTCTACGATGGCTGACCTGACTTTTTTGTGACGTTGTTGATGACTGACTAAAAAAGTGAAACGACACTTAAAACTTAAAGACGAGCTTCGATATGGTGTCCCTCTTCTTCGTTAGTAGATTACACATTCTCTCGTCCATTATTATATTTTGTTTTTACAAATTATGATTCCAATTTGTTTTAATTTTCAATCAAAACCTGGTTCTCTTGTGACTCACTAATTTCTGACTTTTTACAAATTCCTTATAAGATTTAATGTCACTCATGGACAAAACTTTTCATCAATCATCATAATATTCATTACAATTTTTGAAATTCATGCCTTAGAGTTAATTAATCAGGTTCCTTGATTTCGAGTTGATCGATACATATATAATGCTCTTTTTTTTATTATTACTTATTATTTCAATTGTTGCACCTTTTCTGATGAGTAGATATCTTTAAATTTGGTGATGGGTGGGTTTAGGTTGCGTGATGGTTGTGAGAGTCTTTCGTCTTGAGAGGATTGTTTTTTTTACTTTGAGAGACGTTTCTTCATAAAATGAATCGAGATGCATTATTGTTCATTCTCCTTCCTAAATTTGATACTAAATGAAACATAAATTTGCTTGTTAACTAAGTGTTTTTCCTCATGTAAAATGACTGAATTTTGTTAGAAATTGTGTGTTTATAAAAAAAATTTATAGGAAAACTCTTTATTGGGGTTAAAACTTTTTAACTTTAGACTTTCACCGTCAATTTTCTTATAGGAAGCTGTTTATCGGCGGGTTATCGTGGGAAACCACTGAAAGTATGTACACTTCAATTTTTCTTATACACTTTACATTCGTATTAATAATCAGTAGATGATTTAAATAAGAGAAGGATAAAACTGGATTTTAAAGATGGTTTATATATTTTTGCAAACTTTTTCAAACCTGACTACTACTACTACTTGTGTGCTCTCTCCAACCATGTGTGCAACTTGAAAACTCAATCACTTACTTCAATCGAATTCAAAATCCAACTTGTTGACCCACTCATGATAATTGATTGATTCAAAAACCTAAAGAGGATTTGAGAGAATATTTCGCAAAGTTTGGGACGATCGAGTCTTTGACTTTGAAAATGGATCCGGCCACAGGAAGGTCGAGAGGATTTGCATTCATTGTCTTCTCAGAGACGGCAACTTTGGACAAGGTGCGTAATACTCATTTTTACTTATTTTTAGCTTAACATTATTGCCCCTATAAAAATATCAATTCTTGTCTGGTTATGATGTCAAATTCAGTCCTGCTTCTGAGTATAGTTGAGTGAGACTACTGTTACCATCCATCCTATCTGAACTATTCAAGAAATTATCCCTTAATTATTATTATATTTACAAGTCTCCAACCCACACGGCATGAGTTTCAAATGGGTTGAAATTAATATGTTTTGTGTGTTTTTGTACTCTATATAGGTCATTGAGGCAGGAGAACATGTCATCAATGGAAAGAAAGTTGACCCAAAGAGAGCCAAGGCTCGTCAAGGCAAGATATTTGTGGGAGGACTGACGCAAGAGATCAGCGATGATGAAATTAAGACCTACTTTTCTCAATTTGGCAACGTAAGATTACTTTGTGATTAACGAAAAATTATTTATTTTGTACAATGTTAAATGATGACAAATACAGTCCTGCTGCTGAGCTTAATGATGGATACCCTCTAAACCATCCAATTTTTTTCTCTGAAATATAATTATTCCTAAAAATACTACAATTTGGTAGTTAATCTGAGTCTTGTTGGTAATAATACTAATAATAATTTAATTTCACTAGGTTGTAGAAATGGAAATGCCAATCGACAAAGTAAAGAACCAAAGAAAGGGTTTCTGTTTTATCACCTTCGACAACGAGCAAATCGTCCAAGAGTTGTTGAAGACGCCTAAGCAGACAATTGCTGGGAAAGAAGTCGACGTCAAAAAGGCACAACCACCACAAAACCCGAGAATGATGGGCGGATGGGGTGGTGGTATGGGCATGGGAAGCCGTGGAGGCGGCGGAGGACGCGGTGCACCTCGAGGTCGTGGCGGCAGGGGGCGTGGCGACTGGAACTGGGGAGGCTACGGAGGACAAAACGCTGGCGGATATAGCGGTGGAGGCTACGGACAAGGTTATAGCGCGACTGGGCGTAAGAATGCCAGTGACTTCTACTTTTAAAATTTGTTTTTGATACTTTTTACTTCACTTTTCTATATGTATTATTGTTGCGTTATTAATTTCGCTGGCTAAAGCTAGATAGCTAGAGTGAGAGATATAGTAGAAAAAGAAGAGTACAATTTAGTAAAATGTATATATTTATTATTGTGATCAAGTACAACCACAACAACTCCTTCCCTCCCACCCACCTCTAGATTTAGGATCATCATGGCAGGGTCATATATAATCAGAGCTGGGATACTTAATCCTGAAATTTGAAAATTGTAATTCATAATCTAGCTGTGTGGTTAATCCGCCTTCGGATTAAGATTTGATTAATTCCCCATTCAATTTTCTATTGCTTCTATTAACATGATCATTGATCAAATGAAATGTAAAAAAAATCTTTATCCAGATCGAATTAATTGCACAAGTTTAATCAATCCCAAATCGATTAATCCCCCAGCTCTGTATATACTACATACATATATATTTTAGTTGTTTGTAGAAGTAGGAGAAGCAGTTTCAGTAATATTTTCTATTAATTTGTTGTTTGTTGCTGGCCTGTGTTGTGAATGAATGTCTAAAACTAACCTTGCATGCAAGAAATTGCAATAAAAACTAATTATTATTCTGGTCGTGTGTCTTAATCCCTTGTTATCATTCATTTAGTAGTATTTCGTAACCAGAGTATGAGGGTGACTAGAAGAAGCCATGCCATATATAAAAGTACTATTTAGCAGGGACATAAAAGGACGCTATATATTTTCATTTTGTTTTTATGATTTAGTATCAATTAATTTAAAAAGTAAAGCTATATAGCGGTTGCATTTTATTATAATTCTTGGACAAATTATTAATTTTCTACTCTTGGTAGTTTAAAGTTGGGTTTCTTTTGCTGTTGAAATGACAATTTTAATTTCTTTATCATATGCCAGCTTTCTTGCAATTTTGACGTTTTTGTTTTTTCATTCTCAGGCTACGGCGGGTATACGGGAGCATATGATGGATATTATGGCGGTGGGTACGGAAACTATGACTATTACTCACAGTACGGTGGTTATTCAGACTACGGTGGGTACGACTATGACGGTACGTCAACTCCATCGCGAGGCGGTCGTGGAGGGAGAGGTAATTTCTTGTTGTGACCCCTTGCTTCTTCGCAATGCTTTAAGTTATACGGGTGTCAAATGTTCATGAGTTGTTGAAAAAAGGATTGTCTGACTGACTTACAGGGACGAGTGGAGCGGGGGGCTACAGCGGCAAGACGAGAGGTCAACCAAGAGGCGGTCAACCTAGGCATATGCCATATTAAATATCTGACTGACTCAACTCCCTCATCATCATCATCCTCCTCCTCCACCACCCACTTTGAAACATTATCATCAACTACAAAAAAATCCAGTGCTGTTTTAAATCGCTCTCCAACACTCCAACAAGCAGCAGCTCATCCTTTTCTATTATTGTTATTACTTAATAATGATTTACTATGTTAATTTATTAGGTACCGATATTTACTTTACTGTTCACTATATTTACACGCTACATTTGTAAATTATTATTATCATTATATTCTTATTGTTACCGTTTATTTGTCCATATCCGTGTTTTACTTGATGCAATTTATCGTGTAATTCAGAAACTTTATATTAGGTACCGTTATTAGATTATTAGTACATCATTATGCAGTAGATAGATAGCAAAATTTGTGAACTTGTCTCATCATGTACTATTCTTGATAATCTGCGACAGAAAAAGAGAGAAGTAGACGTTGGAGAAGACTATTATTAATTTGTTATTATTACTGTGAGAAGAAGGCATGAATATAATATATAATACAGGACGCTTCAATTTCAATCAGTAATTTTTTGTTTCCTTTGTTATTGGCTTCGTTGTTATCATACTTTCGTTGACCAGGGTTATCTAGTTTTAGCTTAACACTTGTTTATCGCTAATTTATTAATCTCCCAAATTTCTCTATAGCTGAGAGAACCCATGAACTTTTTATAACTGAAGGAGCAAAGAAGGAATGCTAACTAAATGTTTACCAACCTTGTGAAGAAAGAGACGCATTTTTAAAGTAAAAAGCAGTCAGTATCATTTAAGCAATGAATGAATTAAGTGATGAACACGAGTGAGTATGTAGTCCAGAGAGAAAAACAAATGTTGTTGTTCAATTGTCGTGCATGGTTTTATTATGATCGAAACATGATCTTCGAATCTTCATTCCAGGGAAAAAAATTCAGATTCAAAGATTCATGATTTTGATAATCCCCTCTAACCGTCCCTGAATTTTACTGGGCCGGTGATGGGTCTCATCTTCTCTACTCGTTTGTACGAAAAATAATAAATGTCTAGTTAGATATTTTAATTTTTACTGGCAATTAGATGAACGAGTTATTATTACCACTATAGGAAAATATAAAGATAGATAGAAACCTGTATAGGAGCGAGGACATCATATAAGATCGAGCTATAATAGATGCCATTTTAAAAAACTATCAAATTTTTACCACAACCACCAGGAAGATCATCTATTATATAATAACCTAGTTTCGATGTCCAATCCATCCTAATTAATTTCCATCCATTCTTTTGTGTAAGACGAAATCATAAGTAGGTGGTTAAAAGTTGATGAGATTGAAAACTTTGTTTGATTTTATTAACTACTAAAAAAAGATGTCTGTAATCTTTGTCTTTCTGGGATTACTTACTACTTGATTGATAAGAATATCTGGCAACAGACGACGGAAAGTTGAATGAAACATGTATTTGTTACAAGAAATAAAAAATATAATAAAAAAACATTGATAAAATGTGAAATTTTTATGTGGAGCTTTTATTTATTGTCATATTGAGTAAAAGAGAGTAAAAATGACTACAAGACTTTATATATTTAATCTTTTATAATTATGTTAAATCTATTATGAAATGGCAGTGTTATTTTCATGATAAGTTTCCACAATGGAGTAACTAGAGTTTTATTAAGATGAATTAAGCTGTATTTTTTCTAGACTTCCTCGTCACCTTCTTCATTCCCATTGTTCTCCACCCCATTACGGACATCGTCACATTTGTCTTGCAACTCATCCGCTGGGATTTCGAGACAAGTTCCCCACTCTTTGAGGGTGATGCGATGGTCGTTATCGACGTCGCACCCATCGAGGAAGGGGGCGATGCAGTGTTCCAGTGCCATAAGGGGGGCGCGGATGGGGAAAAGTTCATGCCGAGAGACAACCCGGTCGTGTGGGTGGCCCTGGAAAATAATTAGTGAGGACTTAATTAAACTTGAATGAAATTGTGGAACTAATTGAACTTACGTCAAGGTCGCACCACTTCCAAACGGCAGCAACTGAAGAACGATGACCTTCCGTGGGAGAGTTTTCAGCCTCGCGTTCCATTTGGAGGTAGTGGGGGCTCAGTTCACGACGATCGGCCAGTTCTCGCATCACGTTGAAGAGCCAGTCACGCATTCGACGGGGAAAGTCGCTCATTTCTTGTTCAGAACATTGCTAAAATGTGCAAATTAATTATGAATGAGTAGTACAAAAAAAAACATGCATATCGACGTTGTATCTTGCTAAGTTAAAAAACATGAAAAAGAGACAAATACCGGCATTTCTCGGCATTCGCCATAATAATCAATGTGCAAATGCTTGTTCATGGGGTTGATGCATTCGCTGGACCCCTCGTCACAAAGACATCGGGTTCGGTAAAGCTCACAGTCGCTGATCCAGGTTTCATTGTAGTTGCTGCAAACCTGTAAAATCATGCAAATTAAAATATCTTAATCTAATCCCTTATTAAATAAGTGTCACATTTTCATTTGATATTATACCCGTCGACGAAAATCTTCCTCTTCTGGACATGCTTTCATGCAAACACATTTTGCTCTCCCCTTCTCACCAGGATTACCTGAAGGTTTTAAAATTTTAAATTACTGACTTGTTCATTTCATAAATATGAATAATTAATTCTACAAAAATGAAACTTACACTCGCGTCCCGGACCACATTTCTTGTCGGCACATGGATCTGATTATAAACGTAGTAAAAAACAGGAAAAATGAACAGCATGACGATGGATTACTATTTACATAATTTCCTAAATAAGTAATCTGACCTGGTCCATAATTGTCAGTAAATTCGTCCAATTCATTCATTTCTTGAGCCTCTTGTTGTTCCAAGACCCTCAATCGAGCTTCGAGTTCTGCCCGAGCAGTGTCCGCCTCGTCGTCACGTCCCATGATTTGGAAGACATCCTCAGGTTGAGAGGCTGCCTCTGTAGGGGCTGGAGTTACCGGCTCTTTCTTCTTCTCTCCTCGGACACGTTTCTTTTTCTGGGGGAGGAAATGAAATAGTGACCACATTTATTTTTTAAATGCATCATATATTAATCACTTTATGATTGGAAACTGAATACCTTGGGCGAATTTTGGGAGTGCACATCCGCCACGAGCAAGACTGCGAGGAATAGGACCAAGAGAACTTTCTTCATTTTCGGAACTCTGTCTATAATCAAAGAAAGAGGAACTTATTCCGGAACTTTGTGCACTAATTATTGTGTAACCGACGCGTTTACATTGACAGACTTATGTAATTAGGATAGGTTTATAAATTCAGTCGTCCAAAGAAAATGTCATAGGTCATGCAATGCTGCCGATGCAAAATACATCTGTAGGTCGGTTAACCATATATATTTATATTTCGATTACTGAGATTCTCATCTCAAATGTAATACTTATTCTTTGTGGGTTGAGAGACTTTCTCAAAGTGAGATGGGAGAAGTGGGTGCAATGCCATATGCAATAAGCAGTATGGTTTATGTGTGGTTATTCCATTACGGTATTTTTTTGAGGATGGCTTTCTGGTTTACTAAGGAGAGCGTGGGTGTATCATACTATTTAGTAATTGAAGAAAGTATAAAACATGACGATGAGACAGATCCAAGTTTGCATTATATTGCAGACATGCAGTGTTTGATTATACGTATGTTGATAATGCATTAAGACTAAATCAAGTACAAACTATAATCATATGCACATGTCAACTACGATTTTGCAGGATCAGAAACAAAAGTTAGAAATATAAATCTGCAAAATATGTATGTGGAACTCGAACTCGAATGCATAAAAATTTGTGATGGGCTGGGAATGTGAGACTTTATATTCGTTGGAGCTGGCTCCTGCATACTCATGAATTCATGCAAATATTTGCTGAAAGGAGCATAATTGAATTTGTTCTCATGTTCTCTTAATAAGATGTTGGTCCCATGATGACTTGCAATTTTGAAAATATCTTCTCAATCCATCGTCATCGTCAGTTATAATTCCCTTTGATGAACATGGCAAGCAACTGACTAAGAAAATGGGACTGGACCATTGAATTCTTATTTATTAGTCTGTCTATAATCTTCTGTAGTGAATTGCATATTGGAATTATTGGATGGACATTCATTCTTAGTAAGCGTGTAAAGGAATGGTTTTGAGCACATGATATCAATTCCAGCCAAGCCAAGCGACTCAAGGAAATGACAAATCATTCATTCTCTCCATTCTAACGGAGATATTTGCGTATCAAATTTTGCCTTCCTCTTCTCTCATGGCGAAACTAAACCATGCAATAATAATGAATAATTTTGGCTATACATAATACATATCCAGTTCTGATGAAGGATGACACATAATAATGTTTATATATGTATGCTTCCAATGAGGAAATGTGTGTCACTGGCAGATATTTTCAGGAAATCAAGTCGGATGCAAAACACAAGAGGTCATTTATTAACAACCCCAAAATTGATAATGTTTGTATTTATAAAATATGAACAAAAATAAAAAAAATCTTACCGGAAATTCCAGACAAACACCGCAATGAACCCGGCACCCGAAAAAACCGAAACAATTAATAACTAACTAACTTTTATTTAAACTGTCCTATAAACAATCCCAGTTTCTCTAATCCCTTGTCATAAATAAATAAGCCCCGAAAAGGCTCCTTCTTCTTAAGATGAAGACCAAGACCAAGTTCTGCCCTGATGAATGTAAGAGTGACTGACGGGTTAAAAACTATCCTTCCCATTTGCTTCAGACCAAGTCTTTAAGGAGAGACTTCTTCCAATACTTATTCTCATCTCATCTCATCTCATCTCATCCGTCTTAATACATATGTACATGCACATAAGTAAGTATGTACTTGCATAGCGTGGTCGTCGTGGTGCAAGTTCGTTATGCTGGTAGGCATATTCAAAGAGACTTTTTAAAAGCATGATCTCGCATTTAACTAAACCAAACCATACTTATTCTCGTAAAGACCACAGAGTTTCATGCAAGAAAGAAGGGAAATGGAGATGTCTTAAGGAAGGGTGGGTGGAAATGGAATAGGAAAATGCATGATTGTCGAGATATACACATTTTTAAGCATACTATTTACTTACATATCCACAGCATGGATTCTTCTTATTCGTTTTAAAAAAGATGTAAAGCCAGAGAGGAAGTGAATGGAATGGAGGACCACGACTTTTATTTGGATAATATTGGATAGAATCCTCCAGATTCTCGTATATGTACAAATACGCATTATATGTATAACCGATGGATGAGGTTTCCAGAATTTTCTGTCATGCATTATGCACTGTTAAGCATTTTAAAATGAATTAAATATTGTCAAAATGATGCCATTTTTTGCATGCAAATGAATTAACCACCCACAAATAACAAATTAGCAACTCACAATTTATTTATTTAAACTGTTTCATCGCGTCATCGAGATTTTACCATTTTGAAATTGAAACTAGGAAAAAGTTGCACAAGTTTTTATGATAATAATGAATAATATACTTGACACGGTGAGGTTGTGGTAAATAATTATATGAAAAGGAACAATACTAATAATAAGATGATGAGAAAAATTTGATTATCTCCTCAGTATCAAAGTAGTAGTAAGTAATTGAATCATATTTTGTGGTTATCGATTATAAAGCAGATCAAGGGTCCGGTTATACAAAGGTATTAATAGTGGCGAGGAAACGATATTACAAACAATTTAGGTTCTCTTATTCTCTCTGTCTAATATTTCTAGGCTTCAGTGTCATCATCATGTCCATCGTAGTATTAACTCTCATTCTTCAATCAATTTTTAAATAATAATAACATTCATTACGTAATAATTAAGTAAGTATTATTGACTGCCTGCCGGTCTTCTTTTCGTTACGAATTGCGATACAATTTGTTTACTCAAGGCTATTAGACACACAGTACAAAAGTAGTAGTTTAGTTTTTATAATCTGATTGCAAAATTTCAGACTGATTTCACACCTAATTCTTCGACATTTAATAAAAAACAATCAGGATCATGAGGTTTACATGTAACGATTAAATTTAATGAAAATACCGCAACCAACAAACAGTCCTTGATTCTCGTAATAGTTGTTGTTAAATTCATTATGTCATCAATTTTAGATTCGCAATAAGTAGTTATAACCAAGATTATTTTTAAAAGACGAAAAACAAAAGCGGTACAAAGAGATACAACAGATTTAGCAGAGTACAGAGTACGTTGTGGTTAGTTGTGGTTTTCTTTTAGACAACTCATTATTTACTAATTATTAACAACATAGCAAGTCTTCTTCATATTTATCATTACGCAGATTTTTTTCAGTAACAATAATATTTTCAAGTCACTCAACAACAGAATAAACGTTTTTGACGTTATTTCCGGAGATCAAAAGGTGAAGACAAAAAGTTTTCTCATATATAATTCAGTTCAACATTCAACAATGATGTAATGTACGTACATATGCATTAGTTAAACAAAGCACATAATTATTTCCAAATTAGAGGACAAGTAGTAAATTAATAAATACGAGTCGAATAATTATAATGGTGGTGGTGGTGATGGATCTATAAAAGTTACATTTAAGCTAGTTAGTTCCTAATAATTAACCTCATGATGATTTGATTTTTCATAATTTTCCAGCAACAGCAGTCAATGCTTTCTCTCGTGGATGGCTTATCTTTAATTAATCCTTAATAATAAAAAAACGATAAGTATATTTAAGTAAATTCTTGCTCTCAATTCAAATCGTACATTATTTACGCGACCATTATAAATATATTTAAACTGAAATTTCGAGCACGTTGTCAATCATATATCATCATGTCATACATATGTAATTAAATAGTCGCGTATAAATAATTATTATGTTGTTGCATATTTATTTATCATTATTATTCATGTATATCACTAATACATTATTACTACTAGTCTTCCTTTTATGTTTCAGGCCCGAGCTTATTTTTATATATTTTTGCTCCGTCCACAGTTTGACACATTCAATTGTTGTATAATATATAATAATATCTTTCGGAACAGGAAGTAACAAAATGATAAATTTTCATGAATTTTGACACCTAAATAATAACTCTGACTGATTTTTTCTTTGTCTTAATCCTTAAAAATTAATCCAATTGGTGAGACAGTGCAGTACAACAATGATGGGGTATACATTTGGATGGGTTGGATAAAATAATACTAAAAATTCACAATTTCTTGGTGTGTGTGGTTAAAGGCATCTATTTAAAAGTCAACTTCTTCTCCTCGTCTTCTGGTAAATGCGTGCAGTTATTGATACGCGGTGTGTGTGCACCTAATTTATTTTATGCAGTTACTAACATCCCTACGTATTTTTTAATTATGCTACGTTTCTGGTACCTATTTATTTATTATGCTATTTTGTGATAAATGCAAAGTATTATTTTTTCTCGCTTACTTTTGTAACAACTAAATTGAAAATATTGCTAAAAAACAATGTCTACAAAATGGTTATTCAGCCAATCCTAGAGTTTAACTATTACATATGTATTTATTATTATGCATAATGTGAGGACTTATTATTTTGGCAGAAATGAGAATCAAACGAATAGGTACGTAAATCATAGAATATTTTAAGATATAAATACAAAACAAAATTGTTACCGTTAATTAGTAGTTAATCAACTAGTTTTAATATCTCTATTTCTTTCCGTTACTTATGCTTATGTTTGTTATCGATTTTTTGTCAGGTTGATAATGGTATTATTTAGAAAGTTTAATTTTTTCGTACTTTTTTTTCATACCTAAATTATTGATTACTTTACCAAGCTTCTACTCTTCTTATCTATCTCGCTAATTACATAAATATATCGTGTTGTGGGTGATGATACTGAATGATTCGGATTAGATTTTAGATTAGAAGTTTCGTTCTCCTCTCCCCCCTTGTTTCTTGTGCAGCATAACGATTTCGATTGAATTTGAAAACACAACGCTTCGATAACAAGAATTATTTATAAACTACAAGCACGCAAAAATATCTCAGCTAACTAATGTTCATGTCAGTAATCATAATAATCATAATAATGCATACCCCTACATACCTAACTGCTGTTGTATATATGTAGTTACAAGTCTTATAATAATTACCTAATTGTTGTTGTCAGTACAATATTGGATTTATTCAACCAGCCTTATCCGCAGACTAAGTACGTTACTGTTTTTTTGGGCGTGGGTGGAGGTGGTACGAATATTGGAACGGGAGGAGATGGTGATAACTAAAATTAAATGACTTAGCGCTATCTTAGCGATTTGGCTTTACTATTATGGGCCGGCTTAAAAAAAGATATTGTTCTTATAGCTTTTGCATAGTAATAACCCTCCCCTCCTTCTGATAATTATCCTAATAAACTTAGGTCATTATGTTGTTTATCTGTATAAAGTATTTATTATCTTGATCACTATCGTCGTCGTGGCTCATCATAAGGGAAAATAGGTGTCTCGTTGCCATTACTATTTTACTAATAGTACAATTATTATCATACAATTTTTTTATACCGGTTGTATCTCCTGTCAATTTTCAAATTTCAAAGCCAAACAAAACAAATCTGATGAATATTGACTTCGATTTGAAATTGAAGTAACTTAATTAAAACTACTAATTGTCTAATTAAATAACATTAGTTATTATTTTTATTATAATAATTATTACTGATTTCGTTTCACGCGAATTACCAAAGTTGAAAAAGTTAGATTTAAGTAAGTTTTCATTAAGTCACCTAATCACTATTTTTTTTGTTATTTATGCTACAATACGCGGTATCTTATAACTATTGAAAGTAGTCACAAATCGACTAATTGCATTTGCAGCACATCAGGCACGATGTTGGTTAAACGATTATTATTAAATAAATAACTGTGGAGCTCTAACTGATAATAAAGTTGTTTAAAAAAATCCAACTTTTTTTTATAGAAACGATAAATTCGAAGTCATAATTAAATGAGACGGTTTACTTTTAAGTATATTACTTTTTTATATCTGGTCACCGGATTGATGTTGCTCATTCCTTCTTATTATTACATTCAAACCCCAATCATCTATTATGCTGTACTTACTACGATTAAATTCTAATGATAATAGCGCAAGTCACAATAAATCGCTCCCCTTGCGCCACTATCAACCTGAGATTGAACACCAGAAAACATCATGTATTACAAAGCAAGTATAGCTTTTGTTGCTCATTCAAAAATTTTAATTTTGTTGCTAAATAGCGTTTATCACTGGCCGGGTAGAAATTAAAACCACGCATCGCGAATAATTTTAAATATTTATACTAGTTAGTAATTTTAGATAGTAATTTGTTTGTATTCCTAAAGTTCGAATTAGAATGGCCTGATTTTGGTTGTCAATTTGTTGTTGTCTAACCTTGTGATGACGATTTTTGTTTAGTTTTGCAATTTGTTTTTCAGAGATCTATATATACGAATAAGCTATAATACACGCGAAGAACAGGAAGAGAACGACTAGTTGAGGTACAAAGAAATCGTAGTGTATTACTTAGTAGATAAGTCACAAAATCTGGTAGTAGCAGGTGTGTTCGTCATTATCATCGTCGTCAATTGAACTTTACAATATCACAGCCAAAGTGTTTTTTTTAATATAAATAACTACTACACCTTCACCCAGAGTAGTTGATCTTAAAAACGTGCGTGTTTTTTAAACCTCGTCTAGGCTTTCTCCTCCTTACTTTCACTCATAATAATTTTACATACATATATAACTCGCTACATTATCTTAACCCTAATTAATTATGCTGTCTTATTAATCGAATAAATTCAATAAATGTTCATCCGAGTTGCGCATAGTAAATGTTTAATCATCATCGCAGAAATGAGTGTAGTAAATAGCAGGAGAGTTGTTAAGACACAAAGATACGGCTTTTGTGGTTAAGAAATATCTTATTGTTATCTTTATCATTATATAGCAAAAATGTGCGGCGTTATCTATCTTAAAATTCTGTCTACCTATCTTCCACACCACGTATTGTTACGTTTCATTGATAAACGTCTTTATAATTCACCAGAAATTAATAAACATTATGAAGAAGTGGATAAAAAAGGAAACCAAAAAAATCACAAGCTATCTCGAGTTTGTGGATATATAATAAATATTCACTTTCACTCGCCCAACGTACTTATATAACAAGGCAGAAAATTGCTCTGCCCAAAAATTGATAATAATAAATGTTTAATTATTGTTACCACCCAGCAAAAACTTATCCCAATTTAAAATGTTGTCGATATTATGCAAGTCTTACGTTGATTTAAATATTAACGCAGCATATTATATAGACTTATTTATATTTTGATACGGCGATATTAAATTAAACTAAAGAGAACAACGAAGAAGTATTTAAGATTATTTATGAGGTGTGTAGTGTTAAAATATTATTAATTAATGAAGTAGGGTTTTGCCTTTCATTCAGTCAAGGTTTGTTGTTGTTGTTTCCACGGCCAGCAGAACCACCACCCATTCCACCGCCACCTCCGCGACCACCAGAGTTCATGTTTCCACCACCACCACGCCCGCCCATGTGACCTCCTCGATCATTTCGGTCCCGATCTCCTCCTGGACCGCCTCCTCGGTTGGATCCTCTGAAAGTTCTCGAACCTCTCATCATCCCATCGGATGGACGATTCCCCGCAGGAGAGGAGCTGTCCATCCGGTTGTAGGGGGCATCGTTGTGATCGCCATCCATTCTTCCAGCACGCTGGGACCTCTTCTGCTCAACGTTGAGGCGTCGTTGTCCTCCACCATTCATTTTCATAAAGATTTCACTCTGCAAGTAGCATAGAGTAACAAATTATTAAGTAGCTTCAGCTACTTTATGTGAAGACTTTGTCTGTCTGTCCGTCTGTCTGTCAGCAGGATATCAGGAGAACGGATCGAGATAATCGAAATCGGTTTTCGCCATCATACATAGGACCCCAGGGGGAGGATCCTATCAACTTTTGGGGGCAACCGGACCACACCCCCTTTGGCGACAGGGGGTGTGGTCGGGGCAAAATGAGATTTTTAGTGCAATTTAATCTATAGGTGAAATAGAGTAAAATTATGTGTTCCGGAGTTGTGCCACACCCCCTCGGCGCCAGGGGGTGTGGTTGGGGCAAAATGAGATTTTTAGTGCAATTTAATCTATGGGTAAAATTAGGTGAAATTAAATGAAATTAAGTGAAATTAAGTGAAATTAAGTGCTTCCCCGATTGTGCCACACCCACTCGGCCCCAGGGGGTGTGGTTGGGGCAAAATGAGATTTTTAGTGCAATTTATTCTATGGGTAAAATTAAGTGAAATTGAGTGAAATTAAATGAAATTAAGTGAAATTAAGTGAAATTGAGTGTTTCCCCGATTTTGCCGCACCCCTTCGGCGCCAGCGGGTGTGGTTGGGGCAAAACGAGATTTTTATAAAAAATTAATCTATAGATGAAATAGAGTGAAATTAAGTGTTCCCGAGTTGTTCCACACCCCCTAGGCGCCAGGGGTGTGGTTGGGGCAAAATGAGATTTTTATAAAAAATTAATCTATAGATGAAATAGAGTGAAATTAAGTGTTCCCGAGTTGTTCCACACCCCCTCGTCGCCAGGGGGTGTGGTCGGGGCAAAATGAGATTTTTACAAAAAATTAATCTATAGGTGAAATAGAGTGAAATTAAGTGTTCCCGAGTTGTGGTGGGACCGTTTGGGGTGAAGTACGTCTGAAGCTACTTCCGTATGCGCGTTTGCGACGGTTTATTAGTTATGCAATGTATGACAAATTAATATGTATGATAATGTATCTACACACCTTTCTGTCGACAGCAGCTTGTGCGGATGAAGCATCTTCAAACACGATGAAACAAAAATAGGGAACCTTCATCCCTCCACTTTTAGGGATTGGTTTTTGAATTTTGACTTCAGCTACTTCGCCAAATGGTTGAAAAATGTCCTGCGCAAAATTAATTTTTAAAATTATTATTATATATCTACTTTTTCAAGCATAGCATAAGCCACAACTTTCATACCTTCATGTCTTGCACCGTAACGAAGTGGGGGAGATTACCAACAAAGAGTTGATTGGCATCAGGATATGTGTGCACTGGGCCTGGGCGGCGACGGTCACCATCCACGCTGCCAGTTTCATCATTGAGGGCTGTGCTCGACCTAGAAGTTAGCCGTTCACGTCGGTCTTTTGCATCCCGCTCCATATGCGGCGGCCTGTTGTTGTCCCGATCTCTGTTGGAGTCTCGATTCTGAAATCCACTCCCACCCCCACGAGGATTTCCACCACGAGGAGGTAGTCCTTTCACACCAACGCCACCAGACTGGGGAGAAATTTGTGGTGGAGATGTCGTGTTGTCGTTAGTGTTGACAGACTGACAAAATACAATATAATTGTTCTCCTTACTAAAAATCGACCATAATTAAGATTAATAAAGTAAGCTTGTTTTTTATAGTTTCTCACAAATTGGGAATTTCCAGGACTTCCAGCCCGTGGGCCATTAGCACCTTTGTTGGCAGTAGATGAGGGAGGTGGGCCAGGTGGAAACTTATTGCCAGAGGGAACGGGTCCAGGCTTACTGGCAATCGGGGCTGATGGAACCTTGAAGAGATTGGCGTATGTTTTCGGAGCACTGCTGATATTTGTGTTGATGACATTGTTGATGGATGAGACGGAAGAAGCATCATCCTCATTGTTGGTGGGCAAGGCAGAGTTTGATGATGACGATCCAGTACTGCCTGCAACCTCAAGTTCATTTCCGTCAGCACTCACTGTGACGACCGTATCGGGAAGAGAAGTTTCGGCAATGAAGGACTGTTGATCGTCCTCACTTTTCGGTGCGGGTGGAGTCATTCTTGGAGGAGAACTCATCTTGACCGAAACCTCAACTCCTGATGTCAATTCTGCACCCATAATTTAAAGTTTTGATGATTAGTCTCAAAAATTGAACGATTATTTAGCATACACATTGATGATTTAATTACGTACCTCGTGGAATGATGTCACCCCCACCATTAATTTCCACCACAGCAATGGGCTCGTGATCATTATCTTCTCCATCTTCATTTTCGAGTCCAGACTCCACAGGGGTGTCACGATCTCCATCATCATCCGTGAAAACTTCGTCTTGATAGTGGAACACGTCGTTGCGGACGTAGTACCGCTTTGGCGATTGCGGAGCCAGGACGAAAGTTTGCATAAATCGTCGCATCGGCTGTCCATTATTCGACAGCTCGCCCGTTACTTGGATGACGACACCCTTGCCCAAAGTCTCGTGGGAATCCACCTGGAAATAAAAGTTATTGTTATTTTGTAATGAAATTCAAACCGTAAAATCAAATTTATGCTAATTCACCTGTCGGATCTTGGCATGACAGTTGTGGAAATTGAGGGATTGGATCCTCTTGTGGATCTCCTATAATAGTGAATAAAATAGTGTATTTCATTTCATTCAATAATTGAATAATTTCACTATTTATGTCTCATATTTCTAATAATAATGTTTCATCATCCGTCATACCTGTTGTCCATAGGAGACTTTGTTAGAATCTCGAGCAGACGCCCCATGAACAAATGCAGAGTCATCGGAGTAGAATCTAAAGGTATTTTAAAGTTATGATGAATTATAACAAGACGTGGTATTTAATTAATTGGATATTGATTGTACCGATGAAGATAGAGTGGTCCTTGGTTTAAGACCGTGTAGTATTGACGCACAAACTCTAGCCCGACCAGGTAGACGTTGCCTTATATTAAAAATAACACCAATTAGTTTTCATAAATAACAATATATAATTTATATATATAATAAGAGTTGTAATAAAATTTATTATTATTAATTATTAAAAATTACTACCGTTGCTCCGGTTGGAATCAGCGTTGGACGCATCCCCGCCGCTTTCGACGTGGGACTCGTGATGAGGGTGCCTATAAAAATGATCAGTTAATCTTCATATTACACCAAAAGATCGATAGGCGCACAAAGTTGTTATAAACTCTGTAAAAAACAAGCTTTATAAAATTATAATTGAGTAATTACATTGCACTTTCTTCCATGACCATCTTCTTCGACGCACGCCTGGATGAGTTGGAGTTTAGTGACGACGACCTGACCTCTTCCTCAGGAATTCCGACTTCAATGGTTCAAGGGGGGTCGCCCGAGTTTCTGGAGTTTAGCTCCGATTATTCCACCACAACAGCTTGTTCACTGCGCATTAAGATATCAAACTATTAGCACTTTCATTTAACTCTTCACAAATATCAGTCCAACGAACCCCATCTAAACCCATATTAATAAATGCGTATTAAAAATGTCTCCAACAGGCTCTGCTAAACTGGAAATTGCATTCCCCAGTAAAGTCTATAATTGTCGAGTTTCATTTTCTATTCCAAGGGTTCATTTCGCAAGGGTCATGGTCAGACACACCGCGTACTCAACTCCTTGGATAACAATGAATCGAAAAAAGAATCTAATCCAAAGAAAAGAACAGTACAACGTCTCAACAAACACGTATTCTGATTCCCAAAAACCCAACATTAAAAAACTCCACCTGATTCATAAAAGCCAAAAAACCCTCTCAATTTCTTAATTACGTAATAAAAATCTGCGTCGCCTTTTTCGTCCCGTCTCGTCTCGTATTATTCACTTTATGGCTTTATTTAACTAATTGCAGCTGAACCAATAAAACAATAATGTCAACAAACAATAGACCACTACTTTCCTTCCTACCAGTAATTAGAACCCAATAACAATTATCATGATGACTAATCCAACAACTAAACTTAATGACTGCAATTATTACTAAAAACGTTCAGCATACACATACAGCACAAGTTTGGCTTACCTTTCTTTCAACCTTTGTGATGAAAAAGTGAATCGTTGTTTGTTATGCAGCACGTTTGCCGTCGACGCGATTCGTACAAATAATTTAAATTCTACTAAAAATACGAAGATTTATGATAAGTGTTCTTGCTCGCCGTCGTCGTCGTCCGTGTTTGGCTGGAGAGAGAGAGAGAAAGAAGTGTATGTTGTAGCAGTGAAAAAGTATGAATCTTTATATCTTGTGGCGGTGGTCTCGTTCTCTTCGTGGTGCGGTCCTCTGTATAATTTTACTTACACGACCAAATAATGCAATGTTTCGCGTGTCCCTCGTTGTTCTTCTTATGTGCATGCTGGTTGTATTTCTCACTACTTTTACTTACCCAAAGTCGGCTCGGGCTTGGTCTGGCTGGATAAGTGACCTCTGCTGGACTCCGACGCATACACGCCTTCCAGACACTTCGAACCGGGGGAGGATCACAAATCGGGAATGATTTAGGGGAAAGTTTGATAGGGATGATTTTCAGGGAGAAAATAATTATCCGGCAGGAAGGAGATGCTATTTTGGATAAGATGGATTATCCGGACTAATTGTTTTTACAATTTCTAGACATGAGATGGATTTTGGGTTAATTTCTATTTTTATAAAGTTCAGGGAAAAATTGAGTGTCTAATGTCCAATTGTTAATTAGTGTGGATGAGTATAGAATTTAATTAGTGGCGATAAGTCGCTTATCATAAGGTGGATGAGGTGTATCACTTATCTTGTGGACGATCCTTTTCTTTGGGAGGCACAGTTTTCACTTTCGACCATCGAGCACCATCTGACACACGGGTTTTTCAAATTTGAGCAACTTTACGCAAGTTTGAGGCACTTTGAGCCCTCTCTCACGACTTGAGGAGCAACTTCCTCAGCCACACGCGGATTTGTAATACCACGGAATCCAAACTGGTTCACATGTCTTGATCGGCAACCTTTCTCCGTAGGATTTTTACAAGTGGGTTTAATTTTGATACATTTCTATTTAATTTTGAAATCTAAAGTGTAATTTGTGTATTTTTTAAAAGGAAGAAGAAGAAGAACAGAAGAACGATGGTTCAAAGGCTCACGTTAAGGCGGCGGCTTAGTTATAACACAGCCAGCAACCAGAGACGAATGTAAGTTTCAAGTTCAATTTAGTACCAATTAGTTTTGACTGTTTGTGTTTAATTTGTTTTATTTTATTCAGTGTCCGTACCCCCGGCGGCCGACTGGTTTACCAATATGTAAAGAAGCCCAGGAAGGTCCCCAAGTGTGGGAACTGCAAGGTGACACTCCGTGGTATTGCGCCTGCAAGATCTCGCGAAAGGTCACGACAATCCAGACGGTTGAAAATGGTCAAGCGAGCCTATGGAGGTGTCCTTTGCCACAAATGCGTGAAAGAGCGGTGAGTCTTACTAAATAATTGGACGAGTTGATGATAATTGTGATGTTTAAATGTGTGAGGCGACAGTTGTGAACAGAACAATATTGAGGGTGAGAGATGAGAGATGATTTTAATGACATTATTTATAATTCCATTTTCCAGCATCGTTCGAGCCTTCCTCATAGAAGAACAGAAGATCGTCGTTAAGTTGATGAAGTCTCAGTCCCCCAAAGGAAAGGCAAAGGTCGCTGCTAAGTGATGGGATTAAGTTTGTATAACTTTTAATGTTGAAATAAATTTAAAACACAAAGTTGTAAGTTATGGATTGAACAAATCTATTTATTTTAAGTTAACATGTACGCAACTTAACTAGCTAATTGGTTTCTTAATTTACAACTCATTTCTTGGTGTCGGTTCTTTAGTCACAATTTTTTGAATTTCTCTCAATCCTTCCAACACCATTTTGATTTGGGCCTTAATGCTGAGTTCCTTCTGAGTCAGTTCGTCGGCACGGGCATTTAGAAAGAACAACTTTTTGTCACAAAATTTCAGTGCATCTTTTCCAGTCATTTGCAGCCAAATGCCACATCCGATGTCAACTGTGAATGTCTTGGTGCTAGGAATTTCTGCCTGGACATAAAAATTTGACCCAATGTCCACCCTAGTTTTCAATTTTGTTCCTAATCCTATATCACCATCATCCTCCCCTCCTCCAGTGGCTGCAGAAAGCTTTCCCATAATTGTTTGGAGTTCAATGTACTGGGCAATTTCATTGTAAAGCTCGTCGCGACGGTCAAGCGTTGTTTTCAAATCAACTCGTAGCACCTCGTTTAAGAAGTTTTCATATTTGCTGACTTTCTCCATGTCGATAAAGTCAGGACCTGGCATTGCAGATTTTGGTCGAGATGTGGGTGTTGACGTTTCGTTGAAAAGTAGGTATTTTTATCAAGATTGAATATTTCTTTGTTCTCGTCAGTTCTTCAACATATGCACTTTATTATTACATCTGCAATATAATAATAGTAAAATGTAGCATATTAATTATTTGGAAAATAGATGTTACAAATTGGATGCATATACCTATTAGAGGTTAAGGGTGTGGTAAAAAGATGTCACATAATTGAATTGATTATCTTCATTTAGCTAAAAATAGTTCGCATGTGTATCCAAATATTTGCATGAGGTTACATGAAGATTGCATCTCTCGTAATGAAAATCCTCTCTATATGCAAGTAGTTTCATGCTCGCGAGGAGCAATAAAATATGCAAACATCTAATACCTTGTAAACGGCGTTACAGATAGCATTAAATCTTGTATGTTCCGATCATAGTTTTAGATTGTGTAATGTTGAGAATGATTAGATAACCCCATTGCATTGGCGATATGACATCTGCGACACCATTTCCTTTGTCAATTTACAGGAAAGTTACAACAGGATGATGTGTCAAATATATTGCACAACCAACTAAAACTTCTTAGCATATTCTGACAAGTAAATTGCCAGCATGAAGTTGAATTCTCATGATGATTGTGGATTGATTCTGATGTGAACAAGTTGTGTATGCAATCGCTGATTTTTAGCTCACCCCAACATAGTAACATCTGCTCTGTACATTCCACCATCAAAAAGTCTACGAAATCATTAAAAAGTCAACGTGGTGGCTTCTTCTGCATTCTGACGGCCTTGTGAATTGTTCAGGATAATAAACCGGCTACTAACGAGTTCTGCAATTGATTTGCCCATCAACTAAATAAAAGATATTCATGGTGGAAGGAGGAAAGGCAATTGAATTATTCGAGTGTGCAACTTTTGGTAGACTGGCCGAATTTAAAACAATATTTGGATCCTTAATTTGAAAGGTAAGATTTATCCGATCATGCAAATATCCGAAATCTTTGTATTTTTTCCAAGATGACAGTGGTTCATTTAAAACTAGCAATTTCCAGAATAAAATTAGATTTTATTCTGGAATGAACTGGTTCATTCATAGTGGTCACTATCTTGATTAGGCAAAAATACAACAGTTTGTAAATTGTAAGTTGTAACTTTGTTTACTATATTTGTTCTTGGGTTCACGAGAATTGTAAAAGAAAATAAATGCAAAAATTTGGAGCACACGATCTATCTCTAGTAAAAGCGATTGTGGACCTTTATAACCTCAAACTGCTCAACATTTATTTAAATTTGAACAATTGCTTCGCATCGTCATTGTCTTTTTATGTAATATTAAATATTTGCATTGGTAGGATATTTTTACCTTGCAAATGGTATATTATTTGGAAGGTAAACTTATTTGGCTCTATAACGGGATAATTTATATTTTCCGTTTCTGCTTTGTACTTACGAAAGTTTCATTTGACGCATAAAGTTTACGACTGTAGATCTGGGAACTGATTTATGGTAATGACTTATTTATAGACTTACGAGTAATTTTGTAAGTAGTTAAATTATTAGTTGAATTATATTCTACATGATGAGGTGTAAAGGTCAATAGTTTCTCTCACTATTATTGGTAAAACATTCAGCAAATGGTATAGTACTCAAGTACTCAGGATGCTCGGTGTTTTTTAAAAATAAGTACAACATTCATTTCTATTTAGTTAAGGCCACGGTATATGCATTATAAGCTGGTCTTTCTTCCGTAGGAAATATTGATTGATAGTTTGATGGATACATTTGCAATTTACAGGTTTTACGTCATGTACATTATTCATGAATTCATGTTCATGAGCACATTACATGTAGAATTTAACAAAATATTTTTCCTTTTACAGTTAGACCCTCGATTCGACTCGACTGACACATTTCCATCTTCAACCCTTTCGACAACGCTACACGCTAAATCATCATGGCCCATGTCCCGTAAGTTATTATGAAATACAATTTTTTTCCTCTAACAATTCAATTCAACGCTTATGGAAATACTCCACTCCCAATTTCTTTTCGTAATATCTATCAAAAAAATTTCTCCAACGTGTTGTTGAAATTTTGTAACCCCAAACTTATTATAAAGTACGAATGTGTCTAAAATATTTGCATGAAAAATGCTTACTACTATGTGTGAAAAAGAAGGTCAACAAGCCAATCGATATTAGGTCATGTGTATTTCTGAAGTCATATCGAGACCAATTATTTTAATATTTATAATTTATTGTAGTGAAGGAATTTTATTCGGCATGGGAAACCCACTGCTCGATATTTCCGCTGTCGTGGACCCCAGTTTTCTCGAAAAGTACAATCTGAAGCCCAACGACGCCATTTTGGCCGCAGATGAGCACTTACCAATGTACGAAGACATGGTTGCCAACTACCAAGTTGATTACATTGCGGGTGGTGCAACACAAAATGCACTTCGGACCATGCAGGTCAATTTTGTACTACAAGCAACATTTATGAAAGAATGACTATGTTACTATATTCTTTTATTTATTCCGTAGTGGGTTCTAAAACGTCCTAAAGCTACCACTTTCATGGGTGGTGTTGGAACCGACAAGTTTTCTGAGGTGCTAGAAAAAGGTGCTCTAGACGACGGGGTGAACGTGCAATATCAAAAGATGTCTGAACACCCCACGGGTACGTGTGCCGTTTTGGTCACTGGGAAAAACCGCAGTTTGTGTGCCTATCTGGGTGCTGCCAATCACTTTAAAAAGGAGCATCTGGACAAGCCTGAGAATTTGGCGTTGATGGAGAAAGCCAAGTTTTACTACATTTCCGTACGCCCATTACCCTATAACTAATTCCGTGATCTAATTTATCTGATTTTCTTTTAAATACTTGCTGCAGGGATTCTTTCTAACCGTCAGCCCTGATAGCATACTCCAAGTGGCACAACATGCTGCTGCTAACAATATGCCATTCATGATGAACCTAAGTGCGCCTTTCATATCACAATTTTTTACCGACCGATTAAACTCTGTAATGCCCTACATTGATGTTCTGTTTGGAAATGAATCCGTAAGATTGGTTTTGTGAAGTTATTTATACAAGTAGTAGTTAATTTGTTCACAATTTGGTGTTTTTATGAAATAGGAAGCTGAAGCATTCTCTCAAGTTCAAAAGTTTGGATTGACAGACGTTACTGAAATCGCAAAGAAAATCCTTACTCTTCCAAAGGAAAATAAAAGCCGGCCACGCATGGTCGTCTTTACTCAGGGCGAAGGTCCCGTAATTGTTGCTCAGGGTTAGTAATCAAAGATGCAGTTGTAAGTTGTAACTGCAGATTTGCAAATGATGCATACATATATTGCAGAAAGTGGAGTAAAAACTTTTCCCATCATTGTTCTTCCTGTGGAAAAGATTATCGATACCAATGGTGCCGGAGATGCCTTCGTTGGAGGTTGTGCATATAAATATAATATTATACAATGCCAGATAAAAATTCTTAGTATTTTTTAAAAAAATATATATGACCATTTTTGTATTTTAACAGGGTTCTTAGCCCAATACGTACAAGGAAAGCCTATTGAAGAGTGTGTAAAATGTGGAATTTGGACGGCTACAGTAATCATTCAAGAGCAGGGCTGTCATTTCCCCAAGGACAAGGAATACTCTTCAGATTAAAATTGAAGCAGCTCCACCGTTGTTGATATTCATTTACAATTTGACTAATTCATTTTCTTTCCAAAACCAACTATTATTGTAAATTCAGAACATTTTTGTGTTCGTTTGGCATTTGATATTATGTATGTACTAAAAGTGAACTAATTTGATACATGTTCTAACAGCGTGCTCAGAATCAGGAATAAGGACCAAGGACCAACCAAGTTTTAGATTAGAGATAATAGATTCAATATGCACAATATTTTCTAGACAAATTGTAATTGCAAAAAAAAATTGGGCGAAATATAATTCCATTTACACCGGGTTTACATTTATTTCACTGTTTTATTCAAGTCCTATGGACTTAATAGTATCGTTACTTGACTTGATTAACAACTTTTGAGCTCATCATAGTATTTTGAATGTAGCACATATGTAATAGTACATAATATCATATCACGTTTCGCTATTGTGTAGCTTTCATTCACCTTTCATCAAGATTGTGGTATAACCGAAGGTCTCTTTCTTCTTGCATTGCTTTGCTGATGCTAACGTTTCATAATTCATTAAACTATTTCTCTACCCAACAAAATGTCTAATAATTGTCCAATAATCCTACTTCTTACTTAGTTTACTTAATTATAATGATGATCATGATATCGTGGTTGGTATTTAATGCAGATTTTGAGAATATAGTCTATTTTACAATTACGATACTGGGAATAAATAAACGACAAGGAAAGTATGTGGCAACTATCAATTCTAAATAATTTACACATAATTAACTGATCTCATCATTTACTCTTCTTTTCCATTTCGTCCAAATAGGCCTGAAATCTTTTAAGTAGCGTGGCTGGATCCTGCACTTTAGGACACTGTAAGTTAAAAGGTCCCACAAGGAGGACGAGGAAACAATATAATTTCAACCCTTAATACTTTGAGAAGTGACTTTAACTTACGGTGTCATTGTTTTGGCAGTAATACATTCCAGCATAAATACCCAATCCGAATGAGATCTGATATGAAAGACAACCAAAAGCAAAATAGAACTTCAAGTCAATTGTATAAAATTCTAACTAACATAATCTACACAAACTGTCGTTTATCGTATAACTTTCGGCTAAAAGCATTCCAAACATAATTTATATGAAGAGAAGCTGACTTTAACAGTTTCAGTCAGCTACTCTTGTTAGAGTTGGACAAAATGATCCTTTAACCACACCCCCTCTTTAAACCTCCCACCCTCAAACTATTCTTGATTTGATAAGTAGTATTAGGTCGGTAAATCTTAGATGTGAGAGAAAAACATTGCTTACGAAATGGCTAATGAGTCCCATCCTTTTTAAAATTTGCATAAAACGTCCGACCCGATCCCCTTCTTGAATATGCAGCCGATAAGAACGCCACAAACAAAGGAAATATTTCCAGTAGTTTTCAAAATATGAAGGAAATGCAAACTAGATAAAATTTCTGTAAATGATTTTTATGGTCAATTTTGCTTTCTCTCTGAATAGTTTGGAGTGGATGATCGAACAAACCGCAGCAACTCCCGCAGCACAAGTTTCTCACCAACCGAAAACTTAGGACAAAAGGATTAGTGAAAACCAAATTGAGCATAGTGAAGTGAGATTTTTAAAAATGTATGCATATCGTATATCGACCACACTAACTAAATATAAATTTTGTTTTACTAATAAATGTTTTTGTTCGACTATTTACAAATTATGGAGAAACTAACTAATAAATTCTCCTAATGCCTCTCAATAAATAGTCAATTGTCTCAATTTCCCATAAAACCACACCCACGCCAATTGTACCCTGTTCTGTCTCCTTCCCTCTTGTCCTCTCCACCCACCCATCTAACATTTTCATTCATCGTCCATACAAAAAATTTCAAATATGCAAAGTAAAGTTTCCTAAAAATGTGAAAATAGGAATTTGTCCACGAAATTCTTGCGAGGCAGCTTGTCTCAGACAGGAAAACGATTTTCTCCAAAGTTCATTCGCTTGTTGGAGAATATGCAAATGTAACTCCGCCCCTCTCTCTGACCTGGCCTATCGTGACTCGTGAGTGAGCAGAAAAAAACGTCAGCGTCACTCACTCCAGTTCACTCACTCGCTCCACTCCTCCAGTCTGCCTTCAGCTCTTGATCGAGTAGCAAGCAAGAAAAAAACTCTCTCCAAATTTTCCAGGTAAGTTTCCACAAGTTTTTTTTCGGAAACTTTCACAAGTTCCCCACTGGTACACCCACCTCCCACTGCCACTCCTGCTCTTTTAATTGCATCGGTAGGTGTGGCTTCGAGGAGGTGGTGTTCTTTTGTGGTATTTATTACTATTCGTAAAATTTTCGTTTTTTTCTCTTTCTCTGCTGTTGTGAGGCATTCCCCCCGCTCATAATTCAAGTGGGGGCAGACAGCCCAGTCATTTTTGTGAAGAGCTTTGTAGGGGGGTCAGGTTTTGATGGGGTTTAAACTTTTTTGGGGGTGATTTTTTTTTTCTCCGAGAGAAGTTTGCTTGCTGGCGGCCATGTTGGGCTGAGAGCAGCATGCCTCCTCTTTCTTTTCTCTTTCACACGAGAGGTCACTTTCACCCTCGCGCAGTGCAACGAACTTCGAGATTCGTGTTATTTTTTTCTCACTTTTAGTCATGTTAGAATCAACGGAAAAAAATTGTTTTTTCTTATAGAAAAATTTATTCTGTTCCACATATTCAACAAGGAATTTAAAATGGAACAAGAAGCAAAATCACTGGGACGTGGCCGGGCCAAAGGAAGAAATCGGTTTGTCGTGAGTGATTTTATAAATTATTTGTTCACCATTTTTAAGTATAAACCTTTCGTCCTGAATGTTATTAAATAAATTCATAACACAAATATGATTAAAGTTGACTGACATTAAGCAATTATTAATATTTCTTAATGTTTCAGCCACAAGGTGCTCCAGCAGGGAGTGACATCGACAGTGATGCTTCAGTCATGTCATTTTCAACGGCGTTGGAAATTGATTCGATCAGTCGTAAGTGAATCATAATATTTTATTTCTGATTATAATAATAACAGTACTAACCTGAGAGACTGGTAATTTAAATGGTTCATTTTCTGCACAGTTCGGGACAACGACGCTGGCTCTCAGTCGAGTTCGAGCACCTACGCTCCATCGTCTACCGTCACGGGAACAACTGACAACATGAGCAGCGATGAATCAGTCTCGACGACGCGACAGTCTACTGAGACTGGATCCTCGGGTGGTAGGACATCAACATCCAACTACTCGCAGGAGTCATCGATTGTGAAAACAATCAACGATGGCTTCAACAAAGTGGGAGAGGATGGCCACAAAGTGCAGGTGGTGACCAACTACTACCAAATGAACGAGACTCCCGACTTTCATCTATATCAATTCCGGGTCGACTTTACCCCTGTTGAAGACAATACGTCTATCAAGAAAGCCCTCCTACGCCAACATGAAGACACTTTGAACAAGTATGTCTTTGATGGATCTGTTATGTACAGGACCCGGCTGATTCCCAAGGAGTTTCAGACGTTGCACGCTACTAGTGTTGCGGGAAACGTGGCCTACACCATCACCATCCGCTTGGTTGGACAAGTGAACCCAGAAGATTCCATGTATCTTCAATTTTACAATATCGTCATGCGAAAGACCATGACATTAATCAACATGGAAGAATTGGGTAGGAATATGTATGACCGGGCGGCGGCCATAAAGTTTCCGCAAGACCGGTTGGAACTGTGGCCTGGGTTTATCACGGCCATTCGGAATCACGAGAGGGGAACGCTCTTGTGCGTTGAAGTGACTCACAAGGTCCTTCGAACTTGTACCGTCCTGGATTTGATGCGGGCTATCAAGCAGCCTGGAATGTCCGCCAACGACTTCGTAAGTCATTTGTTTATTTACATTTTTTAATGATCGTAATTTGTATGAATAAATTTTCACTCATTTTTCGTTTGATATGTTTTTTATTAGGAGAAAGCTGTCCGAGCCGAAATCGAGGACACGATCGTCATGACCCACTACAACCGGCGAACTTACACAATCTCGGATGTGGACTTTAAGGCCACCCCTGCATCGAGCTTCCGTGGACAGGACGGCTCCATCCAGACGTATGCAGAGTACTACCAACGACGCTATAACATCACCATCACGGATGAGATGATGAAACAGCCGCTGCTGGTGTCCAAACCAAAAAAGAAGGACATCAACAAAGGAGTAACCGGGGACATTTATTTGTTGCCCTCACTCTGTAACCCTACGGGGCTTTCCAACGATATGCGTAAAAATTTCTCCCTGATGAAGCGATTATCCGAACATCTCCACATGGATCCTACAACTCGCAAGAAAAAGTTGGACGAATTCATGTACCGGCTAACGACAAACGAAAAGGTGCAAGAGGAGTTTGCAGCTTGGAACATCAAATTTGCTGCTACTGCGCTGAACACCGAAGCCAGAATCATGAAGAAGCAGCAGATCGTTCTTGGACCCGACCCCGACAGTCCAATCTTGCCTGATGACAAGGGCGACTGGACGCGCCCAATGAAGAGTGAGTCATTTATCTTTTGATCTTACCTCTGATGCATTTATTTACCAATTTGTGTTCTAATTAGTTGGCATGCTTCTTTTATTCCAGCCTCTCGCAGCGAGATGTTGAAACCTGAACATGTGAAACGATGGGTGGTCATGAGCCCGCCAAAGGACGTTCCCGCGACCCGATCATTCTTGACCACTCTCAAGAAGATGGGACAGGAAATTGGGATCCAAGTGTCTCAACCTCTGGACATGTAAGCTTGTTTTTCTCGTTTAGGAAGATAAACTGGCATTTTTTTGTAACGGATTTATTTTTTTCTTGTATTTGCAGCATCGAGTATGACGTCAATAGATATGACCAGACCATTCTGGATGAGAAGATTCGAAACTTCGGACAATTGGACCTTGTATTCTTCGTTCTTCCGAATAATACACTTCGCCGATATGCGGAGATTAAGAACTACACTACGCTCGTGTTGGGAGGTAACTTTCTTGTCTTTTCATCTCGTCCAATTACTATTAAATACAAGGTCTTGTAATTTTTTTCTCCTTCTTCAGTTCCATCCCAATGCTTTTTGTCGAAGAACTTGACAAACAAAAACCTGAACTCGATTGCAAGTAAGGTTATCATCCAGATGACAGCCAAATTGGGCGGTGTACCATGGTCGGTGAAAGTGCCTCTGAAAGTAATTTGATTTTGTTTTTATTGATAAAATAATGTCGTCATAATTTCTTGTTCGAAAATTGAATGGTTTTGGTTCGATTTCTTGCAAATAATAGAAGCTGATGGTGTTGGGATTGGACGTCTACCATTGCAGCAATCGAAAAGGAGAAAGTGCTGGAGCGTTGGTGGCAACAAGCTCCCCCTCACTAACATCGTACCTCTCCTTAGTCTCCTTCCACAAGGACAAATCCGAGCTGGCAACAAATCTGTTTACAGATTTCACGAGTAAGTAATCTTGAACGTTTACATGTTTTTTCATTATAACAAGTCCTTTGGTGATTTTTTCTTTTGTTTACTTTCAAGTTATGTTGCAAGAATCCATGCGCATCAATCAATACCTCCCCAGCAAAATCGTGATGTATCGTGATGGTGTCGGCGAGGGACAAATTGGCTACGTCCTATCCCACGAGATCGCCCAAATGAAGCTGGCGATTACGGATGTCTACGGAGCGGCCGGAGAGGAGATGCCCAAGCTCACCTTCGTCATTGTGACGAAGAAAATCAATACGCGAGCGTTTCTAAATGGGAAGCAAAATTTGCCTGTCGGTACTGTTATCGACACAGGGGTCACGCTCCCAGAAAGGTGAATTAACATTCATTCATTTTCACTACCTAATTTCCATATCATTCAAATTTGTCAACAACTTCTGTTTGTTCCTTCACAGATACGATTTCTTTCTCGTGTCCCAGGATGTGCGCCAAGGAACCGTGAGTCCCACAAACTACAACGTGGTTTTGGATGAAATGGCGATGCCGGCGGATCGGCTCCAGCTCCTAACTTACAAGATGTGCCATCTATATTTCAACTGGAGTGGAACGGTGGCCGTCCCAGCGCCATGTCAGTATGCTCACAAGCTGGCCTACATCACTGGCGTCGCCATCGGAGAAAGAGCCTTGCCATCACTGACGGAAAAATTGTGGTACCTTTAAAAATCTTTCGAAAAAATATTTTCACTGTTGCGTTGCTTATAGTTTAGCATTTAATAACGCGACGTTAGTTATTATTAGTTTTTTGTATGAAAATATTTACCATTTTGTTGTTGATAATACATGTTATCTAAAAAAAATTCTGAAGAGTAATAAATGAGTAAAACTTAATCTGTGATTGTACTTAATTTCTTATTATCTCTGGAAAAAGGAGTAGCATAAAATTACAAAAATTTACTAGCCATTGCATAAATATCAAGCGTGTACTCACTACTCACGCGGCAGACACGGGCTAAAACTGTTATTATTTCATGCCGGAATAGTATAAGGACATTAAAACTTACGAAGAATATATAGATTGTAGACATTAGTTTCTTCCGATGATATGGTAAATAATAAATATCTGGGTAAATGTACTACATTACATCATCATCTCGCAAGACCGTAATACTTAATATTAATGTGTAGTTGTGTAGATATATATTTCTCGATTTAAATTATTAAAACCTTAGAATAATGCATGGTAGAATAGAATATAGTTAATACATGTAGTTAGTTTAGACGATATCAATTTAAAGCAGTCAGCATATTTAGTCAAGGTAATTTTAGTTCTTCAGACTTGTAGGGAGTGAAGCATGTGGTGCGTTCTGGTGGATTCGACTTCCAGCCGGACATCGCCCAATTTTCTTTCTAGTTGTGACTTGAAGGATTGCAATTTTTGATATACGGCCCAGTCAGGTTCCTATATGGCGAAACAAATAATGATCAATAATTCGGTGAGTAATTTAATTACATATTTTCTTCATTAAAATACCTGAGATCGCATCCTCGGGTTCCATCTACAGTAATATCCCGTCCAAGTTTTCATATGACGAATGGCAGGGTTTGGTAGTAGCACATGGGCTAGTCTATCGTGTTTCCGAACCTGAGTAAAAAGTATAAGCAGAGTATCTATGAACATTCGTCTCATCGTTGAGGCCAAACTACCCGGGCTAATACGCTTTCCATATGATTCAGAGTAATGTTATTATGTATACAATAAGTGGAAATAGTAAATAAAGATAAAGTTGTATTTTACGTATTTTGTAAATTGTAACTTTGTGATTGTGAAAGTGTGATAGAACTAGTGAAAATGGAGAATATTAAGGATATGAGTGAAGAACAATTACTGGAAGGAATTTCATTTCATTCTCAACAAATAACAAACTTCAACAATGAATTGTGGAGGAGAAAGCGTGAATCGATTGAAAGTGCTTCGAGTTCTTCCGTGTCAATTGGTGCCCCCTCTCCCAAAACCATGCGAGTCAGACGAATTCAAGATGAAGATTCGGACACTGATTTGGAGACTGATTTGGAGACTGTGAAAAACAAAGGTCCAATATCTGTAAGGAGAACTGTGAAATTCCATGACCAGAACGAGGATTGTAAACTGTGTCCATTATTCCATGATGATGATACTCCAATTAAAAACAAGTAAATATCTGATTGGGATAACTATGAACGATGATATAACAATGGCTGATTCATTAAATTGCAGATTATATCCGAGTCGTCCACTTACGTTTAAGGAAGGGACGCCGTTCGATTGCACCAACATAAACAAAGGTGTGTATGCCACCATTTGCATTAACCCAAACTGCAAATTTGCAACCGACGGACATCCGAATGTCATTTATTTCGGGAGGAGTGATGATCTAAAGATCCGTTTGGCACACGATCATCTGCGCCATGTGGAAACTGCGCAACTACAGTTTCTACAAGATGGTAAACATGGTGCCACGGGAATGGACTCACACTTTGTTGGAGCTTGCTACGGGTACATGAGGTTTTTGATTCTTCAAAGAATAGATAAGAGAAAACAACAAGAGAGTAAGTCATCCTTACTATGTTCTACAGGCATCCTTATGAATGTGATTCAATCTGTGTCATTTTTCTATGCAGAAAAAGAAACAAGATACATGCACCGCTTTGGTACTCTGAATCCAGCTATTGGCATGAATGGAGCTGTCAGTTACTCCCCACATCCAGCAAGACAAGTCGTTACCTCAGACAAATTTGAGTTCAGACGTTATTCTAAAGGAGGAAAACGACAATTGTACGTATTTACATGTATATAGTGTTACCTAATGAAATAAATGTTCATTCATTCATTCATTCATTTGATTCATTTGATTTTCAGAGTGCCAGAGATCGATTGGCAACTAATTGTTGCAGCAGCAATTTTGCATGAGGATTCAAAGTTTAATAAACTAAAAAACCAGGCCACTACAGCACAAATATGTGACTATATTGTAGAATTCTTCCCACACTATGCAGCAAAATCTAGTAACATCGTCGATACTTTTCGCAACCGTTTGAATGACATGTTGAAACCAAACAAACCGACACATTCAGAAACAATTTATGCAAAATGGTTTATGAAAGCACAAGTAGGAGTCAACCGGCAAACACCATCCATTTTTGCATTGAACGACCCCTCGTCCATCACACAACTGGTGGAAAAAGGTGTAGCTGACCTCAAAAAGTGGGAGGCTATCCAAGCAGAAAAAGAGGAATCATCGTCATCCTCAACAACTAGCAGATCTACTCGAAAATCATATAAAGAGGATAGTGCAGATGATGTGGACAGTGAATAAAACTTGTTTGTCTTTCAAATGCCGAAATAAATCTTTCAATGTAATCTTAAAATCACCAAAAAACTTACCAAATCATTTTCCTTTGGTAAGAGGACACGATTGGCACCCGTCTCTTCACAGTAGAACGGATTCAGATATAATTCCTTCCTCGAGTTGATACTTGACCATAAGGAAACGGTTTTCTTCTTCAAGTCGTTCGTCCACCTTTCTCTTTCCGTGTTGTAGAGGAATGTCCCAAATCGACAAGAGTACAGATGGTCGAGGATTGTGATGAGAAAGTACTCATTAAACTCGAAGGCATAAGGAAATTGGAGAGTTATTTGGTAAACTGAATCCACCCACTGGAGGAAGACTGGCGAGCGATCCGCATCTGAATGGCGATCATCTCCGTGACCAATTCGCTATAATTGACGATCAAATAAAATTTAATAAAGATGCTTTAAATATTAAGTGATAGCTTTGCAATCCATACATTTTGGAACTTATGCCCAAAACTGAGCCATTCCTTCTCGATTAGGACTTCAAATCCCTTCAATGTTCGGTAGTATGGGTCGAGCAGCAACATTGAGAGTGATGTCAACTGAAATTAAGCAAGATTTAAGTAAAATCATTATTGAAATTGGATAAGATAATAAAATGTGAATCCTGAATCGTACATACCTGTGAGGTTCTGTCCCATCCATCCGAACAATGTACTAGCACTGATGTTTTGTTATTTTCCACTTTATCTACAATGCGGACAGCGCCTGATATTATGCACTTGATATGTTCCAGCCATCTCGTTTCTTCCACATTTGATAGCCATTTACTGTCGTCGATTGTAGGGTAACAAATATCTGCAAGTGTACAAGAAATGTAATCCATGCATTTTAATTCACGCAAATTAATAATTCTATTACTAAAACCATCATAATTACCACATGCTATGTAAATACCTTTCAATTTCCCCAAAGAACTTCGCATAACGTGAATATTATGAATATCCAAAAATACTAGTTCAATGTTCTGATACACATCTTCAGATTCATAGCCTCCTCCCTTCGTTTTATTTGCCAAAGCATTAGCACTGAAATAGACAAAATACAAAATTAATTACACACATTTTATTGTATTTTCAAATTAATTCGTTCCTTACTTTGGTCTGGCATCCATAACGTAAAGTTTATGTGCCTGAGCGTTTGCGTCTAGAATCATTTGCAGATACCGTTCATCGTCCTTATTCCTCCTCGCGGCGACACCCACCATGGGTTGACTCGCCCGGGTGATGCTCGCTTGACTGAAGGGGTGTAACCAAGATATGACTGGTAGTCTACTTCGAGACCTGAACGATGCCACCGAGCGGATAAGTTCTTCTTCAGCAGCGGCAGGAATGGCCCAAACTGAAGGGTAACTATCACACAAGTCGTACTTGTCGTTCAACCTTGTAATCTTCCACGATTCGTTGGGTATTCCCTGCAATTAAAAACGTTATATTATTGTGTTAATTCTTAATACCAATCACGAAATTAAGTTATTAACATACCAAACGCTTTAACTCTTGAATGGGTTCATATACACTCCATCCATACTCTGGAAACTGTTCACTATACGAAAAGGCAAATGGTAACAACTTTTTCGAAATTGGAAACGCGAGTTGTTGTAAATCCTCAAAGAATTCTCGTCTTGAATGATTTTCAGGATTGTGGGCAAACTTTAAGCTGCGGACGTCCTTACAAAATATTTCAATCCCGTACGAGTTTTCTCCTCTGCTGGAAACCCCACCCACTTTCTCTACCCGATTTACCTGCAAAATAATCAAACTCCAAGTTAAACCCTTAATAATTTTTACTTTTACAACTTTTTTATGCAACTATCGGCTCACCACTCCTAAAGGCACTTCAAACGTATTTTGTCTATCTTTACTGGCAAAATATAATTTATAATTTGTTAGATACAAATTCCCTTTGATAGGTCCACCAAAGGGGCATAGATAGGTCACATCTCTACTCATTCGCTGCAATTTTTCTCCCGGAATTACTGGAACTTCTTCTCCCTAACACAAAAATTATGAAATATGAAATTTAATAACTTTCTAAAATTCATGAACCTTACATTGGCAGGCCTATCACTGCTAAACACGGCGGAGGACTGATATCTGGAGATATGCGGCTCGTTCGACGTCGAGCTGGTGGAACTTTGACCTTGCGAATCCTACAAAAGTTCAATAACTTAATAAATTACATTTACACAATTTTAATCCTAAAAACCTTCTCAAACCTTAGAAAAAGATGACTTAGAATCTGATGATAACGATTCACTCGACCCGTTTCCACCCCTTTTAGGTATTGCACCACTACTACTACTGCCACTCCCACCTCCGTGCATCATGCCCAATGTCAAATTATAATACTTTTAAAAAATCCTTAAATGTTTGCTTAAATGTTGTTAATAAGGAGTGACATTGCATTCATACGTGAGAAACCCGCTGCTGCTTACACAAGTAATAAGTAAAAATAACAAATATCTGCCCAACCCAGGCTAACTTTCGTCTCAAACTAAAATGAGACAGAACGAGTGACACGTATGATACGGGAACTTGAGACCTGCCAAAAAATGTCTCAAAGTACCAATAAATTTTTCACTTTTAAAGTGCCCATTAACTTTAACGGAACTCTTAGAAAGATAACCGTGGCATGGCTGTTAAGTGACTGTTAAGTCACATACATAACAGACTATTGTAGATGAGCGATTATGACAGGATTGAGACTAAATTGTTAAAAATGCGAACATAACAAAGAGTGTTACTGGGTTTTTGTTGTTGACGAAGATGGAACATGTGCATGAGAAATTAAGACAAACGGGTTAAATTTCACTAATAACGATTAGGCTATGCAGTTCCAGTCCAAAGTTATGAGACGATGACGATTAGAAATAATGGTAAAGACATTAAGGCGTTATCTTCATTTTTGAATAAATAAAGCCAGTCATCTTGTATAATTTAAAATAGGAAAAGTATTATATTATTTCAACGATTTTTGCTTTATTAATAATCTCATCAGTCTCGCATTTCTTTTTAGATATCCATTTTATAGTATTGGGTAGATTAATAGCTACATTGGTTTGCAAAAGTTAAAGGAAGAAACATAACATCAAACATAACAATTCTAAATTTCGATCACTACAAGTACTAAAATTAGATAGTTTAACAACGGACAGAAAATGGTCAAAACAAGACACAAGTTATGCTTACATGATGCAGTCATTGAACAAAGTATTGATAGGTTTTGTGGGTGCAAGATAATAAGTTTAAAGTTACATGACAAAAGACAATACTAAATATATCATTTCGCAACAAAAGATTCAATTAAACAACATTCTCTCTAATGCTTCATCGTCCAAGGTCACGAGGTCATCACTTCCATCTGGTACAAGATAACTTAAGACTACGTTGAGAAAATATTCAAAATGCAACAGAAGGGGCAATATGTACCCGAAACACTGCACATAGAACTCTGATGCCATATTTACGACAGAGCTTATTGGCTCGGGCCACTCTCCGACAAAGAAAATGCAAAAAACTACGAGCACATTTATGAACACAAATGTCCGGAGAAATAATTGGCACAGCCTTCTGGGTGACAGTGCAGTTCCCAGGCATCCACCAATCCTTTTCATGACGTTTCCTGATTTCTGAATGGGGGAAGTAGTAGTAGGATTAGGAACAGAACTAGGCCTATGGCGATGCAATTTTCCGTTAACAGCAGCAGGAGAGCCCTTAGATTCTTTGTCATCTTCATCATCATCCGAAAAGAATAACCCATCCTGGGAATTTGAGCTCATTCTCTTCTTCTTATTATTCGTATTTGGTAACTTACGAGAAGTAGACCTTGTAACGTGTTGGCGTTGAAAGATCTTTGGGTTAGGCAGATATCTTCGTTCTCCTCCTCCTCTATTAACATTTGAAAATCGTGAATTTTGTGAAGAGCACATTTGATCATCGTCATCAAGGCCAGAGTTTGGGGTTGTCGAAAATCGCGAAGGTGAAGAGGAAGTCCTTTGACTGCTACTGTTGTAATCATCACGAGTCACAGAGACGAAGCCAGAACTCTGACTGGAAGAATTAGAGTAATTGTTGTGTGGGTACTTTTCTTGCGGCATGTAATTGTATAGTGGTGGAGATGAATTTAATTCAGCTGGAGATAATGCCATATTTCTTCCTCCGTAGACAAGATTATACGATCTAAAGGCAGATACGCCATTTTGTGGGCAGTAGCACATGTGGTTATAGTGACGAAATCCGACCGGAGACCGTTGCTGAAATCGTTGTTGTTCTTGAGAGCTCAACAATGAACCACCGCCACCGGCCAATATTGAGGGTGAGAGGATTGGTTTTCGACCCCCTCCAAAGACCGATGCTACAGAAGAGCTCTTGTAGTTGTATTGATAAGTATCAGGTATGGATGGGTAGTTCATAAAGGGGGATGAGGCTTGATGTAAATTGCTCATTGAATAAGGATACATGGGTTGGGGTACGTTTTGTTGCCAAGAATTCTGTGGTAATACGGAGGCTTGTTTATCTCCAAAATATCCAGAAATTGTAGAAAGAGGCGGTGGGGATGGAGAATAATTGCCTAACGTAGATCGTTGCTGCTTCATGTTCCAATCTACAAAGCTGATTGAATTTCCATTAGTGGAGCCACCAAAGATAGATCCAGCTTGAGATCTTGGCTTATTAGAACCAATATGCAGCTGTGTCAATTCTGTTAAATCATTATTGTCTTCAGATTGAGACATATTTTGATTTTGATTCGGATTTTCTGGTGTCCTTCTTGGTCGGTGATTTAGCGGCATTGGAACAGGAGTACTTGGTCGACCTGGACGTTCTACAGAATTTGATGGAGGACGCACTTGTTGTTCCTGGGATGAATTTCTTGCATTTCCGTTTAATGCTTGTCGGACAATCTTCTTACATGCCACGCATATGTCATATACTTGATCCAACCTTCGCCTGCAATTAATTACATATGGACCAAACATTGTATAATTTAATTGTTTCACGATTAAATTAGATAACTTAAAGTACATACTCTTCAGCTTCAATTTCCGCATCATAATTATCCTCCTTAACAGGGACATACTGTGCTAGCTGAAAATATTTCAGTTCTTGGTTCAAGTTACATCCTTCGCATAATTGGAACGTTTGATGATTAGAATCTTGGTCAAGGTTTTCAGTCGGCCGTCCTCCAAGAATAGGGCGATTTAAGGATTCTATAAATTGTGACGGAATTCTTTTGTTGTAACTCCCATCCTAACAAAAAATATAGTGCGATGATATTTTTATTTTATTTTAAACATTTCATTAGCTACATTTGATATTGATCTATAATTGTTTACCTCATTAAATCCATTATATTGCTGGCAACTAGGACAAATCCATCCATTTTTCGAAAGTCGTGGCACCTTGGTATCTTCATTGCAAAACCAGCAATTAACCTTGGCAGGAATTGAGTTCCTAATTAACAATTAAATAACGAGTCAGCCCACGCAATCCAATCAATCAAAGATAGCATTAAAACCACTCAAAACTTGCAATTTCTTTTGTAAAACACTACTTACCTAATCCTCCTATAGGTCTTCACCACTAACACGCACAAAGTGAACAAAATGGAGATTGTAACCACTCCAAAAGTGATAATTTCAAAGTAAGATAACTCTTTCAAAAGCGGCACTTGAAATTCTATCATTTTTATTGTCCCCCCGACCCCAAAAAAGCCACCACCACCTGAGCACCACCACCACGAACAATAACAGTTTTTTACAAAGTACGAAATAAAGTAACAATTACAAAATTAATTCAGAACAACAATTGAAATGGACAAAAACGTGAATGGCTAAAAGTACACGATGCATTCTTATCCCGCTAGCGTGTGGGCCGGTTTCCTTATTCTATGACAAAAGAAAGAGATTTTTTATCTCATCGTCAGCCAAACTGAGATAAAATTCATCTCAGTTTTCCCATCTGTAATTTTAAGTTTTATTGATTCGACTAATTGCTGAATTGATCAAATTAAAGCTAAATTATTGTTTGGGGACACACAATAGTATGACCCCCCTGGTTTTACAAAAACTGAAATTTTGCATGAACATTCAGGGCTACGGGCTACACATATAAGTCAAGGATTGATACCCTTATTGAAACCTACTAAAAATATTTAGTAGATGAATTTGATAAAATTCAGTCAAAGCCTGCAATAAAAGTCTACCTACAATCATTTGGTTACTATGCCACAAACCTCTGGCTCCTCTTATGGGAAAGTATCCAAAACGGTATCGATCATCAATATTACTTTCCACACGTTTTACTGTTTTGTACCACACACTTTTCCCATTTTGTATTTGTATCCACCATTTTTGTCTCTATTTGTAAAACCAATTGAGATTTTATAAGATAACATGGAAGGTAGTCCGCCCTCAATTTCTGCCTATGCTCGTGGGGAGAGGAACATGTTCAAGGGGTCGGAAGGACCTGGGCCGGCCGCATACTGTGTCAAATCTGTCTCTGTTCGAAATGGCAAGCCCCCGCCCAGAAATTAATGTTGGGACAATTAACTAATGCTTATCAATTTTAGAAATGATTGCACCCTTCGACACAACCGCGGTTACACCCGTCTCTAAATCAGTGGGGCCAGGACCAGCTTATTTTCCCGTGAAGAAAGATCATCGAGAATATGTAGGAATATGCGAATCTTAATAAAGTAGGCTTTCTATTCGTCGTTTACACATGAAATTCTACCGTTTTCTGTGCCAGGGGACAGTGGAGTTCCGTTGGGGGGACAGGTTCCATGAAAAAATAGACTTTTCCGCAACTTGCACAGATTCTGAACCAGTATGGGGCAGAGTTCCAAACCCTTGGGTTCAAACGTTGGAGAAAATATTGGCCATGTCAAGCAAACGGGTGGGAAAATCTTACCTTATGAATTTCACTGTTTAATAATTTTTAAGTAAATGTTCTGTAACAAAATATAATTAGCCTCGAGTATCTTATGACAAATATTTCTCCAACAATATTCCGACAATTTATCATCCTCTTGATGTTCGCTGTTTCATTAAAGGAATTGATGGTACGTAACTTAACTAATTGCTAACTAATCAGGAAATCATGCCCTGTACTTAATAAAGTTGCTACTTGTTTTTCACAGGTCGGGAATACCCCTGGCGTCTAAATCGAAATAAGTCAGCCTCTCCCTCAAACTACAACACGTATCAAGTGTACATTTCACAATCGAAAATTACTCCAAAGATAAATTTCGGCGCAATGTCGAAGCGCAAGTCAATCTTTGTTCCGCAAATCGGTGCTGGTCCGGCGGGGTATTTCGTACGCCGGTATCCACGCGAGGCTCGGGGAGAGTTTCTCGGAAAGAGGTTCGACGACCCAAAGTCGAGTGCGTGGAGACTGTTCGACATTTTGGAACGTCGGATGATAAGAGATGTATGTTTTGGATATTATTTTATGGGGCATATTAAGATTATTCTTTAATTTCCTTGATTTAGAACTTTACTGGACCTGCAGGGCCCAAAATTCCGAGTGGTTTTGATAAGTGTAGCCCTACCGCAGTTTTAGCTCCGTTCAAGTCGAAAACTCCGGTAAAACATGTGTATATTAATTTATCTCAAAATTTATGACGATTTTACTGAAATTTCGCATAATGAATGTATGTATGTAGCTTGGATTCGTTAAACCCGTCCCAGGCCCCGGTCCTGCTCAACACTTTCTTTTGCAAATGCAAGAATCTGACTTACTGACACCTCTCAAACCCGGATTGATAACTTTCCCCCCGGAAAAAGCCCCCTTTGAAACAAGTCAAAAACGCTTCGTGGATCCCGAACTGTACGAAATGATGGATCGTCCTGCACCCAGTGACTATGATATCTTGGGATTCACTGACATGATGAAATATGACCTTGGTCGACATGCGGCAGCCGTTATAAATCCGAAACTAGGATTTCTCACTTCTGCGATAAGACCTTATCAAAAGGAGGAGAAGATTGACACTACAAATGATTCTCGGTCCAAGTCTAGCGTGGTTAAGAAGGAAAGAAAATGGAGAAATATAAGACCTCCTCGCACCGTGAAGACGTACACGTACCATGGACAACCTCCACGATTGCCGGTATGTAAGATAACCATCACTTTGAAGACAACAATTTTTTTAATTTTCAAAATTGACAGGATTCACCTGGCCCAATTTATGACACTGCTCCTGCCATGGCCGCTTTAAAATGTCACAAGACGTGGCTCGATGCTCGTCACTTTTCTCGAAATGGTTTCCTCAACTCGGGCTGTGAACGAAAAACAAATTTCTACCAGATTGATAAGGATGTTCCAGGCGTTGGAAGTTACTATTCGAGGCTTCCTTGTTGTACAAAATACAGGGGAAAACAGGCCATGGCAGGGCCGCGATTTAAAGCGTACATTTCCGATGGCCCTGGCCCAGTTCATAAGGTATTTATAAACATATATTTAAATTAGATGATAGCCTGGTTAATTAATTTTATAATTAATTATGGCTAGTTGCACGAGAAGGCCGAGAGCAGCATGTGGCGTGCCTCTCACCTGGGAACTTTCAACAGCAACCTGAAACACACCGGGGTCCTGTATCCGTGGGCTGGAGGTTTTCGAAAGCGAAATCTGGACCAAGCTGGTGACTCTGTGTGGGGAATTAGCCGTCCCGACGACTATGCTGGACCACTTTGTCCCTTGAAGGCAAATGAGATCACGGAAATGGGCGATCACAAGGTGTCATTTCAATTCAACAAGATATCAAATACTGACGCTAAAAATACTTGTGGGTAGTAAAAATGCGGTTTAACAAGAACATTAAATTCAAGAATTTTAAATTATGCGACCATTTTACTATTTCTCATCATGCATTGTACAAATTTCATAATTTTTGTTTTACAAAATAGTGACATAATTAAATCACATTCAAATATTATGGCTGCAACTGCCCCCCAACGTATTCTGCTCCGATGGCAAAAAATACTCCGAAAGCAAACTAAATGCACACACAATTAAAATAATTCAGCTTAATTTTCCAATAATTACGACACCATTTACACATTTTTTCGACATACCATTTTCCTGTGCTGTCCTTCATAAAACTCTCCAATAACGGCCCACGCTAGGACTGAAAAATTCCCGACGAAATACCACCACAGCACTTCAAATCCCTTCCACACGTCATGCTCAAAAACATCGTCCTCCTTCTTGTCATTATCCAAATAGTAGTTAAGCAGCTGGGAGAACTGTAGGATAATCCAGGTCGAAGCTGCCGTCAAGCCGTAGAGAAAGAAGAGGTAACCGATGAAGAGGTATGGAAACTTCTCCTGGCGAAATTAATAAGTTACCAATTTTGTTACTTTGCTTAATGAATGATAAGCATCATCTCTTTAACCTGCGGGAAGAACTTGGTCACAGAGCTGTTATTTCGGTAAGTGGAGGAAAACGTGCAGTAGGTGATCATGTAACCTACACAAAGAGTTTCGTTTTAGATTCCCAAACGAAATGTATACTTGGAGAAAAGATGATAATGTTTATGACATGTAGCCTTAGATGGAGGTATACCTACACAAAGAGTCCAGGCACGCCGAATCATTTTGATTTGGTCGTCGTAATAAGAATTTCATACAATTTTGATCAATTTTCATTCGATTTCAAGGTGATGTTGGTTTATAATGTCTAGGAAATAAAGTCATACGTGCTCGAAATAAATTTTCCTTGGCAGCAGATTTTCTAACAAGAATGTAAAATCTTGAAATAAAAATGTGGATGGAGAAAGTATAATCAAAAATATTATCCAACACGAAAACCCTCAGGTTTGGTCAGTTTTCAAAATACAGGGCAAGTTCTTACCTTAGACATGTAAGACACCACCTAAATTTTGCATAGTTCGAAAAAGAGCCTAACATTACATGAATTTACAGATTTAAACAATTCATCAACCTCCCGGCTCCCATCGGGTCTGGGTCGTTCCTTATTCTTTTCTGAGTAAAATTTTGATAAAAATCTTCTCTCAGCATGTGCGAGGCAGCTTGTCCAGTCAACATTCGCGTCCAGATGCAGCCACCCCCATGTTCTCGGAAGCAGTCGAACATGTCTTGCCGTGGTGGAGGGGCCCCTCGTCGAGCATCTTGTTCTTCATCGCAACGCAGCGTTCGAAGCAATTCTGGTCTTCCGGTGCCAGATTGTATGAAAGCGAGTCGGAAACCGAGTCGGTGCTGTAATCAGGCACGACCAGATTGTTGTCGTGTGCCATGCTGTCCACCACCTTTGCCAAAGTGTCCTCAAGGGATTTTTGTGGAACGGTAAAAGTCTCAAATTTTTAGGCTAAGCTAGCAATTAAATAATAATCCATTATAATTATTTTCAGGGTTCAACCCATCCGTCCCGATCGTCGCTATGAACCACCCACCTTTCCCTTTGAGGCTTTGTCATCATATCGGGAACAATTTCACCTCAAATGTGGTGATCGGTCAAAGTCATTCAAACCTTTGAGCACTTTCGAACCCTCGGATGCGCGAATGGACGGACTCTCCAGCTACCGAGAGGCATACACGTGCAAACCATTGTTGAGTTATCAAAAGCCACCGTGGTCCAAGAAGGCCCAGTTTGAACCTTCTGGTGCCAAGGTATTTAAATTGCATTGACAACTTTTATTGAAAAATATGATTTAATTAATTCACTTTCCCAGATGGAAGGCCTCTCCACTTATCGGTTCGACTACAAGGGCTGCATGGGTGACAGGGTCAAGTCGCTCAAACCCTTTTCAACCTTTGACCCCTCCACCGCCAAAATGGAGGGCGTCACCACCTACCGCGTCAACTACATTCCGTACTGTTCCCGAGAATACGACTATGCTAAACAGCCCCCAGCCAAAAAACAGGTCAATCCTGGCTTCTCATGCGCTCCGATGGAAGGCGTGTCCACCTACAGGAGCGGTAACTCGTCACTAATTCATTTATTTGATCAAAACTAATTACAATGTTCTTATAGTCAAGTGACAGCTTTCTCAATTATTCGATTTTTTTACTGCTCATTTCGTCTTTTTTTTGGGAGGTTCATCTTGTGGCTCGTCGTTCTCTTCGTCATCTTGTTCTTCTTGTCCTTCATGGATAGCCTACAAAATAATGGTCGGTTTATAAAACATAAATAATTATAGTGGGAATATACCTTGAACTGCCGAACAACGGTATTGTAAGCACCAGCGGAATGGGTACATCCAGGCATAGGGCATGTATACGGCCTCAGTTTTAAATGGGTGCAGACGTGTTCACTATTAAAATTAAACATTATTAAACTAATAGCTCATAACAAGTACTGACTAACCGAGCATTGCTTATCCCAGAAGTCAGTTGTCCACATTCTTGCTTATTTTCTCGGACCCAGGTACACCTATATCTGGTTTTCTTTGAACCTTCTTCCTGAGGGATACTATCGAGGTGGACATCGCAGTTTTGTGCGTCCTCATCACTGATATCAACGATACCGAACCTAGTCCTTTTTTGTGGTTTTGCTCCAGCGTGATGCTTGAAGTGATGAGTACGTAGGTTTGCGGCGATTGCAAAACTACACGAACATAGATCACAGGTCAGTGCATTAGGACCGGAGTAATGGCACAGCTAAACAAAGTAATATTTCACACAGTATACAGTAAAATGCATTTCAGTATAAGGAAAACATTAAATATTTACATCCATATGGTCCTTGATACTTTTATAATAGCTACGTATCATTACGCCACACAATTGACAACTGGGTCTATTTTGTAATGGTGGAAGTGGTCGAGCATTTTCTAATTTGTCCGGAGGTGGGGGAGGAGGTCTATTAAAATAATCCTCTCTGATTTGAGGTAGACGAGGAAGGAATTGTCTCAAATGATCATAAATTTTCTCCTTGTGTTTGGCCAACACTACTTCTGCAGTGTATGGAGCTTTGGCACAAACTACTCCGAACTTTCTCCGGATGAGGGATTTGAGTTGGTCAGCGACCCATGAATCGTCGGTGTAGATGTGGAAAGAGTACGACATCTCGGGAATCACTTTCCATCCCCATTGTTGCTCCAGTTCTCTGTAAATTGTTCATTTTATAATTAGATTTTCTATAAATTAGTTGATAATGTTAACCATTTGTCACTTACTTAATTTTACACCCATCGAGATCCAAAGCGTCGTTGTTGAACATTGACACGATCTTTTCCGTTTTATCCACAAGGCATTTACCCTCACCTCCCTTATTCACGGTCATATCCCTCATGGCCCCATGCCGGTCAATTAGAAGAGAGAAGTATATTTCCGCAAGTTTCTCTGAATAATTCAAAAAAAAAGAACTTTGGTTCACAATTTAATCAAGGCATGATTTCAAATAATTAAACTCACTTTTAATGTCCACTTCTGTCATAACATTCATTTGGATGTTGTCGTTGTCGTCCCTCCAGAAAAAAAGGTCACCCACTTTAGGCTCCTGTCGAACTAATTCATTGTCGCTAATCATTATAAAATGTAGCGGTTTTGCAGTGAGAATTTTATAGATAAAGAATAATCAGATTAACGAGAGAGAGACAGACAAAGAAACTATAAATATCCCGGTTTAAGAATTCAGAATTCTTAAATTTCCTCTTTTTTAGATTTCTGGCCAAAATGCTGCGCCAAACGAAGAAGCCTAAAACCCAGCAATAAGGCTAAATTCTCCGACGCCAAGTTTGCTGATAGGACTACGTATCGAAATGACTACAATCCTTTCCACTTTGAGAAGTGTGTCGGACAATGCATCCCCGCCGAAGTTTATGACGAAATGTTTCAAGATTGCGGAAATTTTGCGTGTGGGTACGAAAAGGATCCACCGCCGAGGGAGGATGATGGCGACAATTGCCCACCGATACCGAGATGCTGCCCACCGAAGGGGGGATGTTGTGGGAATGAGATGGGTAATTATGCCAAATTAAGAATTAACTTAATTTCTAATTAATTTCACTCATTAATCAGGACTCTTCCCTGGACCACTGCCGGAATGCTGTCAACCGGATCCAGCCCCTATTGATGAGGGTGGCGACTGCTGATAACCCAAACGGACGAGAAGAAGAAGAAACGTGGATCGGCGTAGAATTCCTACTACTCATTTTATTTCTGCTGTATAACAACTACCAACCAAAATTTAAACCGTGTGCGACAGAAGAGTCAAAGTTTATGATAAAACCAATTATATGTCAATTTTGTGCCGAGATATTATGACTGAAAAGAATGCAAGCTGTTTGTACGTTGTAGCACAAATGTAAAGTATTGTAAAACATACGCGATAATTATAAATAAGTCTAATCTGTCCTCTACCATGACTTTAAGGAGCAAATAAATCATCATAATAATCTAATGCTCAACAGACAACCTTAAACACGAAGCAAACTACGTAACCTACATACATACATACTTAACCTAACGTAAGTAAATATTCATCAATGTTATCATTTATCAGTGTTATGCAGGAGCAGGAAATGGATCAAAGTTCACATTTTGTGTAGAATGATTTTAGTATGAATTTGGATGGACTAGATTTAAGTAGTTCCCGTTTTGACATTCAAATTAAAGTTTAAAAATTTATAATGTCTCTAAACCGTATTTTAATCACAGTTTTTGTAATCATTGCAACGGCAAATTTTTGCATTTCTTACAATGGAAGAGGTCAAACAAGAAGCTTATTTGGAGAACGTTGCAACAAAACTCAGCGCTGCAAAAGCCAATCTTGGTTAGTTTGTGACACCTACGACGGGAATGTCTGTCGATGTACGAGACCCGATGAAATGGTGTACGAACCTGCCAAAGAAAAATGTGTAGCTCTGATTGGGGAAAAGTGTATGCTTGACTTTGACCAAGAGGAATATGGTTATGCGACTGTGAGATCAGAAAGGGTGGAGTGTGTTACTCAGGGAGAATGTGACTCAGCAACTCGTCTATGCAAATGCCCCAGCGAATATTACCCCGACCCCGATGGCACTGCTTGTTACAGACTCAAGATGTACAAATCTCCATGCGAAAATACGTACGAATGCAGTGAAAATTTTGTATGTAATAATGGCACCTGTTCATGCAATTCTGACACGGAAGTCTACAATGAAGAATCTTTTGGTACCTACGTCTCCAACCGTGGTCACGTTTATGTCCCAAGAAATCGGTGCATTAAGAAAGTTGGAGAAATCTGTGCAGATCATCACTATGAATCATCATCGCTAAAATATTGTGTCCGGAATGCGAAATGTAGCGGAACTTGTATTTGTGCCGATGGATATTCACGAACATCATCAAACATTTGTGGTATTGGTCACGGGGCCAGTTGCACCGATCGTCAGTCAACTTGCAGCGATGTTCTTCAATGTTCTGATGGTGTGTGCAAATGTCCAAACCCAGATTTCGAGACGTACGACTCCACAGTGCAGTTGTGCAGGACGAATTTGAGGGAACATTGTGATGAGAATAAGACCTACTCCTGTGTCCAGGGGGCGGAGTGCATGTATGACCAGGATCAGGACGATTTCCACTGTAACTGTGAAGAGGGTTCTGTCCAAGTCGACGCAACGACTTGCCAAAAAGAGTATGGACAATCGTGCCAATATGGTTCTTCTGAACCCCAGTCTCGTTGTGACTCCATTTCTAATTTGGTTTGCAAAATGGGAAAGTGTCAATGCAAAAATTCTGCCGATATTTACGAACCAGAACGAGGACAATGTTCAACTCCTGTTGGATTCTCTTGCGAAGAGCATACAAAAGGAGAGCATACAAAATGTGTTCGGAATGCGTACTGTACGAAATCATTTCCAACTGACCGTGGAGGTGGGTTTAAGTATTAAAATGTTACAGATTGCGAGTTATATAGCACTTTGTATATTTCAGATTTCGGAGGACGCTGCAAGTGCTTGGATGGGTTTGAAAAGACACAAAATCGCACCTGCATTAAACCATCAACAACTTTCCCAATTTTATCTCCAACTCTGCAGACAACGTTTCAACCGGATGTCAAAGTCGGGAAAGATATCGAGGTAGCACCAACAACGCAAGAAAATCTGAAAGATGAACCAACCGTTTAAAAAATTAAAAACTATCCAGTGCTATGATTTAAATATGTAGATGTTCAATTTTCAATTTTCAATTTCATTTGAAAACTATTGAGTTATTTAATAAAATAATTGTATACTAAAATTTAACCAACATGGCAAAAATATCAGTCATTGAAAAATTTTCCAAAACCACTCTTCAACTGTACTTTTTATTTTTAATTCCTTCTATTTGACATTTTCTTTATGCTACCGATTTTCAACCTGTCAAACGAATCGTTTGATAAAAGTACGTCAAGCCTTTTGTCGCAATTGCTTAAAGTATAATTCGAATTTTTAAGAATGCCTGCAATAAACCAAACATGTTCGGATGATGATGTCGTCGATGATAAATTGAAGTTGCCCTTGATACACATGGCCAGCTTGGGGTACCATCCACAAACAGTCTTCGGGTCACACCAGGGTCGTGTGGGGAAAACTATGCAAAGTGTATCGAGATCTTTCGGAGTGGGCGAATCTAAGAAAAAATATTGTACATGCAAATGTAGTTAAATTTAATTACCGTAAATATCAGATAAGTACTTATCATTTTGGAAAGTAGCCGCGTTACCTAATAATCCTTGTGTTTTCTCTCCCCACCATTTCCTACAGACGATAACGGACGCACGATAATTTGCCTAACAAAAAGCTCTAAATTAATTACAATCATTAAATCTGATTTATTTCTAAATAATGACCCACATAACTCATAACCGGGTTGACCTTGACCCTAGTTTCAGCACAGATCGCTTTATTATCAGTTGAATTATTATTTCCGGTGCAATTCTGAGTTGGAAGAATTACTGCGGTTTGTCTCAAAACCAGAAAATCTTCCCTGTTTAAACTGGATATGGTCGTATCGTTGAGGTAAATTTCGAATGTGTGGCAATTCGTGTGAAGAGGGGGAGGAGGGACATCGAATGGAGGGACCACAAGAAGGGTGCTGATTTGACCAAGGCCGAATCTTGCGCCTAAAAATTAAAATATTTTAGATTTTTGTTGTTAATTTCAATTGATTTTGAAATAATTTTGCCAGAAATCACCTGAGAAAATCAGAAATATCGTTGGTACGAGAGAAGTCATTTCAGTTGATTTTTAGGCGAAGGATTGAACTGTTATGGGATCATACATACTTAATTTAGAGAAATGTACGGTGAACGGTTTTACGGTTTCTTGTTCAACCCTTTTATTTTTAAACAGTTCAGGTAAAAATAATCCCTACCAAGGTGAACATGATTTATTACTTAATAGCTGTCCAAGCATACATGTATTTATAAACCTCACTAGGATTTCATGTAAAAAAATCATTACTAAAAATTCTCCCAGGATCATTCTCATCCATCTCATTTCATCAATTATGCAGATACACATAAAAGAAATGGTGTACTCAAGTATTAATTCCGCTTTGATTATGTGCGTATTTAATGCCAGTTAATTAAATTTAAAATCTTGTGTGAATGAACAATTCTCACGTGCGTAACATTTTTAAAACAACATATATTTTTCTTACACCCCGTCAAAATTTTACCAGTTTTAATTATTTCTCAAATTTTCTTCGAAATCAACAAATAGCTCACAATCCCGACTATCCCGAATTGAAATATTGACACGATCAAGCCAAAATAGCCCATGACATGCAATTGAAATTTCACATTGGTAATAATTTTGAGGAAACAGCCCTCCTCGTTGATAATCTCGCTAGCGTTTGGATGCACTGGAAGCAAGTTGATTCCGCACCATTCGTCCTCTCTGGTCGCCTCGATACAACAACTCGTCGGCACGGAGAGGCTCGTCCGACCAAACTGGACCGTTTGCCAGTCTGTATAATTGTTGAGACCGCAGCACTAAAAAACCAACATGAGGAACGTCAAAGTCAGATAAACTATTCGACTATCACGAATTTTTTTCGAAATTTTTCTGTAAATAAACAGGCACGTACCTCGTATTTAATTTGCGTCTCATCCCAAGCCTTCTGCTCGTCGGATCGCCTATCAGTGTGGTTCGGTTTGTGGAAATCAGGGTCTCGCCAATACGTCTCCATCACATTTTGCTGCAACTGGGTCCTGATTCCGTTCATATTGTTGGACGACTTGCTCAACGCGCTGCCCCCAACGGCCAACTCGACGAGGGACATTATACCCAAAATGGCGCAGTAGATGATCCAAAAGAACGCCTTGTTCCCCCTGATTTGTGCGACAATGCCCATCCCGGTGGCGAATAGGAGGAAAAATGTAGTCACATAGTATGACGTAACAAAGTGATCGGTTATGTGCAATTTGAATTCTTGCAACGAGTCCCTTTCAGCGTGGGACGTGAAGAAGGCGCAGAGGCTGAAACCGATCGCGAGGATGATCAGTAGACCGTGAGAGCCGTAAAGGAAATGGGAAATGTATTTAGGTGTGGGAACTCGTAATTTCGCCATGATTTATTTGTGGGAGAGGTAGGTGGGTGGGTGTGTCGAAAATGTCGACATGTCGTCAAATAAGATTATTTGACACTTTATGCATAAGGGACGCTAACATTACTTAGATACCAATATTATTTGACACTTTATCATTCTATGGGGCACCACCCCATAGAAACGATGTCAGTTAATCGTGCTTAGATACTAAATTTCGAGTAATCGTGGTCGTCAAGACTGAAAATTCCAAATCAGGATGACTTATTTGGAAAGTTGTGCTCTAAAATTTAATCAAGGTTTCAACAATTATAGATCAAATCAACAATCCATTTTAAACGACAACATGAATACTTATACTTCGGAGGCAACCAGTTCCGATTACACGGACGAAATAGAATTGGATGTTGACAATTTTGAGATCAAGCTAAAGTTGGGCGGAGTCGTGTCCACGTTTAAAGATGATGGAGTTTGGCGTCACAAGTTCCCTAGTAAGTTCATCGTTATGATTGATTCTGAACTACATATCATTATCAGCATACAGGAATTTTAATGTTACTGCAGAGAAAGATCCCGACTTACAAAAGCTGTCAGACTGCAGAGCAAAGTTGGTCAAACTTGTCGAGGAGAATGAAAAGTTGCGTCTAAAATTCGACATTTTATTCGATCTGGCAAAATCAACTTCCGCCGACTACGACGATACGAAGGAGGAACTGAAACAATTACGGAAAATGTGGAAGCAGACGAAGAAATCAAAATTAAATTGATAGATTTTATTAATCGAATGGTGACATGTTATATTATAATCGATTTAAATGGCTTTAATATCATGATTAAATTATACATATAAATAATGAAAATTATACTGTAGTTCTTTAATGGATCACCTAAATATAGGGCATTTTTTACGGTACGCTTATATTTTTACAGAAATGCTACTTCCACAATATCTTAAACTTGCATGATTTTACAGAAAAATAGACATTTTTATTAGAAAATTTTAATCATTAATCAAGCTGTTCTTGAACAAATATATCATTTAATTTGCATATGTATATGCTACCAACGCATTCATTTCGCCACAAAGAAAGGAAATAGTTTCTTGCGTGCAAAATTAATAGGCTGAAATTCACATTTTGATTCCATGTATGTACGTATATGCGTATATGACGTTCTATTTTTAAATGATCATCTTCAGTTCCCTCCAGGACAAAATTAAAATTCCGTACATCCAGAATCTTATGAATTTATACTTTTTTTCGTGTAGGATTGAGAACTGTTTTGTATTGTAAGGGTTGCACTCCAAAAGTGAGAAAAATGGTATTCATAAATTAATTAGATTTCATTTGAGATTTGAGAATCTCAAATTGAGATCGAGAAATGAAACGTCCATTTTTACAACTCACACTCGCTCGACAACTTTATTTTTGCAAGTTTCCGTCTGTTTGTGAAATCTACTATTTTTTCTCGTCAAATTTCCAGACGAAGTTATAAAACTTGTGCAAACCGAGTAAGATTGTAAGTCATTCATGTTTTGAATAATTTTTTTCTAGATTTTATTTTACTCCATTTTTAATCGAACAACTCTTTTCTCTTGTATTTTAATTATTTTCAGGATTGTTGACAAAATGTTGCGCATTGCTGGTCGTAAAGGGTTGGACTTTACTACAAGAGCTGACCTCCCTTTGTCGAAATGGGTCGGCAAACCTCAGCCCTGTCGCGGGATGGCTACCCTGAAGAGTATCTCGTTACGGCTCAAGTCGACGCGGAACATGCAGAAGATCACCCAGTCCATGAAGATGGTGTCGGCTGGCAAGTTTGCCAGGGCGGAGAGGGACCTTCGAGGCTCCCGACCCTTTGGCGAAGGGGCTCAGGCGTTCTACGAAAAGGCCGAAGTCGCCGCACCAGAGGATGCCAAGAACATGTTGTTTATCGCAATGTCGTCGGATCGAGGTCTTTGTGGCGGGATTCATTCATCAGTGGCGAAGAACATTAAGGTAAATTATCTAATCTAAATTAATCTATTTGAAATTGACGTTTTTAATTTATGGAAAAATTGTATTAATCATTGATTCTAGAGCCAGCTACAAAATTCTAAGAATGCTAGCGATGCTAAAATCATCTGTGTCGGAGATAAGCTTCGAGGTCAACTGTATCGTTTGTTCGGAAACAATATTCTTCTAACATGCAAAGAGCTTGGTCGATTGCCCCCACAATTTGGGGTCTTAAATCTTAAATATATCATTTCTTAAGGCTAATTTTAATAATTTATTGGTTCTCTAATTAATTATCAGGATGCTGCCAAAATCGCTGCTGCGGTACTGGATACTGGTAAAGTCTACTTATCCAGATTATTAGTGATTTTGTTGATTTGAAGAAAATTCGTTGATTTGTTATTATTGAAGGTTTTGAATTTGACGCTGGAGGAATAATTTACAACAAGTTCAAAACAGTGGTGTCTTACTACTACTACTGTCTTACTACTACTAGACTACTGAGCTGCCAATTTACAGTCTCCAAACGGTTTCTGCTGCTCCAAAACTTACGGTGTACGATTCTCTGGATGCCGACATCATCCAATGCTATTTGGAATACTCACTTGTTGCTCAGCTCTACTATACCATGAAGGAAAATGCATGTTCGGAACAGAGTGCGAGAATGACAGCAATGGACAACGCTAGTAAGAACGCTGGCGATATGATTGGCAAGTTGGAGTTGCAGTTCAACCGGACTCGTCAAGCAGCTATTACAAGGGAATTAATTGAGATCATTTCAGGGGCCTCTGCTATCTAAAGAAGTCGTCCAAAATCAATTTCATAGTTTTACATCAATGAGGTCTGAATATTCAAATTAATATTAACAAAAACTGCACTGTCATTATTATTGGTATTTTCTTAAAGTTACAAAGCAAATTGGAGTATAAATGTGCACACAGTAAAACTAAAGTAATTTGAATAAATGTTGCTTATGAATCACAATGCTTGACCCCATCTCCCATGCAGGCAGCGTACCCTACCACATGAGGGATATAACTTTGTTGGTGCACTCCAGTCAATAAATGTGCGTAAGGACCTTTGGCAAAAATTAAAACCTACGAGAAAAAGTAACTTGTCAAAATCTTTCCTTAGGAGGACAACCCTTCACCGACAGAATCACCGATCTTGATGCCCTTTGGATATGTTGTAGTCCTAGGTGAGTCTAGCAAAAGTGAAGAAGGATTTCATTCAATGGCCCCATTTGCGCCCGCCACACCCACTCAAAGGTGCGAAAATACCCTGTTTTGGTTCATTAAAAAAATCACCAAAAATCCAATTTTGGTCGGATTTTCACAATTTAAGCATTTTTGTGACCCTAGATAGTTGCTTTATCATATCCAATAGCAAACTCAACTTTTTTGAAATTTTGATTTTTTCGAAATCTACGAAATTTTCGAAAATATTCAAAAAATTCAAAAAATTGAAATTCATGTCGGATACGATAAAACAACTATCTGGGATCAAAAAGGTGCAAAAATTATCAAATTATCATTAAAAATGGATTTTTGGTGAATTTTTTAATGCGACCAGTTTGGCATAAGATTCCTCTTTGAGTGGGTGTGGCGGGCGCAAATGGGGCCATGGAATGAAATCCTCCTTCACTTTTACTAGACTCACCTAGGACTACAACATATCCAAAGGGCATCAAGATCGGTGATTCTGTCGGTGAAGGGTTGTCCTCCTTAGGAGGGGAGCTTGCGAGGTTGATAATAACAGATCTTGATGCCCTTTGGATATGTGGTAGGGTCCCATGAGTGAACTAAAACCCTGAAGTGGTTTGACTCCATGGCCCCATTTGCGCCCGCCACACCCACTCAAAAATGTCCAAAAAACGCTTTCACTCCAGTTTTCACTCATTCAAATCCACGCCAAAAATCCAATTTTACTCGGATTTTGAAATTTCTTTCACCATTACACTCCCAGATAGTTGCTTTCTGCAATCCAATATCAAACTCAATTTTTTCGAAATTTTTAGTATTTTAAAAAATTGCAATTCGGAATGAGGATTGTTGTAGTAATCAACAACGCAAATTATGCCTGCGAAATAGTCATCAGCAAAATTGAGTTTGATATTGGATTGAAGAAAGCAACTATCTGGGAGTGTAATGGTGAAAGAAATTTCAAAATCCGAGTAAAATTGGATTTTTGGCGTGGATTTGAATGAGTGAAAACTGGAGTGAAAGCGTTTTTTGGACATTTTTGAGTGGGTGTGGCGGGCGCAAATGGGGCCATGGAGTCAAACCACTTCAGGGTTATAGTACACTCATGGGTCCCTACCACATATCCAAAGGGCATCAAGATCTGTTATTATCAACCTCGCAAGCTCCCCTCCTTAGTTGAAGCACGTATTTAATATTGTAACTTGCATCATCTCCACCATGAGTTTCTGAATCGTTCGGAACAGGAACAGGGGCTTGATACGTAGGATCATCGACATTGTCCAGTCTGATGTCGTGTCGTTTTTTCGTGCTACGAGCAATCCACTTTGGTCCCGGACCGTTGCCATATCCGAGTGTGGCATATGGCAGACCGTCATCGGCAAATTGTTCGCTATATTTTAAGATAGGCGTTCCTCTTGTAGGGTATCCTATTTATTTTCAGCAACATTTAAAATTAAAACTGAAATTACAAACTATAAATATGCATTGTAGTACTATAAATTTCATAATTGGAGATAATTAAATATTAAATTATGCATTTGCCACTCACCAGCAAAATGCATGACGTGTGCATGATCAGAGGTGACTACAATCAGCGTTTCGGCCTCATCCGTCATTTCATCCCCTTTCTTTATGGCTTTGTCAAATTCGACCGTTTCCCGTAACGAGCGATGGACCATATTGTCATGGTGGGCGTGATCTATACGGCCACCTTTTCGAATTCAATGATCAATTATCTATTAACGAACTATGTCAAAATACAGTAGATCATCTTATCTGAGGCAAATCTATACCTTCAACAAATAAAAAGAACCCGTTCTGATTTTTGCTCAGAATTTGCACCGCTACTTCCACCATCTCTTCAAGGGATGGGTCATTCTGGGCCAGTTGCAAATCGTAGTATGCAATGTGCGATGGATCAAAGAGACCGAGCAGAAAATCCGTCTTTGTTGTATCAACGTTAAGCAATTCATCCCTCGTCGTGACGTAACTTGCAGTGTTCCGCTTTTTTGCAGAAATCCAAGCATCGATCAGATTGACTTCATCCATCCGGTACCCCGTCACATTAAACTCCACATCGACCACGGTTTTTGGAATAAACTGACTCCGTCCTCCGCCCAAAATCACATTAATATTTCGTCCCGGATCATGCATTATGAGTTGCTTTGCAATGTCGGGACAAAGCTTGGGGTCCTCGCCATCGAAGATAATTGCGCCATCGTTTTCCCAATCGCGATTAGCAATATGGGCATAACAGCCGGCTGGAGATGCGTGAGTTATCCTTGTAGTGGTCACGATTCCGGTGGATTTTCCTTGCGCCTTGTCAAAACAAAGACCAAAAAATACATAATTATTGAAAAAATAATATGGAAATCGGTACCAATACCTGTGCCCATGCAAGGATGGAAGAGAGGTGGTTTTCAGGATTAGCCTGAGCGCTACAGTTTCCTAGTTTTACATCGGGAGTGACGCCAATTGTGCCCAAATTTGCTTTACTTCCGGTCAAATAAGCTGTAGCTGAACAAGCACTGTCAGCTACTTGGAAATCGGAGCAAAACGTCTAAATGGAAAAATTTGTATCAATTTGTACCAATTGAGATTTCTATATCTTTGAAACCTTGGACGTTCCAACGAATGGAAATGTATCCATATGAAGTTCTCCTTCCTCTCCAAACTGTAGTTTATCAACTTGTTGTCCTTTAAAAATTCTTGCAGCAGTCACGGTTGGAACTATTTATTAAGCAAGAAACATGTCATTTGATCTTTTTTAATAAGTATTTTTAGTTAATTTCCAAACACACCAGACATCCCATCTCCCAAGTAGAAGATTACATTTTTAGCTTGTCCTTCAATAGGTCGGATGAGCCTTTTCTTTACTAGCTCTTTTTGGGCACTTTGTTTCCAAAAATCATCAGCTATAAAATTATAGATTACAAAAATTTCAAAAATGTTATCATGAAAATTATGTATGTAAATATATATGTATGGACATTCATATGTTGGCTGATGCCCATTAGCGTCGCTCTTGAAAGATTTGTGATGAATAGGGTGCATGTAGCCATCGTCTGAAAATATATGTACAATAAACATGTAGCGTCAGGACAAGAGTATTGATTATGGTACATACCTTGATAAATAATGTTTCCACAAATCTGAGACGTAAGACAAGAGATTATCAAAATCTGACAGAAATTTTTTAATAGCATTGTGGAACGACTTTACAAAAAAAATGACGTTTATTTTAAAGTAAATTGCGACAGATGACTAAATCGATGTTCTTCAAACATATCAGCAGCCCGTGTCTGGATTTAAACATTTTTGACCTGATTTAGATTTCATCCGCTCACGCTTAACCAAATGACATTACTTATCATGCTTATTAAACATGCACCCATCAGCCAAGTTATGTAGTTCAATGAAGATATCGAAATTCAATCATGATATTGACAGTCATATTCGTGGAATTGTTAACACAGTGTTGAAGATAGGAACTGAATTCTTTATTCCAGGCACACTCTGACTTTGACTCATAAAGGACTTTACTGTAAAGTCTTTACGACGTGATTGGGGCGTTAAATAAAATAGGTCTGTACAACCAATAAATATTCTCCATCACTGTTTATGTTTACCACAGAGTATCTAAATCTAAACGATGTTTACACTAAATACCACTTTTAAACTAGTCATCATTTGTAGCAAATGAATTATGCATTTAGCCAAGTATGTTTCTTATCAGTAAGTACGTAGGAGCTTTTAAGAATTTTTACGTATGCAAACTTAAAATTTCTACATCGTCATCGGAATTTCATTTCAGGTAGTCACGTCAGGTAATGCAATACTATTTTCATGATAAACTGTAAATCTTAACATGCTTACTCAAATTAAATTGCTTAATAATAATTAAATAATGTAATTATTATCACTTTTCCTCATACTCGTGCAGTTGTATGCAATTAGTGTTCGCATGAATCGAAATTTTCTTGCAAGACTAAAACCATACAATTTTCAATTTCAGATATTGTTTTGTAAGTAAGCACTGTAATTTATTTAAAGTGTAATCTAAATTTTGCTGAATAGGACTTGGAATTAGAGCAAATATTTTTGTAAAGTTAAGCTAGACTTGTCAAGCTACAACACAAATGACTTAATCAGCTACACATGTACAGCATATACATACATGTAAAGTACAAAATAAATATCAGGGTTTACGAGATTCCATATAAATATGTACGCATTGGCATTATACAAAGTAATTTTGTAATGTATTAAATAGATTACTCTCCTAATAAGACACATAGGTCAACTGAATGTGGTCGTACAAATCAAATGTTGAACGTATAACTCTATTTTTTTGTTCTGCGATAATTGTCACAAGATCAGGTCATGGAATATTAAATTACTGGCACATTTGTGTTTTGTTCTACATATATTTTTCAAGTATCTTAGAAAAATTTCAAAGGGCGCCGTATATTTCAATAGTACGCAACCAATTAATCAATACGAAATAATTATCATGTTTTTGCGATAAAAACGAAACAGGTCTCGATCAAATGAGCTAAGGCTATTAATAAAGCGAAACACTTAATACGTTGAAGCAAAAAGAACGGTTCAATAATTTTTGACACATTGCATCGCAATTGAGTTATTATATCGCAAGTACTTTAAAACATTCCTGGCATGTCGTTCTCCTTATTTGCGGTTTTCTCAAAGAACATAAAGTCCTGGAAAATAATCATAAAATACAGCAGTTCGTTAATTAGTAAATACAGTAATAAATATGTATAATAATCTCACAATCAAAAAGCAAGCCCCAAGCATGACAGCTTTCATCCTGACATCCAAATCCATTGGGAAATTTATTCCAAAGTTGTCAGCATCCGTAAAAGCTTCTCGAGCTAAGCCACTCCATCTTTTTGAAATCTTTCCAACCTCTGTCCCTCCGTCACGAGATAAAACTTTGAATTCGACTTCCCCACAAAGCGAGAAGGTGCACATTGGTCCTTCAATTCTTAGAACAACTTCTCCATCGGCATTCTTAATGACGAATGTTGGCGTAAATATGCTCCATTGTTGTTCCACAGTTCCAGCTAATTGTCCCGGTGGAGAGAACACCTCGAGGGACTAAGAAACAGACAGTATTAATCTTTATGATATTGAAATTTCTCAAAAGTCGGTATTATGTAATACCTGAAGCCAACATGGACACCAACATGAATCACATGCCAATGGCCGATTCAAGTGAATTATCTCTCGATCGTTCAAATCTTTTATCTTCAGATCGAATGGTCTGAACGAACCGCAACAATTTCTGGTACAACAGTCCGTGTCTTCCTTTGCTGTGTATAGGTCCCTCCCTTGTGAATCTTTGATCTTGTACTAAAAATAAGAAATGGATATGACTTAATACATAAGAGTATGAAATATTTTTTTCGTTAATTTATATAATTGTTACCTTGTTCTTTGTTTCGCACCCCAAAAATGCTGGGATAAAAATCTCAGTTTAATTCAGACAATAATGCTTCATTTCATTTATTCAAATGAGAGATTTGTACCCACCTTCAAGAAGTTCAACTTTCTGCTTGACATATAATCTATCCAACTGGGCTAGAAATTCCAAACCCGGTGGAACGTTCAATGGAACCGTTTGTCCCATTACACCTAAAATGAGTCATTGAAAATATAAGTTACAAAATTCAATACACGTGTTTAGCAATTGAGTGGTTAATTGTCAATTATTAACATGCATGTTTTAGTCTATTAATTTCTCATGCAGATCCAAAGCCGTGATTTTCATCAAAAATATACCGAATTAATTGCACCTAAAATAAGCCACACCGAAATACTATGTTTAATTAATTAAAAAATCGCTGCATTAGTTTCAAAAAGCTCATTATTAGTCATTCCATGAATCCTCCAAGTGATCCTAATACCTGTTGGGTGCATCTGCATAGGTGGAGACTGATGATAAGCTGGGTTATACCCTTGCTGTTGAGGGGGAGGATATCCTCCATAAGAGAATGGTTGAGGTGGTCCCTGTCCATAACTGTATCCTACAGAAAGAAAGCGAGAGGTGGCACATATAAGTGGTTATCATCTGCAAGTGACTCAGTGAACGGAACGAGTACAGCAAAATGTGGTGACAGCATAACAACGTGGCATTTGACAAGAACGACACAATAATTGTGAGTGGCAAGGTGACGACTCGTGAGTGCATAAGAGGTGTATGAAATCTGATTTGATTTGAATGAGTCAACCTTGTCCTTGAGGAACGAGTGGATAAAATCCTGAAATTTTCGACCGCAGCATAAATTGTCGTTCAAAAAGTCACAATACGCCAAAATTAGTTAACGCACATGACTTACACAATTAATTTGCGATCTGCATTATTATGGCACCAATTCATCATGTAAACATTAATTGATCTCGTACCTTGCCCATGTACAGGTTGCTGCATTATGGCACCTTGTCCATCCGGCTGGAATGGAACTGGGACAGGGGGATAAGCATACCCTGGAGGGGGTCCTGCTGGATAACCATGATCACCTTCGCCTTTTGGAGGGTAGGGAGCACCGAATCCTATAGTTTCAGTAAATATAGTCACTGTATTTAATACAGTGTATTATAACAGTGTTATGACTAAACATGGATTACATATTTACTGAAACCTTGTATAACACTGTGTCGATAATCGTCAAAATCAAAATCGTAACAGTACGAGTCGTATTTCGAGTAGGAGGACATTTTGGAGTGTTACAAAGTTACAATTTGAATTTAGTGAGTGAAGCAAATACAATTATCCTAGCCCATTGAATAAGATGACGACGAAGGAAGAGCATGGAAAAATTTCCTGCTTCCATAAACATCTACATTCTTCTTTATCAACACATAAACAAAACAAAAACTCTTCGACCGGAAGCTGTCAAGATTACATTCTTTTTCTGCCCTACATTATGCGATTTAATCCTCCACGCTTAAATTCTATTCATTAAATGGTCAAAAGTGTATTCCATGTTCTTTAAATCTCACACAATGCATTAACTTCAAGGATACGCCCAATAAACCGGCAGCAATTCCATACAAACTACATGTATTTAATTTTTTGTACTTACCCATCCCATCCGCCGGAGGATAAGGTGGTGCATTCGGGTTAGGATAAGGTGGTGCATTTGGGTTGGGATAAGGATAAGACATCCTTTAAAATTTCTCAGATTTTTTTCAAAACTCGAACTCTATCGTTTATCTCTCAATAAATAAATACAAATTGTATTATACAATCCAATGTATTTCAATCTTATCCGTCCATCCTAGCAAACGTTACGTAATCTGCAATTAATTAATGTAATAAACCTTTATTTACAAACTTTCTACATTCACAATTTTTAAAGCACAACAAAAAATAGAAACAAAAATATGTGCAAAATCAAGATTAACATTACAATTTTCTTTTAAGCTCACATAAACATTTATAAAGTAGTGACAAAGTCATCATATTTTTCTTACACTTACCCAGACAGTAGTAATTTCGAATTACTAATTTGCAATTATTTTAATTCCGCAAAAAAACCTTGCCGAAAACCAAACCAACTGTCACTGAGTGTCACTCCTTAGAAAGTTTAGCTACACAACCCTAAAGCCTATAATCTTATTTAGCATTGAGAATACCCGAAACGAAACCTGACAAACAAAATCAACGCTCAACTTCCTCATTTTTGGTTGTGCATACTGTTGCGAATTTCATTTTCTCTGAATTCCATACTTTTTATACACAGAGAGAATATTCCAAAAATAAATGCATGCCATGCCTCATTAATTTATGATCCTGCATTGTATGCACATAAATAAATGAACATGAACAATCTGTCTCAATAAGTCAGATCCTCCTGAAAATGGAATATTCGTGAATTCAAATTATCAATATAGGATGACTCCTCTAATGATGCTAAATAATTTGGCGTAACATTGTGTGGTTTTTAGTAGGAGTGGCGATGAGTGACATCAACGGACATTGTAGACATGCAAAACTTGTCAAGAGAAATGCATATTGCACACCTATTTATATAGAGGGGATTTTTACAACTCAGTTCTGCGGTTAAATTGTTTCATGGTGAAGTTAATCGCAGTTTTCTATATTGGCAATTTTGTTCATCCATGCAAACTATATGAAAATAAAAAATCAATGGTCACTATAATTAGAGTAGTTCTGGAAGCAAGGAATTCACGTATTATTGTTATTCTCGGTAAATAAAAATGATATAATCAGATCACATTTTGTATACTAATCTTAAACCAAAAAGTTACATATTAAGTCGTAATTCATGTATTATATATACAATACAATCCAGAATAGTTTGTTATTTAGAAGTCGAATCTTAATAGCCTCATTACGGGCAAGAAATTATAAATTCAAAGCAAAAAAAATACGATTCATAGGTACAAAGTTGTATGATATTTGTAACTTACGTGTCATTGATTAATGCGATATAACTGGAACATTATCGTGTGTTTGTAGATTATTCAAGTGCGTTAAATTTAGTGACTCGATACATATGTAAATCCGCTTACAACGATACAATCGCCTATCTATCTATATTATGCGTCTGTTTCAGTCTATGTAAAATAATTAATGGTAGAGTTTTAATCCTTGAAGAGTATAATAATGGCGAGTTTGGAAGAAAGATTTTCCCCGACAAAAGGTGCAGGTCTGTTAATACAAAACGCAATAGCTCAACAGGAAATACTTTATCAAACAAAATAGAAATCTAAGAAATGCGCTGCAAAACGATGGTTAATTTGCAAAATTAAACGATAGTGACATCAATCCGAATCTACGCCACTGAGACTTTTGATGTCGTCGAAAAAGGCTCGAGGAGAAGTGACGAGACACTCCTTGAACGACTTTTTCTTGAGTAGCGAGTCCCAATTGCTGCAATAATACAGAAAATATATAGTTATACAGTTCAAGTATTTTCCCGTAACATTAAAGTATGCTAGCTATGAATTGATATTCTCACCTGCGACAGTACTGACGTAGTTCTTCTTGAATAATAAGTTCGGCATTGTGCATGTAGGATAGAATAGTAATTCTGCCCACATTTTCTGGAGTAATTTGAGTACATAAGGATCGAAGACAACGGTTCTTTAGTTCATTTAGCTGATATTTGTCACTAGCTTCGACGAGAGACATTATTTCTTCTACATCCGATGGCATTGCAACTCCCCCAGTATAAATGTATTCAAGCAGGCTTTCCATCGTGGACTATAAGAGCACATGACATTATGTAAATTATTATAGATGATTCTAGTAATAATTACTGTAATGTAGGTTGTATTTACCTCTGGGACGTCTGGAATCTTTACAATATGAGATCGAGTTTCCACCGTGTCGTGTTTGAACATTGCGGAAAACACCTTACTTCGAGCTGAAAGCATGCAGTTGAATCAATTTTTGTGAGTTTTAAATAATCGATTATTTTGGGCATAGTATGAGTAATTAAATTAACTATCAGTTCATACCTGACAAGATTAATTTGTGCACCGAAAATGACTTTTTCCCACACTCGATCGTCATATCGGCATCATTTTGTGATTTCAGCAGTTTTTTCATATCTCTTTTCATTATTGTACTCCCAGGATCTTCATGATCTGTAGTGTCTGAATCATCACAGTGAGTACGCTTTCGTTTCCCTGATGGAAGTCCCAGTGGCCGGGAAAGAAGTAGTGTTCCCGTTCCTGGCGTTTTAAATCTGCTTGTAACTTCTCCTAATATGTCTAGCTGAATTTGCAGTCGTAGCTTATTATCCATTAAGTAATTTTCGCGTTCCTCCCATAAAGTTTCGATTGTGATTATATATCCCATACCTAACATTCAATATTTTATGATTTGCTGGAATAAAATTTGTATATACAAGTTCATACCCCATCCGTTATCTTCTGCAGTGAATGTCTGATTTTTGTCGCACCCTAAATGTTAATTAGCAAATATTAAGGAAGGTAGTCATGATAAAACGGCATAAAAAAGTTAAGAATTGCCACTCACGACGTCTCAGAAGAGTGGTTCCATCTGATTTTAAAATTAGGACTGTCAAATTTACGGAAATGTCTTTAATCATTTCATTATATATCTTTTTTAGATACAGCCAGATCTGTAAATAGCCTCCTTCTGCTGATAGAATCAAGTCCCTGAAAAAAAACAGAAATATTAATACGCTTAATCATTAATCCAAACTTATTTGGTTATTATTATTACCACTCGGATTCTCTATTAATTTCTTGTCCAGCTCGGAAGGGGGTGGACGAAATGGGTTCAAACTCGTCACTCTCGGGAGTACAAATTCTATCGAAATTATTAATGTCCCAGTTGTAAATTATGCGGTGCATTTCAACCTGTCGATTATCAATAATAAAATAATTATTTTTCAATAACTATAAATTCCTTTCAATAAACAGTACTAGTGTAATAATTAATTACCTCAGTCTCTGAACAAATTATGGACTTGCTAGTGGCTCTCGACGCCATTGCCATTGTTAAACCCTCTTTTGTCTTAAGGCCACACCAGACTATTATATTTCTTCCCTACAACTGTAACAGGAAACAATTAAACAATAATATTAGTTAAGTCTTTAACTTATAGAATAAAAATAAAATTCCATGAATTTTCATTGAATCAAACAAGATAATTTGCAACTTACTGGAAACTTCTTATCGTTGTAGAATGCAGACAGCTTCAACACGGACGGAACAAAAATTGGAAAACGTAAATTTATTGGAAGAAATTTAGAATAATTTATCGTAATTTCACGAGATTTTTGTCTTTTGTTCAAGTTCTATTTATTAAGTCGCTGGATAATGGAATAGTGAATTTGGTGGTAGAGTCGGGGCAGGATTTAGTCTTTGCTTACCGGGTTTCATGGAACGGTCTTAATGCATGCATGGAATTTTGATTTTAGGAAATAAAAATAAGAAATAAATTTTGATATAGGATTGCAAAATTTATAAATGTAAATTTATTTACTGAACATGATGTTTGGACAATGTCCCCTATTGTGAAGCTGTGTTTAACCAGTTACGTAAAAATCGCACGTTTCTTGACAGTCGTAAGTGTCCCGAGTGACACAAACATTAAGACTTGGGAAGAACACAAGGTCTGGAGCGCATTGTTGGAGGATGGGGTTACCGTTCGAACATTGGAAGAAGGAGTTACAATTTTGGGGGTTTGGATAATACTCTTCTTCATTTCCTGTAGATTGGCATACGGGGACATCGGGACATTGAACTGGAGGTTCAGTGGGGGCGTCAGTTGGAGCATCGGTTGGAGCGTCTGTGGGGGCATCCGTCGGTTCCTCAGTCGGTTCTTCAGTAGGCACTTCAGTGGGTGCGTCAGTAGGGGCATCCGTCGGTTCTTCAGTAGGCACTTCAGTGGGTGCGTCAGTAGGGGCATCCGTCGGTTCTTCAGTAGGCACTTCAGTGGGTGCGTCAGTAGGGGCATCCGTCGGTTCTTCAGTAGGCACTTCAGTGGGTGCGTCAGTAGGGGCATCCGTTGGTTCCTCAGTCGGTTCTTCAGTAGGTACTTCGGTGGGGGCATCAGTGGGGGCATCCGTCGGCTCCTCAGTAGGTTCTTCCGTCGGTACTTCAGTGGGGGCATCAGTGGGAGCGTCGGTCGGCTCTTCAGTCGGTACTTCAGTGGGGGCATCAGTGGGTGGTACCGTAGTAGGCTTCTCTCCACTTTCTTCAGATCCTGATTCCGAACTCTCCGAACTCTCTGAACTTTCCGAACTTTCAGAGCTGTGTTTTCCCTTATGCGGCTTTTTGTGTCCATGTTCTTTTTCCTTCTTTCCATGTCCATGCTTTCCTTTTTCCTTTTCTAAAGGATTCGCATTTTTAATCAATTATGAACCCTTATTAATATTATGTCTCACTTTTCATGATTAACTTACCTTCCTTCACCTTCTTGCCATGACCCTTAGCAAGGCCATTCTGTTCACGTCCATGGTCCTTTCCACGACCCCCCTTATCATCCTTAGGCCTACAATGCGCCAAGGTCACGCATGCCAAGAGACAAATCGCCAGGAATAACTTCATCGTTAAATCAATATGTTATCAGTTTTTGTTCAAAGGTAAACTCAGATTGGTTTAAAATCTCAGTTTTTGCATCTTTTTATATAGTGCAGTTGTACCATACACCCTCATGCAAAGTTCGCATGCACAGATATCATGTGCAAATAAATCCCGACAAGTGATAAATTACTAGAATTGAGACCATGCGCATCATCCTTGATTCCACAGTCAACACTGTTCCGATTGTCAATACCACCTGGAAAAATAATTCGTTATAATGCAGTCGTATAATAAAGCCGTGTTGCTTCAGGTGCAATATAAGTTAGTGGCAAACATGTTTTCATCAATCGTTAATCGTCAATATTTTAATACAATTATTAGAATTAACATTATTCATATGTACGTAATTCGGTAAGTGAATGCGTTAATTCTTGCGTAATTCAGCATCCATCCGGCCAAAATAAATTACGAATTATATACAAAGGTTCATAAAATTTCTGGGAAGTCTATTCGCAAGTTTGATCCGGGTAATTCAGCCCAAAATGGAAAATAAGTTATAAAAAAAATTTTGCAAACAGGTGATCTCATACGAAGAATCTTTATCATGAAACTGTTGATTCCTCTCCCCCCCCCCAAAAAAAAAAGAATAATAAAAATCATTGCATATGCTTCTCTCATTTTCTCCCAGTCCATCTATCCTACACAATTTACATCGTTCTTCTGGGACAAATTGGTCTTTGATATTCTCCGAGTGACCATAAAATGACCAAATGCGATGATTGCCAGTCATTATCTTTTCTCACCCCACCTGCCCCGTCGTCGGTCGACTCTCTCCTATCATTATCTATTTCATCTAATTCTTGTCAAAATTGCCTTTCTCACACCCTCCGCAATCTACTCGCTATTCAATAAATAAATCAATTTCAGCTACTACGCACATTCACCAGTCATTCTCAGCCTCATCACATAAAATTCTGCACTTTTTCGGACACTTTCCTGCCTCCCATCTTCATTTACTTACTTACGCACACTTTGAATGGAACCCTTCTTAATGAGAAAATAGGTAGTCTTCTTCTCCTCCTTAATGACGGTTATACGATGTGACGAGTGATCCCTGCACGTGGAATCACCATTTGCTGTGCTAACACACAAAAGCAAGAAGGGAGCAGATACATAAATACACAAGGGACAACAATAAGTGGGCAATTCCTCCCCATTTTATTTTTGTAAGTAAAAAGGAAGCAAAGTTTAATTCTGGTCGTGGGGGTGAATACTTACGGGCTTTGAATTCTCATCACAAAATCATTACGACGACCAAGTGCAGCTGGTGCATCTCGCACCCTCATCATGATCCTCCTCCTCCTCTCGTCTGGTGTGTTGTGTGTGGTCTGGTCTTTTACGAGAATGAGAGAATTGAATGAGTGTCACCCTTAGATATGGATAATCACCTTACCCAGCTCATCATCATCTGGCCAATATTACATGAAAAGCGAGATAAGACTGCTTGGTGGGTACACAAGAGGCGAGGGAGCCACCAAATAAATGCACCCCTTGGAGACAGAGAGAGAGGAAAAAGTTATGGTGTGAATCTTAACACGACGTTTGGGACATGGCCAACCAAACCAGAAGTTGTATAGTTCACTGTTACGATGGTTTTAGGGTGGGTGGATGGAAATGATGATGATGATGATAAGACAATTCTTTACTTTCACTAGGAAAAGATAAGTTTGAGACGTCCAGACAAAATGGGGCAAAATTTTCGAGGGATAAATTTATTTTCAAAAAAAATTCATGAAAAAACTTAAATCAAGAAAATCACCAAAATCCCACACTATTTGTAACTACTCCTCCACTCTCCCTTTTTTAAGAGGAATGACAATTGAACACAAGAGGTGATCATGACCATCATCATCATATTGCTCACCAGTTAAAGATCTACCCTCCCAAACCACGCACCCACTGACCGGCCTATCTGATCAGTCCGTCTGACTTCTTCCTTGACTCAAGGCAAGTGAAAGTTCTTCTTCTTCCCTCGGAAAACTAAATTGCCTATTTTTCAACTTTTCAATCTTTTCGGTGCATCAAATGAGGAGGAAATTTTCAGACGTAGATATTATTGCATTCCCGTGATGACATCAACTTCCGCTTTCTATTCGTCCCCGTCAGCCACGTCTCAAATGACGTCCAATTTCTTGACCATACATACATTCACCAAGGCAAAATAAGTAAAGCCCAAATGCATTTATTGATCGTAAACGTAGCACACACTTGAGTAACGCACTTCCTCCTTCCTTTTCCTTAGATGAGGGGGGATTACATTGATAAATCCGTTGTAAGAAGATGAGATCCCAGCAGGATTTTCTTTTTCGAGTCAATGTCAAACGTTAACTCGAACCTTTCTCTTGTTCCTTATGTGTCACGTGTATGTGGACAATGTCAATGTCAACTCCTCACTCGTTACGTTGGTTTGGCCATCATCACAAAGTTCATGATGATCAAAAACCGAGAGGGAACACGGTGAACAGCAGGACGTCGTCGAAAAGTTGAATGCATTTCATGGTGAAAGTGCATTCGTGATTTCAAGCTACTAATGTGATGCATCATTATGATGACATGGCATCGCCACTCACACGCCATGTGTGTGAATGGTATGCAATTTTTTACAGCACAGGAAATCGTCTCATGTTTCGATTTTTTTGTACATTTTTATAAAAAATGAGTGTGTTCGATTTTTTTGTGTTTTTACTTCCCGTAAAATTTAGGAGGGGAGTAAACTAAGTAAAAGTGACGTAATTGAGACTTTTTGACACGTGACAATATAACGTCACTCATGTTTAGTTGCACTTTCTTTTCCACTTTTGAACATGGCCATCATGAAAGTCTTGAGAGTGGTCCTTCCAAGAGAAAAATGGCGAATAAATGTTACTTTAGATTGAAGTGGTGGCCGTTTTATCCGTTTACTACGACTTGTCATCACAATCGTCATGCCCTCGTCTTCTAGGTGGTCGGTGGTCTTGATGGCAAAGTAAATGGGATGACATCCCCTCCTCGTCCGCTGGAATGTAGACAAATGAACAATTGTCATCATCCCCCAACTCATGAATCCAGTGTCCAACCATCCCAGCCTATCTGCTCAATTGTCTTGCCCATTCCATTTCATTGTCCCAAAAGAGAAGGAGGAATCTCAACCGTTTATATAAATATGTACAAGTGTAGTCGTGTTCGTGTAATGTTATGTAATACCGCAAAACCATGTCGGACGACATATTCTTCCTCTCTCTATCTCTGCACACACACTTTATTGAGACATTTAGGTTTACGACTTCATAATAGATTGCGTCAATTGTCCGCAAATTCCTAGGGCAGACCGATATAGGTACATTCCATCAAGACGAGGTATTTCTAAAATTTCAAAATGCAGCCATAATTTCGTATGGATTTTTGCTTACCACGAAATACAACTTACTTTATCGATGTACATATATCTCGCGACGAGTATAGTTTTAACAAGGACAAAATTCTAAGCAGTCGAGATTTCTTATTATTTTACAGCCATGCATGTCGTGGCACACAACACACGCAAAATGCACTTCTCTCTGTCTTTCCAGTAATAAAACAGGAACCAAATAAAATGTTGTATTGCATTTCCTACCGACCGACCAGAACAACTTTGCTGTGTACGCACTGGGACATAAAATAAGGGAGAAACTTGTAGTGGGCGAAATAAATTACCCTTCTTCTTCTTCTAGAACCCCAGGAAAGATCCATTCCTTCATTTCATATTAAGCACTGCCATGCCAGATTGGTAGGAGAAAAGAAAAGCGATATGGTACCTGCACCCTACGACACATACGTATTTATGTATGTGCATACATATGTAGGTATGTATTTATATTGTTGTGCAGTGTGTGCGTGTATGTATGCTTGGTTAGGTGTCATTCCGTTTTACAACCAGAGTAAAAAAATTCATTACTTTTGTACTTGCCAAGTTGGTTAGTAAAAGAGTGAAAGTTGGGAAATTAGTAGGAGAGAAAATTACTCTCTTTTGTCTTTGTGAGAATTAAGGGTGGTCGTGGTGGTGAAAATGGAAATAAGCTCACTGTCAGAAGAAGAAGAGTGAACGAATGTTGAAAAATTTTGTGCGAGGCGATGATGCCGAAAAAGAAATAATTTTGTTTTGGAGTAGAAAAATAATGGAAATAAAAATGGAAATAAAATGGAAATCTATGAACTCATAAGTAGAAAGATGCCACCAACCAGTATTATAACTTATAAGTTACTTAACTTCCTTTTAAATTATTTCTTACATAACTATTTATTATCACTGAATTATGTAATCATCGGATCAAAAGAATTGCGTAACTTCGAAATATGTATGTATTCAAATAAAACCACGAATAAAATAATTTCTAATAATTTTAAATACTTTTTATGTAACAACCTTTTTTGATTCGTAAATTTATGTAACCTTTTTTATATTCGTAAATTGAATTAAAATTCTGCCCCTTCCCATTTCCTCACTAATTTGCACCAAAGATTTCAATATTCTAATATAATAACTCGTAAATACAACCTTTCCCCTTCTTTTCTCCACCATTTCTCCCTTCTCTTATCTTTCTCCCACGAGTAACAAAATTTCCCAAGTCCAGTTATACATACATAGTTATGGGACACGTTTATGGTCTCTCATGATAAAAACAGCCCAGTAACAGCAACTCTAAAACGCGTTACGAGCCATTAACCAATTTTTACGCAAGAAAGTAAAAAGTCGAACCATATATACAAGGCACACGCTTGTTGTAAAAAAGAAAATCGCACAATGAACGAAACCCACCTTGTTTGTGATTCAATGCGTTTTTAAATTCTTTTGAGGTTGCTTTCCTCCCTCGCGCGTATGGGAAAAGCAATCCCTCTAATTTGGCTTTGAATGAATAGCTTCACATTTTTATTTCATCGCTTTCCTTTCATTCCTTGCCTTATCAAACTCGGTGGCAGTGACAGCAATAAAAATTTTCATGATTAACGAGCTCCCGATACGTAACAACATCGTCATAAATGCCACATTATTTAACATCCTATTACAATTTTGGCATGGCACAAAGGTTTCGGGAAGTTTAAGGTTTTTTTGTAATTTGCAATTATTTATGCAGAAAAGGTGAGTTATAATAATTGAGTAACAGCAAGTCTGATGTTACGTTGATATCATATACAAATCGAATTTTGCAAATGAAAATTGTGAAATTTTTACTTTCTCCACGTTCCATTTAAATTTTTAATAAATTTTAAACCTCACAATACGCACTTAATCTGAAAAACTCCTTTCATTTTTTGGAAACTTTTTGATTTCAAGAATAACCCTTTACCTAATTTATTATGAATTGCTCCCCTTCGTTACTTTGTTCTTTTTTCTACGTTAAGAGAGAAAGTCAATTTTGTCATCACCGGAATTGGAGGGCGAGATGGATGAAAAGGACCCTCATCCATTTATCAATACGACGGAAGCAGGAAGCCAATAAGAAAATCAGAACCCTTTTCACCCCCGATTTGAATGGTTGTTGATGCAAAATAAAATACAAAATCAAAGGAAATCCACATTCAGTGAGAGACAAAGCATGTCATGAATAGGAACCAAACCACTACTGTTTGTTCTTTTGAGTTAATTTCCTTTAAAATATCGACCCCATACCTTTCAGAATATACTTAAGTTGTGTGTCTAAAGGTCATCATAATTAAGAGACCGCACATTATAGCAACATTCTTAAACGTATTTTACCTCCTCGTTTTATCTCAGTCGTCCAAGGTGAAGTTGAACCGTAATTGAATTTACTCTGCCAATCTACAATCTTTGAAAAATTCTAAATTAAACAGGACGGAATTGAAAAGCAAAATGAAGAAGAAATGAATGTTGTTGGCACTTGTTGGCACGCACGAATAATAAGAAGAAAAGGTGAAAAAGGTATGTATAAGATGAATATTGGACATGCACTCTTGCCTATAAAAATGTCGATGTCGCCGTATATACCACCACCACTTGGTCTTGATATCATTTCCCATAATTTATTATATACAGACGACGCCTAGCTTGCCTCCACTTCCCATCATAAAATACTCCACGTTTTTGGTGACTCTTCTTCCGTATTGTGCTGGGTGTGCACTAATAGGAGAAAGTGGTGGTATTCGTTTTCCTGAGTGTGTTGAATGAGTCCCATCTCGCACCTTTATTAAAATTTTGATCTCTCCTTGCAACCAAGCGACTTAATACAATTTCCCCCAAAAACCATGCATGCATTCCGGTTATGAAGAAGAAATCCGACGTATGAATTCACAAATTTATCTCTCTCTCCTCCTCGTGCCAGAGCACTATTTGCAGAGAAAGCAGTAAACGAATGAATGAACCAGGCGAGTCATTCAGGATACGTTTTGAGTGAAAGTTGCTGCTTCGTCGGTTGGTGGGGCACATCTGTCACCAAGGGTAAGCTAAGAGCTAAAATACCACTTTCCTTGTTCACCTTCCAAATTAAAATGAAAACCAGAATTTTCCAGGAAGTAGGAAATGAAATGAATAAATCTTGAAAATTTTGGATTTTAATTTTCCCATGAATTCGTACTTACATTTCTTGTTCAACTTTAAATAAGAAAGTTGAAAGCAATATTTTTTTTCTATTTGCCTCATACTTTATGAAGAAGAAAGCTTCAATATAATCGATAATTTTGTTAGTCTGGGCAAGCAAGTTCCCTGTTGTGTTCTAGTCTCTCATCATCATCATCATCATCAACAGAAGCAACCATCCATTACCATTACTTTGAAAAGTACATAATAATGCTGGTGCTGCTGCTGCTGCGAGTCCGCACCCACCACCACCATTAAAGTACAAAGACCGGTGGAATTCTGAAAACAAAGGGAATGAAACATGGGAAAATGCAAAAAGAAAGAAAGGGATGGATGAATAAGAAGAACACACAGCCGACAACCATCCGGTTCCTTCAACTCGACGACGAAACAGCAGTTCAACTTTTAAAGGAGAAAAAAAATCAACCGCATTCGTATTCTAGATAAGAAAAAAAGTGAGCATTGGGATCGTAAAGTGGTAAAAAAAGAAACAAAAAACAAAAAAGAGAGACTAATGGAGCTGGATGGATGTGTAATGTATGAGAGTAAAATAAGTAAGAAAGTAGTGTCGAATCTGGTACACAAATTCCATCAAGATGATCGAGTGGTTGGTTTGGTAGGAGTAGGGCGGCCATCAATATTAGTGAATCTTGCTAAAAACGGAATGCCTAAAATTCCAGCCACGTGCGACTAATAATGTTCTGTTTTCCTTTGATAATTAACCCCAAAAATATTTATTAGACACACTTCACGAATAAACGAAATTCTATGTGTTTGTATTATTATTATTCTGTCAAATTGGAAATCCACTCACTTTCATCAAACTTTCCACTCTTCTTACTTACACAATACCACTCATCGAAATCCATCCTGCTCCCAGCATTTTTTTCGCATCCAACCATCCAATCCACCCATCCACTTTCTCCCCCAGAGTTGAATACTTTCTCGTATTCAGGCTTTTTTTTATTAAAGTAAAACAACTTTTGATCGTAGGGAACGTAAAATTGAGTGTAAAGCGGTGTTTGGTTGATGGTGTACAGAAGGATGGTTGGTGAAGATTGCATTGGTTGGAATCGAATTTCTCGGTGGTACTACATACATATTATTACGAAACATTTGGTTTCAGTCATATGTAGATAATGTTAGGTTTCACTATAAATATCGCAAAAATTTATTATTTTCCCTTCAATAAAACAAATGCGAACGACGCGAATCCACCTAAAACATAAAATTGTTATTCGCAATTTATTTGCCAAAAACGGCATCTAAATCTACCAAATTTTCTTCTTACCACAATTAAATAAACTTATTCGCAATTTATTTTATATTTGCCAAATACGGCATTTAAATCTACCAAATTTTCTTCTTACTACAATTAAATAAACTGTTAATTAACCAATTACAAAAATAGATTTTATTCAACCTTCACCTTATCGAATCATCGGTCAAATTCACTAATTAGTTTTGGCATGTAGAATAATCTTTTTATTCACAATAATCTCTACCTAAATACTAAGCCTTCGTGGTTACATACATATGTGCACACTTGTAGATAAATACATGTCTCATATTTATCCTCTTTTCTGTCTGCCTACCTTCAATAAATCACCGTATCCGTCCATACATACATACACCTAGCTTCGCAAATTAATCCTAAACTGATTCGTGGAGGACTGATTATAATGGTTCGAGCACCGTCTGCACCCTGCCTGATGAAAGTCCTCTTCTCGCCGGTCGGACCGAAAAGATTTGGTTAGTTTCGTTTCCGTCATGCTTGGCTTGGAAGGATGGATCTCTGTGTCTTCTCGTTTTAATTAAATTATTCATCCTGGACCTTCCATCTGAGAGACGGAATAAATTATTCTCCTCCTCGCCCTGCTTGCCCTACTTGATTTCCCCTTTCTTCTCATCTGTCAGAGAGATCAAACCGAGAGGAGTCAGTTCAGCAGACCAACAAAGGACGAGAGGAACGCTGGATGAGATTCTTCTTCGCTGTGAGTGAAGTGAAAGCAGGAGAAGAAGAGTGAAAGCAAGGAAGGAAGGAGGAAGATGACTTATTTGGTTCTGGGACGGTTTACACTTTCCGCGAGGAGTCAAGGGAATGGTGTGCATGATGATGGCACTAATTGCTTTAAAGATGCCAAGTTTGTGTGTTAGATTGCTTTTTGAGGAATAACAGTTCTCTATTACGGGAGGTGCAGGTTGAGATGCAGTTTTGTTTATTTTTGGGTAATTTTGGTGTTTAATTTGTAATATTTTTATTTGTACATATCTTAAAAATTGGATACACAGTTGTTGACAAACTATTTATTTATGCATTCTGTAAAGCATCCTGGACATTTTTTTGGTAATTTTATTAAACATTTTTAGTTATATTTTAGCTTCGGCTTCGAAACATACCATTTTTTTGATTTTTTTACACAAATGTACAACATGAGATTAGAATCTGTAAGACATTCACACTTTCTTCACCCAATTTCCTGCAAGGCTAAATTGTCCTGTTGTTTCTATATCTCTATTATTTGGACTTTCTCCTCTCGTTTTTGTCCTCCCCCACAATTTGAAACACCAAAACCCATAAAACGAAGATGTTGTTCTGCTTCGTAGATATCCTACCAGGCAACGGGCTGGATACCCACTCCATTCCGTTCTCACAACCCATTTGAATCAGATTGTGTCATAAAATTGGGCAAATTCCACCTCCACCCTCGCATCCTTGTCCCTTCTTCTTTTTAATAATATCGTCACTCTCCTGGACGCTCTCACTTTCCAACTCTTTAGGGATGTCGGACTTGAACAAAATTGTGCTGAGTGTCCACTCCATTCTGCCATCAAGTATAATAAGAACAAAGGTCAGATGTGTCCCGGGACATTAAGCAGGCAGCAAGGGGAAAGTAAGTGGACATTCGTAACTGGACCCAATTCGGCCGTGTCCAGCTTTTTTGAGACGACGACGAAGTTTGTGTTTTTTTTTTACTTCTTCTTTGGCATCCTGACAACTCCATCTCGTCCTCAGTGCAGTCCAGGAAGAGTAAAATTGCCCATTCTTGAAAAAAGTCGACCAACAACATCAGCAAAATGGGCGAGTGAAAGTACTACTTGTGCCAAAAAATGCAAAAAAAGAAAGAATCTTAGGCCAAAATCGCATCGTTAAAATCAGTTTATTTTTTGTATAAAACCATCTTATCCACTATTTCTTATCGAATTATAATGTTTTACAAGGTACGGTTCTTACTTAACAATAAGTATTTACTTATGTATACATATAACGGGTTACATAATTTCTAACTTTCTATTATGTATCAAGGTGTGATGTTTGGACTAATTAGGAAAATTCGATACATAAAATAAATTTTATAGTTGATATTAATAGCTCCTCAACTTTTAGCCAGGGTGGCGACTTTTCATAATTATTCTTGTGTAGACTAGTTTTTGTGGATGCTTGATTTTGATTCGCCTCATTACTTATCCCGACTGGCAAAAGTTAGGCAAAGTTTTGTAATAAAGAAAACTTTGATTTTGTTGTTCTTTCTTTATGACTGAGTGGGTTTTTGTATCGGAGTAAAAATTGAAAAGGAAAGGTTTTAATTAGAGAGAGGAAGAGAAGAGAAAGTGGATAAAAACAAATGTCAAATTTTGAAAGGTTTGTTCTCTTTGTAAGCTAAAATTTGAAAACGAAAATATGCCGCATATTTATTTTATGTTTTATTTATTCTCTAGTTCTTGTCGTAGCCGTCGTCTTTTATTGCTTTGGAATAATATGGAAGTTTTATTATTTACTGTTGTCCAGCCAGACTGGGTTGGAGCAGTTTGTCTCAATTTTTTAAAACTGCCCAGAAAGGTTGATTTGATGGAAAGCGAAAAGGAATTTAAATATCTTGCCGGACTGGATGGAAAGCGGGGAAAGTATTCCTGAAAAATACGGCGACTTTCACTAAAAAGACGCAACTTTCTCTGTTTCTTCAGTCTCGATCTTACATAATCTAAATATCTACTCGTTCATTCGTATCCATCCGCTTCAAAAATGTTTCATTTTTTTCTCCAAGTTTTAGCAACAAATTGATTTTGTTTTACGCGTTTTCTGACAAACTTCCTCCTTTCTCCTACTCAATTTTACCCACTCGACGTCGACGACGACGACTGACCGGCCATCGTTTTTTGCCATGTTTTTCCTCTCTCTCTCCAAGAAAACGAGAAACTTTCACCAACCATCTGACACTGTTGTAAAGAAGAAGAAAGAAAGAAACATCTGTGATGTTCGCAAGTCATTAGTCAACAATTTCGTGGGAATTGGGCACCAGAATTGAGACGTTTATAAATATATGTAAGTAAGCCTGGCCGTCGAGTACGTACTCCACCAGGCTAAACAAATGGCTCTTAATTTAACGACTTGATCACACACACTTATCTTATCTTAAGTAGCATAGCAGTATCATAGCGTATCATATTTAACACCACTGTCACCTCTCTCTAGACAAGAACACTCGGAACTTGTCGATCCGCTCCTCTGGTCGAGAAACTGGTCGAGGATCCACCAAAGTGACCATTTTCACGAAGTGTGTTATGTTTTGAGGAGGACTTTCTATTACTTTTAGTCCCTGCAGGGCCACCCCCATTGTTATACTGGTTATAGTGGTATTGGGGTGGCTGGGGACGACCTGCTTGGTGCTGGTGGAGGTCGTGATGACGCTCATTCTCGTCAGAATCATCGTCCTCATCGTCATAATCGTAATGACCAAGGGCAGCGTGGTGGTGGTGATTATTGTGGCGTTGGAGGTGCAAGTCGAGTGGACTTGTGTACTCGTTGCCCCCATCGAGAAAATTGTTGTGGATGGATTTTGACGGTTTGGGGTTGAATGTGTAGTTATAATTGTACGGGGGCAAGGGTGGGAGTGGTTGGTTGGGTTTGCTAAGAGTGCCACCACTGAGGTTGGCGTGACGAAGGGTGTGGTGGTGGTATGCTCCATCCTCCGTGAAGGGGATGAGCCCATTGGGGGCATAGTATGATTGGGGGGCTACGTGTTGTGGGGTGGAATTGTCGGCGGAAAAGAATAATTTTCCACTGGGGCTTTGTTGCACCTGAAATAATTATGCAGATATTCGTTAAGTTTCTGACGTGCATATCTCTGAATTTTTGCTGAAAATTTCAAAAAATTACAAACAAAAACATATTATCCTGCTCACCTGAACTCCAATGAAATGATTCCTCTCCTGCATCAGAGTCTGTTGTGGAGTTTGTTGCCCATTCGCCATATTATTTCCGTCTCTCCCCCGATAACCCTCAAATAACCGGTCCGCCTTGTCCAAATCGAGCCCCTTTTCCTCCCCACCAAAACAAGGACAGCTTTTTCCACAAAATGTGACCGTGTCGCTCCCTTGGGCCGACTTTCTCTTTCCTTTACACGGGGGCCAACATCCCCCACAACACATACACAGCCTTTTGCACTTTCCCCCCATCGTGGTAGTACTCCTACCCGAAAAGCAGCACATTTTCACCCCCACCACGAGAAAAATCAGGCTCAGGATGGACGCTGCGATGACAATCACCATAATTTGGAAGTGATCCTCACTGCTGAAACAGCCCGAAAAGTCCGACGCTTTCAAGTCCTTGACTAGAATCCCCGTCAGAGAAGGAGGACCTTGACATCGCACCATGGACAAGTAAAAGGGAGACTTTTTCCGCCCTCCTCCTTGTCCACTTTTCCTCCCAGATTGATCCACATACGGCTGTTGGGCATGATTCGAGAGATTGCTGGGGGATAAAATTGATGGCCTGAGCAGGTAACTGGTCTCCGGTTGAGTAACGATAACGTCTCCATCTTCATATCCCTCGGTTTGGGTGTAATGTTGCAGATATTGAAACAACTGGTAAGCTGAGCAGTTACCTGTAATAAATAAATTACAATCATGATTTAAATTCTCTCGCTAAAAAAGCATCCATCATTAAAAAAACAAATCTTAAATGCAAATTCGTCAAATTTCGCTTACAATCGATCGGATTTCCAGAAATATCCAACGCCCTTGCCGCCGGGTCGGCAACGTCTTGCACAAGATTTGAAGGCACCACCTCAATGTGGGCATATCTTATCGAAAACCGCTGTAAGTTGGGCTTATTTGCGAGCAAAGTGCCACTAAATTCGGTCAAGTTGGGAAGATAATCCGCCTCCAGGCTGACAAGGTTGAACTGTTCGGATAAGCTGTCGGGATGGAAGGCCTCCAGCGCGGGGTTGTCGTTCAGTCGGAGGAACTGGATGTTGTGCAGGGGTCGAAAAGCGGTGGCCGGAATGGTGGAGGACAATCGGTTGGAAGACAAGTCTAGCGATCTGAGCGACGTGACCAGACCGAGCGGGGTGGAGGGAACCCTGCCCAACCGATTTTGGGACAGATTGACCCTCTCCAGGGCTGGCAGGGAGGTAAAAGCACGGTCCTCCAGGGTATGAATGTAGTTGCAACAGAGGTTTAATTCCTTCAGGGAGGAGAACACGAGGAGGGAATTATCCTTCACTCGAGTCAATTGGTTCGATGAGACGTCGAGGATTTGGACGCTGGGCAGTGTCCAGGGAACTGATCCGTTAGTGGTGGAAGTGATAACCGATGACAAGGTGGGACTGGGCTCGATTACCTGATATGTAATTCGTGAAAATTACACATTTGTTTTTAGAAAATGTGACATCACAAAAAAATCCTTTAAATCACATTCGCTCACCTGAATGAAATTATACTGGACACTAATCCTCTCAAGTTTCGTAAGTCCTTTGAACAAATCCCAATCAATAAATTCTAATCGATTCCGATCCAACACGATTTCCTTGATGTTTCTCAAACTTGAGAAAATATCCTTCTCCAATCGTTCAACCTGGTTCCCACTGACGTCCAAATGGGTGAGGGTTGAAAGCCCTTGGAACACCCCAGATTCCAGAACTTTCACCTGGTTGTAGGATGAATTGAGGGTTTCGAGGGCACGGAGCGATTCAAAATTTCCCTTCCCCAGGGACACTAATTGATTCCCGGAAATGTCAAGGTGAACCAGCTCCTGGTAGAATTGGAGCGAGAGTGTGATGTCCTTAATCTGATTGTGAGACAGGGACAAGGATTTGATCTGAGGATTCAAGAAAATGGGAACCACTCTCAAATTCGAGGAGGAATGACATCGGACACTCAGCGAGGTGTCGTTACACCCACAATACTGGGGACAGAAGGAGGACGACTTGGTAAAGTGGAGGGTAAGGAGGAGAAGAATGACAAAGTTCCGGCTCCCCCTTCTCGTCATCCTGCTGCTGTTTTCTCTCTGAAAGAACACAGACAAAATCAGATATTAGTTTTGCTTTGCTTCTGTTTTCTTTGAAAATAAACCATTTTTCCGAAACATGACAGCTTTTTATCGTCTCAAGCTATGTGAAGAAATGGATCATCGAGGCGAGGCGGTGACATGGAAAAACATTGCTAAAAAGCTTTTAACCACTATTTTCGCTCCGGTTTTGTCATGTCGTGTGGGTGTGACACTTTCCTAATGTTTACGTAATGTGATTGTGCTCTCTTATTATTTTTGAGAATGTCACTGATGTCAGGAACCCATCCATCCATCCATTTATCATTATACGAGGCAATTTCTCGGTTCAATGTATGGCTCGTTTAATCAATTTTGCGCAAATGGCACAGGTCAAGCAATCCAAAAACGGAAACTGTTCCACCACTCACGCCAGCCTTCGTCCTCCTCATGAAAATATAATTTGCGAATTATTCTTGTGAAAAGAGATAGTTTGTTCAGTCAGTCAGTCAATCAGTCACTTACATATTTTAACTAGTAGTGGAATGAATAAGTGGCAGCATGCATGTCAAGACGAGAAGAGACATCTCATTACTTTTTCACAATTCCCTAAAGATATGTGTACGGATTACACGGGTAAAACGTCGACTCTCTCTCAGACGACGTCCTTCTGATAAGCCACGTCACTTACCAGCCAGCCAAGCCAACTAACCAAAGGTAGAGTCAACTTGGGAGAGAAAGTTGTCTTTAAAAGACAAAAAAAGTACACGCTCTTCCTCTCATTTCCTTTCCATCTACTTTACAAAGCAACGTTTAACAAGCTAAATATCTATCACGTAAAATTGTGAAATGCAAAATTTTCTCGGATTTGTAGAGAGAGAAAAATTCTGCAACTTTTTCCCCTAGAAAGTTAGGTATATTTTAAACATATCAGTATTTCTATGCTACTCGGAGGGCTAAAGAATAATGGATGATGGATCACTTTTTACTCTTAGCAAGGATACTAGACCAAGAAGGAGAAAAACGGGTTATTTTCCCTACATAGTAGTAGTGCTTTCCTCCTTTCCATGTAATATTTACACTCAGTCAGCCACCAACCAAACCCACTTTCCAGACTTTTGACTCACTTTCACTCTCCAAATTGGACTTTAAGCACTTTCTCCTCAAAAGTTGGGCAACTCATTACAATTCATCAACATCCAGGTCAAAATGTCTCATTGGCCAGGTTCCTCTCAAGTTTGCTCTTTTTTGCGTGAAATGACTTGTTTAGTTGGTAATTTACATTCAGAAAGAAGACACATGATGATGATGATGAAACTAGTTTTAACTCTGCCAAGATAAACTTTTTCTAGTTTTGTATCAAATATCACGATAGTTAAGTAAGTAGATTTTGACAGTGCAGAGAAGAGGAGTAAACGCTTATCTACATGTCAAGTTTGCAAATTCATCACAATTACGTAGTAAAGTTTTTGTTGCATAAATAATCCAGTGGATTCTCCAGCATTTCGTTTTTTTTACTGAAACTGGGAAGTTTTAGCGAGAAGGAATATCTATGCAGTGAAATCTTGCATGGATTTATTTGTTTTTGTCCTGCTTTGTTTAACTTAATTCGACCACTAAGTAAACAGCGAGGGCCTACAAAGTGGACGATATCTCACACCATCGCCTGGGTCGTTGTAAAGATAAATGATCCTCTAAGCCGCTCTCTACTCGTGCCCTTAATCCTTCCAAGTAACAGTGTCACTGGAACCTCATTAATTACCCTGCACGACAAAGTTCTCACCCCGTTTATCCGGGTAGGACGACACCAACCCGGTTTAAATTCGGGATTGTTATGCATTAATTCAGCTGACCCATAAGAGCATCCAGCTATTTATTCTACTTTTTACGTCATGGTGGATAGATATATAAATTCTGCTCCAATTCTGCATGGACTTGACCATTAATCACGAAGCTAAAAGGAGCAGTAAATATTAGTTTGGGGGATGTGAAATGTGCCACTATCTGGAGTGAATTATGGAAATGCATAATTTTGCTGTGGTGGGTTATGTAGGTCTGCAGGGAATATATCGTTATTGCAGATTATGGTTAAAACGGGACACTTCATGCGTATTTCGACATTGCAGGTTTGCAATAAATGATGGATACGTACATATATTTCAGCACGCTTGAAGCATATTTAAATTTTCAATGTATTAAACTGGTGAGGTAGTATGATGTGAATGTCCAGTCTATTTACCTTCATCATGAATAACTGCATCAAAAGGCACTTCAGTTGAACTGATGGACATATTTTGTCGAGTAAATGTTGCCCTTTGGAAAAAGGAAGAAGTATCAGCCTTGAAAAGTGACATTCTTTTGTTCTTCATTCTAAAAGTGGGTTTGCATGAAGGTTAACCACGGATGCATATTTTAAAGTTCTTCAGTATGCATGCAGCATCTAAACGGTGTGGTAACCTTACCGTCTCAAACCCCAAAAATGTGTTTAACAGGACGAGAAGAGCCAGAGAAACTTGAGCCACAAGAACTTTTAGGGTATCCGGAATTGGATGAATTGGTAGGTTATTTTCATGTGAATTCTATTTTCCCATGCTTTTTATTTAGATGTGTGAGGAATTCACTTGGTAAGTTTTGGATAATAAGTCCGAAAGATTGGCCAGTCGCCTTTGTAAGCGCAAGTAAAAAACCTAAATCTCTTCGCCTCAAAATAATTTTTTATATAAAATTAGCCAGAACAACCCAGAACAACCCAACAACCCAGAGCTGCCGAGGAAATGATCGACGAGGGGGACGCGCACATGATTCTCTTTTTGCGTAAGTACTCAATTTAACGATAAGAAAATATGCAATTAAAAAAATATTTAAAAATACAATTATTACATATTATAGGAGTAAATCTAATGACAGCGGGTTATCTGCTCACAGATTGTCAGTTGGCGTTCGAGACAGGAATTCAGCTATGGAAGGTACATATATTTATATTAATATCGATATCAATACAACAGGCAATGTCACTTTCGCTATGATACAACTTTTAGCAATTGACGACACAAAGTACGACGATAATGAAATCAAGAAATTGTACACGGAAAATGAAACCCAAAAATTAAAGGAACTTTTCGAAGAGAGGAACACAAATGATCAAAGGAGAAGTGAGATTATTTACTACAACGTATATGCAAATTGTATGCATGTCTGTACTAATTTTCTACAATAATTCTTAGGTTCCACCGTTGCTGGTTGTCTAACAAGGGACACTCACGACCTGTCGTTTGAGTCCAGGGTACCCACTATGTTTTTTAGAATCTACTAGGACCCCAGATGAAGGATTCATTCATATTTCTGTGTAAAACTCATATTTGGCGCCATGGCGTGGCGCCAAATTCGCCAAATTTGATGGTTTTTCATTTTAAAACCGCCGTAACTTTTGAAATCCTGGACGGATTTTCAAAATTTTTGGCAAAAATCATGACAAGGAGTTCAACTTTCGTATTCTATGAAATTTTTTCCAAAATTGTCGCTTTTAACTTTTCGCAAAATTTCGAAATTTCGGGTTCGTCGAAAAAATGCTAAAAATATCTCAAAAATTAAAATTTTGTTATTTTTATTTTTTTCTCTAAAATTTCGACTTTTCTGATCATTTTAAGCATAAAATTTTAAAAATCCGACATAAACTGCAAAAGTTATGGGGGTTTGAAATTGGTCGAAAATGCAAATTTTTAAGTTTGGCGCCACGCCATGGCGCCAAATATGAGTTTTACACGGAAATATGAATGGATCCTTCATCTGGGGTCCTAGTAGATTCTGAAAAACATAGTGGGTACCCTGGACTCAAACGACAGGTCGTGAGTGTCCCTTGTAAGAACTATTGAGAGGAAAATGACGCTTGAAAGTTTGAATGCTGAGTACACTCGGCTTATTGAAGTGTTCGAGAAAAAATAATTATCACAAATTTTCAATAACTTCCACCACATTAAAATGGCAAAATTAGATTAAAATAAATTGCCCAATCTATATTTCTGAATGACAAAAAGATTAATCTTTTCATGGGGTTATGTACATGCATTTACGTAAATAGTTATTAACCCAAACCCATAATATTCCCAATTCCCACTATTTATTAGCACATTTATTTACCCTGCTTTACAACAAACACCAAACTTTGGTCTCCCCCTCGGGACTTTATACCTTCCAATAACGCTGTGTAGTAAATGTCACAATGAATTTAGAAAATTAGCAATTTCTCCCTTCGCCAATATGCCCATGCCCATCCACGCAAGCAAACCGGGCAAACTCATTCACCAGAAAGTGGGACAATTATTAGCTGTTACTTATTATATTTTAGTTCGGAAACCGAGTTGTTTGGCAAATATAAGTTGTTAGTTACAGGTCCGGAGAGAAAACTAATTTCATTTCACCTGGTCTTTGCCTGGTTGGCTATGCTTCGTACTATTTACTTATATACCTCATTACATTGCACCACAGACCCCACTTCAAACTCGTAAATAAATTGGATCTCTGTGATCGTTCGGGTGTGTGAATTAAATTGACGTGAGTTTCACTTCATGGTGGCTTTGTGAAAGTTACCTTGTGCTATTTTGCAGGGAAGAAATATAATTCGACATCCCGATCACAACACGTGCAAGCAAAGCTGGTAACTTATATGTTGCGGTACTTTAACTACATTTCTATATTTAGTGAGGTGGATACATACTAAATTTGACTTCGAAAATACATATTTTCTGCTAATTATCACCTCGTGGAGTCGATTTCATTTAAAAAAATACTCCGTCCATCCTTCCACCTTAGACTTTCACTTTACGTCAATAAGATACCCATGCAACATTTCGGACAAGAAGCAACAGACGGGCCACCAAGTTCGTAGGGAAAGGAAACCAGTCTATTTTTTCGTGTTTTTTCTCATACTACTTTCTTCTCCTTCAAGTGGAAGTGTCTGCTCAAGTGTCGATCAGTTCTGTTGGGAATTTCCAATTTTACTCTGCCAGCCAAACCAACCACCAGATCCAGTCAACACTTCTCTAGACAACAAGGAGTTGTATAGTATTCTCGAAAAAAATACGAGAAATGCTTCTCTCTCTGATACCAGGGAAGAAAATAAATATACGACTTTTTACTTTATTCCGCATACTATCCATCCACCAACCAGCCAAGTGACGCACATATGTTCATATACGTATGACAGACCCGCGTCTATACGACTGTTTGGTTCTATCAAGCTCAAACTTTCACCCGAATCGGATGTGAAGCTGAGAAAAAGAAAGTCAACATGGCAAACGAAATACTTCTTCTCCTGGGCTGAAAATGGACTCAAATTGACTGGACATCTACGAAAAAAGTCAGAGAGAGAGAGAGAAAAAAGTGACCTGTGTGTGTCCCTGCCTGGTGGGACTTGTCTTATCAAATTCTTTACATTCTTATAAGACCAGCCATTTTTATCAATTTAACCGGGACATGCTTGGGAATGGTGTGCCAATATTTTTTTGCAAAAAAAAACACCACTGACTTTTAGGAAGGGTGACGTACATAGAATTGTACTTATGAACGAAGCCAGTACATATTGTCCCAGTTAATGGAGTCTCGCACTACTTGGAATGGAAGTGTCTCGCATCCCAACCAAGTAATTCCAACCTTGAATTACGATCACTTCTTCTTCTTCTTCTCCTCCACTTTCCTAAAAACTTTCGCGAAAACTTGATTCAGTAGAGAAACCTTGTGACCTGGCCTAAACCACCACCTCCTCCTCCTCCAGGCGAAGATAAGAAAGTCTTCCTCTTGACCACATATGTTTCTCATCGCTCTCTTTACCAACCACATCCTCTGCAAACTGTGTGTATCTGTTGCAGCAAAAACTTAGAAATGCACCTAGACTTCTCGACCACATGTACCACCACCGAGTAGTCCGTAACTTATCTAAAATTCGCAAACCTCTTCCAAAATTCTTGGATGGGATGGCCAAATAAGTAAGTCTTGGGTGCAAGAACGGGTGACCTACTTTACTGCAGAAACAAAAGCGTCGTGGTGGTGGTGGTAAGCATATTCTTCTTCTGAGACAAGAGAGATCCGAGATTTCCTTTTGTAACTCTCTCGAGATACTTATCTTCTCAGAGAAGAGAAGACAACGCACCAGGAAAGAGATGGTCCTTGTACAAGTGCGATGACATCCGACATTGTTCTTCTTTCTTTATTGTAAATTCCACCCTAATTCTAATAAAGTCTACCTCTCAATCTTCTTATGTATGACCCACCCCCCGTCCACCCATGTGTTCTGCTTATCTGCACAATCTCATATCCTGTTACGTAAGATAACGTGTTATACAGCTGCAATGCAACACTGCTGCGATATCTACTTTTACTGTTTTAGGTACTTCTCCCCTGCTTCTTGGGGACCGGGTGTGTATGATTATGTAGAACGGAAAATCGGCAAATCCCGAGAAAGGAGTAGCGGACAAGATACGTTTTTACTGGCACACTTTATTTTACGAGATGCAATGTGCTTCTCTCCTCCTCCTCCTACTTCTTCTTCATCTTGGTTTGTTATGTTTATCTTTACGGCTGCATGTGGAATACTGATATCATTAGGGATACAAAAGCACATATATTGTATGGTGTGACTGGGTCGATGATACGACATCAACGGTCATGGAGAAAGTGAAAGTATGAAAGGTTTGAATCTACACGATGAAATTCTGGAAGTCTGAATGGAACTCTGCAGTACGTAATAATGGATGATGATGGCGACAGGGACATATTGTTGGCGTAGAATTGTGGCATGGTTTACTTTTTCCACCTTCAAGATTTTGTGTCATGATTTTTTTTGCACGAATTTACAAGTAACCTTTTTTAGTATTTGTAAAATGTAAAAGTTTCCAATTTTTACGATTGGAATATAACTTGAGCTAATTTATAAATTGAAATAATAACTTAAATTTGACAACAAGCCATTTCTTTCTCCCAACTTTGTTTAACATAACAAAAAAACAAAGGGTTTTTACTATCATTTTCTCTTTTTATGCTTCCTCAGCAGAGTCGAAAACTGTATAAAATTCATAATAAAATAATACAGTTCCAAGCTACATAGAATCCCATCCCGCATGACATTACGTTCCTCCCTTGGAATTCAGTTTCTCATATAAATTCAGCAAACTTTCCTTAATCCCTACTTTCAAGTCTTTTCAAAGACTTGGTGGAATTTTGGCAAGGGTCACTTTCACTAAAGTTTTACACTCATTGCTCACTCACGGACTATGTTTATACCAAAATTTTAAATCACTTGGGCCCCAAATATAGCGAGGAAAAAATTTCGACGGCGTGTGCATACCATGTTCCACGAAAAAGTTGAGTAAACAAGATTTCCTGTATTTTTTTATTGCCAAGCATGACGATAACATTGATATGATGAGATGCTTTCTCCAGAAATAAGTTGAAATTTGCTCATGTCTTCCTTCCTCCGAGGTCTCAGTTGCGAGGAGTGTGATGGTTCAAATGAAATGTTTTATGGAGAAATGGACCACCTGCTGTATTTCTGCAACGTGTTTATTTCGCTGCTGGAGATCACGTCATTATTATTAAGTTTATGGGAGTGCTTGCATTCCTTATACATAATATTATTGAGCAAGATATTTAAGAAGGATGGATGATAGACAGATGCATAATAATGAGCAAAAGAGGATTTCCAAGAGAAACAAAAAATGAAATGTTAAACGAAATTGGTTCGATATTCGGCTAAAAATACAGGAATAATTTTTTTCGTAATTTTGAAGTTGCAATCTTGAAGTGTTTACAAGAAAATTCGTAAACATTTGTTAAAAAACGAACAAAACTAGCATTTTTGCCTACAACATCTGCCAATAATTACACATCTTGCACACAATTCAATCCTCCTCACACACGCAATAACTACCTACAATTCCTCTCCCTTCCTACCTTTACTTTATGGAATTGCACCGAGTAAGTGGACTCAGTTAAAGCTACTTTACGATGTCAGACTAAGGAACCATTTTGACTTGACCATTTATTTCTTGGAGAAAAAAAGAAAGAGAGAAAGTGAATTGAGCCTGTGTCCCCTTGTGTTCACGTGAACTGTGTATTGTATCGCATTGCACCCTGCCTGCCTGCCATACGGCACCCACACCGTTCATGATATTGATGACAATGGAAATACGATTGGTCATGAAATAAAATAAAAAGCAACGGCTTTCCCCATCCATCCATTCAAGAGTGAGGTGCACACCGTACGCATCAGTTACATGCATGCATCGTTACAATACTGAGGGCGACTTTCTCTCCTCGTCAATCTTGCAACGAGTGCAATATACTCGAAGAAACTTGCAGGAGTCTCAATTTTACAAATTCATTGTGCAGTGTGTATCCCGACCAGCAGTGGCTGCGGAGGCTGTGAGGACATTAATATTGTAGGATAGAGAGGGAGGGGTTTGTATAACATGGGCAGATGATGGGGACATCGAACAACCCTGGGGACATTGTCCCTCTGTCCCCTCAAGCTTCCGCGGCCACTGACAGGAGGACCACTTCTGTTGGGCATACCCAATTCCTGAGTAAATTCAATGAGGTACTTTTGCCGAAATATTTAGGACCGTGGTGCAGTTTAGGTCCTTGTGTTCGTATATAAGTAGGGAAAAAAATCCAATCTGGAACCTGTACAGGAAGAAATAGGAGACAACAGGGGAGCGTAAAACGGCGATGCTTTTCCCCGACTGGCATGTCAACTCAATTTGGAGACGGGAATGCAACCCGAGGAGACAGGGGGTACAAAATACGACATTCTGTATTACATTGTTACACCACTACTTTCACCATTTTTAGGGGAACAAAAGTGCAGTTGGTGAGGTGCACTGCAGGATTAGGATAGATGTTCGGAGGAGAAAGGTGGTAGTCTAGGACATGAATTGCTACTTCGTGGTGGTGGGCGGATCACTACTAGACTTGAGATTTTTTGAAGGGGCTTATCCCCTGTTTATGGT